ACAGCTTCCGGGTCATGTGGCCAGCATGACTAAACCGCTTCTGGCGAATGAGAGCAGCACATGGAAACGCCGTTTACCGTCAGTACCTATTTATCTACTTGCACTTTGACGTGCTTTCGCACTGCTAGGTTGGCAGAAGCAGGGACCGAGCAACAGGAGCTCACCCCGTCGTGGGGATTCAAACCGCCGATCTTCTGATCGGCAAGCCCTAGGCTCTGTGGTTTAACCCACAGCGCCACCCGCGTCCCTGTCTGAAATAGGAGAGCAATCCTGAAGCCATTTTGACTCTCCCAGTGACCTCAAATATTCCTCTGCAGTGAGGAAATGGGGAAAGCCTTCCCATTGCCTTTCTGCTTACAAATCCTGTCTTAAGGGTGTATTTATGTATTAATAGGGTGAGCCTGTGACCTGGATTCAGGAACTAAAGTATTGGCCATCATAAAAGAATGGCCAGGCAGCCCAGGTAAAGCAATCAGTGACCATTATCAGGTATCCTGGCAAACAGGACTTCTGCTGTAGACCGCCTCTTCTGCTGTAGACCGCCTCCTTCTGTGATGTATGTATGATGTTTTAGAGGGTGGTCTTGGGCTATATAAGGACTTGTGCACCATTGTTCTGGGTTCCTCCTGCGTGTGGTGAGTGGGGACCCTGTTGCAACAGTTAATAAAGATCAGGCTTACTAGCCGCTTTGCTTCTCAATATATTGTACTCTGGTTGGCCTCCGTTATTTTCTCCTACCGATAGGGAACCGACCTAAGGGCTCTATAAGGGTTCTTGGATACCCCATAAGAGAAAAGAAGGTTTTTTTTATATAACAGCTGTTTAAAATGGTATCAGAGTGGAATATGGCCTCTCTCTCATAGTCAGATGAGGATCATCTAAGTTTCTCGCTGGTCCCATTCACTCCACACATTTCAAGCACTATGATACCAATTTAAACTGCCATGGCTTCCCCCAAAGAATTCTGGGAGCTGTAGTTTGTTAAGGGCACTGGGGGTCGTTAGCATTGCTCCGTATGTGAGATTATACTGGGAAGTGCCTGGGGCCAGGAGGCCAATTGCCCCCTCCCCAGGCAAGGATCTCGCCTCCCTCATTGCTGGACTCCTGTCATTAACATTTACTTGTTTCTGCTACTTGTTTGTATAAATTTTTGGTTTTCCTTTTTTCCTTTGTCTTTCCTTTCTTTTCTTTTCGTCTTTTTAGCTTTTTTCTTACTCTTATGTCATGATGTTTTTCTCTTCTGTACTGAATTTTTCTATACTTACCTTTGTTGTAAATGATCGTTTACGTCGGTATTTTAAACCAATATAGATTTATCATGGAAAACAAAAAGAAACATTTACGTGTGTGTGTGTGTGTGTGTGTGTGTGTGTGTGTGTGTGTAGTTATGAGTGTGGGGTGAAGGGGGGGGGAAGCAAGGCTCCAAATCCTTAGATTCTGTAAAGGGTTAGAATTTTTGTAAAGTCATAAATTCCTGAATTTGGTTTGGAGACACAACTCAAGCAGAGGAGTGTAACAATATATACATTTCTTTCAGGGAAATCTTAACATTTGGGACACGCAGCTCAGCCACTTCAAAATATACTTTGCCCAGATTTTTTTTTTCTGGTGCTGCCACTGGGCACGATATGGGGACGAGGAAATAAACAACACTGCAGAGAGAGGGAGGTGGTGCTGTTACACACCTTTGCGGTTGTAAATCATCCAGATTAAAAGTGCTCCGTGACAAACACAGGTCCTCACTTCTCCCACCTAAGAGGCAGATTTCATTCCCATTTTAAGGTTGCCCCATGTTCAATGGCAAGCAGCCAGATTACGACTCCTTCATCCGCTACTACCTCTGATATCCAGAAGATGGCAGTCAAGGATCAGGGGCTCCTGTTTTCGTCAGAGGAAAGAATTCTCTTGGAAATGTATGTGAAGTATGTATATTACCCTCATTACTAATTTGAAGCATTCAAATTTGAAGCATCCTCATTATTAATTTGAAGCAGTTGCATACATTCGTGATGCCCTGTGGAACAAAGCTGCAACAGAAACGGAAATTAGTATAGGAAAAATCCTCCCAGCTCAGGGGGAAATGATCCCAGCAAGGAAGGGGAAGCAACTATGGTCACATCTTCACAATACATTCACACCAGTGCCAAATCACTTTAAACAGTAAGAATCCTATTCCATTATCATCATCGTACTATTTATACCTCGCCCATCTTACTGGGTTTCCCTAGCCACTCTGGGTAGCTTCCAATATACCTCGGTTTAAGAACAGTCCGGTTTAAGAACAATTTAGTTTACAAACTCCGCAAAACCGGAAATAGCGTCCCGGTTTGAGAACTCTACCTCGGTCTAAGAACGGAATCCGAATGGTGGAAGGAAGGCCTCATTAGGGAAAGCGCACCTCGGTTTAAGAACGGTTTCGGTTTAAGAACGGACTTCCGGGACGGATTAAGTTTGTAAACCGAGGTACCGCTGTATATAAAAACAGAACAAATCATTAAACATTAAAAAAAACTGTACAAGACTGCCTTCAGATGGCTCACGGGCCAGATTACTCCATACCCCCCAACATTTCTCCGATGAAAATAGTGACGTCCTAAGGAAAAGCGGGACATTCCGGGATCAAAACAGAAACCAGGGTGGCTTCTGTAAATCTGCAACTTTCCCTGGAAAATAGGGACACTGGGAGGGTCTGTTGAGGCTTCCCAAGCTGTTGCCATTGGCTGTTGCCTGTGATGTCACAAAAGCACTTGGCAGCAGAGTGGTTATAAACAAGGGCAGGGATGCCAACCTGAATAAAATATGAGGGGGGGAGAGAGAGCAGGTAAGCCCTGCCCCACATAATCGATCACAAGACGCAGTGCATGCACCATCAACTGGGGGGGGCTCAATTATTTCATTGGGGAGCTGAAGACCCCTTAGGCCAAAGCAGAACACAGCTGGCAACAGCTGTGACCTTCAGCATTGCCTGGGGTTTTCTTCCACTTGGAGGCAGTGAACTGGCGAATGCAAGGCGGCGATCGTCAGGTGGTGGGATGCTATGGAGTGATACTATGCCAAGTTTGCAACCTTGAAGCCTGCTGATATATCCCAGGTCAGAAGCTGGCTGGTGTTTAGCCTCCTTCCACCTGCCTTGCCCCACCCTCCGGCCCTGGGTCTCCTCATAAGGGAGCTGTTCCTGGAGGAAGAACTTCAACTCCATCAGGCAAGGCCTCCTTCCACCTGCCTTGCTCCACCCTCTGCTTCTCAATGTGTATTGTATTGTTTAATGTACTGTGGCTTGCCGTTGTTTTACTGATTAGTTTAGATATTATTGTAACTGTTGAGTGGATTTCTGTTTAACTTTTATATGTTGATATTATTATTTTATACTATTCTAATGATTGTTGAATGTTACTTTTTTGATGGAGGTTGCCTATTTTAAAGTTATGTTTTATTATCACATTTTTGTATTGCATTAGATTGTTATAAAATGTACATTTTTTGTTTCTTCAGCTTGTAAACCGCCTTGAGTATTGTAAGACAGAAAGGCGGTATACAAATTAAAAATGATGATGATGATGATGATGGACCTAGAAGAAGCAGGCCGATGTTTGTGGATAGAAGCTGGTTGAAATTCAGCTTCGGAAGCTGGTCCAAAGAAGCCGGGGGCTATTTGTGGGTTGAAGCACAAAGGAACGGAGAGGCAGTGATAAGCAAATGTGTCTACCGCATGGGTAAGCAAACTAAGGCCCGGGGGCCAGATCCGGCCCAATCGCCTTCTAAATCCAGCCCGTGGACGGTCCTGGAATCAGCGAGTTTTTACATGAGTAGAATGTGTGCTTTTATTTAAAATGCATCTCTGGGTTATTTGTGGGACATAGGAATTCATTCATATTTTTTTTCTTCAGAATTTAGTCTGCCCCCCCGCAAGGTCTGAGGGACAGCGGACCAGCGCCCTGCTGAAAAAGTTTGCTGACCCCTGGTCTACTGTATTCATATTCACAGATGTTGGCTGGTGTATGTTTGCGTGAACGACTGGCATTTTTCGACACGATCCAGGTATGTATGTGCTCAGATGTGACGTTTGGAAGGAAACTGATCCATGAAAGGTGAATCGGTGTGTGAATGTGATGTTGGATATTCATAAATAGATTAAACCTGTGGGAACTGGCTGGCTGAAGTCAGTGGATGAAGTGTCTGGCTGATGTTGCCAGACAGATGCCATTCCACTCACGACCCCTGCATTTTGCTTCCAGGGATGTTCAAAGCTGCTGCGATTCTCTCAAGACGGCAGAGGCACCAGTGGCAGCTGCAGGCGCAGGTGGTAGAGGCGGCAGCGGCAGAGGCGCAGGTGGTAGAGGCTCAGGTGGCAGCGGCGGCAGCGGCAGAGGCGCAGGTGGTAGAGGCTAAGACAGCAGAGGCAGCAGTGGCAGCGGCAGATGCGCAGGTAGTAGAGGCTCAGACAGCAGAAGAGGCAGCGGCAGAGGCGCAGGTGTTAGATGCTCAGATGGCAGAGGCGGCAGCAGCAGAGGCGCAGGTGGTAGAGGCTAAGACAGCAGAGGCAGCAGTGGCAGCGGCAGATGCGCAGGTAGACAGCAGAAGATGCGCAGGCTCAGACAGCAGAAGAGGCAGCGGCAGAGGTGCAGGTGGTAGAGACTCAGACGGTAGAGCGGCAGCGGCAGAGGCGAAGGTGGTAGAGGCTTGGATGGCAGAGGCGCAGGTAGTAGAGGCTAAGACAGCAGAGGCAGCAGTGGCAGCGGCAGATGCGCAGGTAGACAGCAGAAGAGGTAGCGGCAGAGGTGCAGGTGGTAGAGGCCCAGACGGCAGAGGCAGCAGTGGCAGCGGCAGAGGTGCAGGTGGTAGAGGCTCAGACGGCAGTCCAACTCTGTGTTACAAAGATGTCTGCAAATGTGACATGAAGGCTGGATTTCAACCCTGCTGTGTGGAAATCCCATGCAGATGACCTCAGTGCCTGGAGAAGACAGCCAGTTCGTGCATCCGCAGCAGTGACCAGAGTAGAAATGACCGCTGGGAGGAGCGCAGAAAGAAGGAACTCCCTGGTGCATCTGCAGCAGCCCAACAGGACACCTTCCTCTGCTCCAGCCGCAACAAAACATGCCTCTCCAGTATCATTCTCCACAGCCACAGCAGTTGCTGTAACCAGGCCCTCCCAGAGTCCCTATTTTCCAGGGACAGTTCTAGATTTACAGGAGCTGTCCCGGTTTCTGGTTTTATCCCAGAATGTCCCACATTTCCTTAGGATGTCTATTTTCACAGGAGAAATATTGGAGGGTGTGGAGTTATGCAAACCCCCCCCCCAGGCCAAGGAGATAAGTAACTACACCTTTAGAAGACATCCGAAGGCAGCCCTATATAGGTGAAGTTTTTTTAAAAATGTTTCACGTTTTATTATGTTTTTATATAATTTGGAAGCTCAGGTGGGCACGGTATGAACAATAAAATATCACGGAATAAGCCATCCCTGTTTTCATCGGAGAAACGTTGGAGGGTATGTGTAACTCTCCAGTGGTTTGACTTCGCCCCAAAAGCCGCACTCCTCCACTGACAGATGCCCGCATGTACATGTGTGCGTCTTGTTATGTACTGAAGTTCTCACCCTGGGCCAGCAGGGGGATACTGTAGACAGTTTTCACTCAGGTCCACATATGCAAATAAGGGATTGAAAGTGACGTTCAGTGACTGGATAGTTACAGAAAGTGGTTACTGTTGCGTTGTAGTGGAGCTCTATATAAGCAGGCTGACTGAACCCTTCAGTTCTGTTCTGGCCTGTGAATAAACAAGAGCTGTCTGAAGGATCGCTGCGTCGTCTGATATGTTCACCCACAACTTAACACGTTTCATGAATACACGTGTCCACCTCGCGGGCAGGCTGGAGCCACGTTCAGCTGAGACGCCTGCGTTTGCAAGGGGTTAGACTGGATGACCCTGGGTGGGGTGTGTGTTTTGTGTGTGTCTACAACACTCATTCTGGCGTGGGCCAGAATCCCCTCACAGCCTTTCCCGTCCCCTCAGCCGCGCCAAGCCGCCCTTCTTCGCGCCCAGGCCCAACCCCCTCCCCCTCGACGCAGCGACGGTTGCCGCCGGCTCCGGGCGCCGATTGGGCTGCCTGCCGGCTCCTCCGGCCCTGATTGGCGCGCGCCTCTTTCCATCCTAACCCTCCTCGGCCCGCCTCCTCCTCCCCTTTGCGCTGCTGCCGCTGCTCCTTCTTTCTGGGCGGCCTTTCGCCTCGCGTGGCGCGCGGGGAGCCCCGAGGCGCCGTCCCGCCTCCTCCCGGCCGAGGAGCGGCATGGAGGAGAGTTCCGCCTCGAGCCCCCGCGCGGGAAGCCGGCCGGTCGGCTCCCACAAGCGCTCGGCGGCGCGGGCTGCGTCGGACGAGGAGCCGCTGCTGGACTCTGAGGCGGCGGCCGAGGACGAAGACGGGCCGCCTCAGCCGCCTCAGCCGCCGCCTCGGCCGCGGGAATCCCCTCAGCCGCCGCCCGCCGAGCCGCTGTCGTCGTCGTCTGAGGAGGCGGCGGCAGCGGCGGCGGCCGGAGCGGCTCCCGAGGGGCCTCCTCCGCGTCACCGGCGCCCGCCGCCCCACCACCACCACCACTCGCCGGGACACAGGCGGCGGCGGCGGCGCGGCAACCGCCTGCTGCTGCTCGGGCCCCTCATGGACGGAGGCGGCGGCGGCGGCGGCGCGGGCGGGCTGCTGTACCCGCCGCTGGGCCGCGACGACGAGGACGACGACGACGACGAGGAGGGCGACGACGAGGAGGACGACGAGGCTCTGGACGAGGAGGACGGGCCGGGCCGCGGCGGAGCGGGGCCGCTGGCCAGCAGCGAGAGCGGCGGCAGCAGCGGGCTGTCCTTGTCGGGCGGCGGCGGCGGCGCCCCGGAGCCTCGCAAGCGAGCGCGGGGCTCGGGCGGTCCGGCCAGCCGCGCCGCCTCCGCCACGTCTTCGGTGGGCGGCGGCTCGTGCCGGGGCTACGAGGTGGTCCGCGAGCTGGGCCCCGAGGAGGTGCGCTGGTTCTACCGCGAGGAGCGCAAGAGCTGGAAGCCCTTCATCGGCTACGACTCGCTGCGCATCGAGCTGGCCTACCGGGCCTGGGGGCTCCTCGAGAGGAAGGCCGCGCCCGCCGACCAAGCCCAGGGGGTCGCCGCCGCAGGCAGCAGCAGCCCCGAGGCCTTCGAGCCCGGCTCGCCCGGCATCCCTCCGTCGGAGCCCGTGTGCGTCCGCGGAGGCCTCTACGAGGTGGATGTGGCCAACTCCGAGTCCTACCCGGTCTACTGGAACCGTAAGTCGTCGCCGATGCCTCCCCCCCTCCCCATAGCAGCCAAATCCCGGGGGCGAGGCCCATCCGGCCCCCACAATGAAATATCTTAGGGGCCCGGCCCCCACATCGCGGTCATTGCCATTCAAATGGGCTGTGCGTGTGCCGTGTCATGCGATGGATTAGGTGGGGTGGGGCTTGCCTTGTTTCATTAGCCAGGGGATGCCTGAGGAGCTCAAGTCCCGTTAAACCCGGTGGGGTCTGGCTTCAGAGTCAACCTGCCCGGGAGGATCGGGCTGGAACCCTAGTGCTACCGGTTCCTCCCTTGCACGTTGACGTTGGCAGCTGGTTCCACCAGTTCAGTGATGCTTGATTCTCAAGGCTCTTAATTTATTTTTTAAAGGAGGCTCACAATGTCCTGCCTGGAGGCTTGCAACAGGAAAAATTAGGCACGCCAAAGGGTGGATGCTCAGGGACTCCTGGATCCTTGGCCAGCTGTCACCTTCCTTTTGCTCTGCTTTCATGACCATTTTATCAGAGACCCGCAGTCCTGAAGTCTTGCTTAACCCTTCCACTTTTCTCCTTTTCCCTCCTAAGCAAGTGATGTTCTAAACCAGGTGTGGGGAACCTTTAGTCCTCCAGATGTTGCTGAAGTGCAGCTCTTGGAAGCATGGCAAATGACCTGGTTTGAAGAAGGTTCAAGTTCTGCAGCATTTGGAGGGCCAAAGGTCCTGCACCAGTTTTAAGCATTTATCAGCACCCTGACTTATTACTGCATTTTCTTTTTGTTCAGCACCCTTGCCATAAGGTTTCATTGTGCTTCCCATCTCCATAATTTTCTTCCTTAAGCATTCCTTTATCTGCTTCTCACATGGCTTATGCTTACACACACACACACACACACACACACACACAGATTATACATGTCGCAGGGAGGTCCTGTGCCTGCTCTTTTTCAAGTCAGCTACTTCCTTCTTACTCAGTTCGTACCTGTTCTCATGTGCCCAGATCACTTATCTAGGCAGGAAGCTAAATCATAACATCTGTACGTAACCTCTTACTCCCTTTTCCAAACTACACTCCTGCTGCTCTGAGGAACTATGATTTCTATTCCTGTACAAAAATTTCCACTATCGTGGCACCTCCCTCATCTCTGCCCATTGCAATCCTAAAGAGATGGCTTGCATTTCCTTCAAGCTCCAGCCCTTTTGCACTCCTTTCTGTGAACCGGCGGTTCTCAACCTGTGGGTCCCCAGATGTTGTTGGACTACAACTCCCATCATCCCTGAGCTCTGGCCTTGCTCGCTAGGGTTGATGGGACTTATAGTTCAACAACATCTGGGGACCCATAGGTTGAGAAAGGCTGCCTGAGTGTGAACAAAAGACAGGTATGGAAGTTGACTGGCTGTTGTTCCCAAAGCCTGCATGTACTCTGTCCCTAAAAATGTTGTTAGAATGCTGTGACAACGTAAGATATACTCTGCAGTAAGAAACTGATTTGTATTTGCGTTCTTTTTACTCTGCATAGTCTTGTTTGCAATGTGTATTCTTTTGCATAATTGTCTCTCTCCCTGGTGCCACAAGTAGTGGCATGAAGTTTTAGAGCAAAGTCTCTCTTAACTTGCGAGATTACACTGGGGAGGCATTGGCCATACACTTTGCAGCTATAAGGACAAAAGAGTTGCCCTTTGCTTTTCTGGGAAAACATGTATGATCTGTATTGCATTCTGAGACTTCTGTGGAAACACAGTCTGGATTACTCCCTTTGTCTGTTCTGCTCTACTTTCAACTGCAGCTCCTTTTCTTTCTCTCCTTTCTCTGGAAGTATGTATTATTTTAGGCAGATTTAATTAAGAATGTGGTTTTCAGAACAACAAACAAATGAAAATTACAAGTTCTTAAGAAACAATACATTGAAAATGAAGCATTACATCATTGCTTAATAACAATATAAGTGAAAAAGTAAAGGGAAGGGAAAGGAACGTCTTTATCACACCCTAGTCTAGCACTATCTTGCTGTCCAGAGCCTCCTGCAGGGCAGCATCAGTTTTCTTACCACTTTATGGACCAGGAGTTACCAGAACTTCTTGTTTATGTTGAAAGGTTAATTGTGAGTTTGCATGTCTCTTGTCTTTCATTAATCTGCTAGTGCTTTGTGAGCCAAACCCAGTAATATAGGCCCTTGCACATCTTTAGTAGGAATTAATTAAGAAATTTGTTTTATCCTGCGGACATGAATGTGCACTCTTGAGTTAGGGTTAAAGGCAGCTGAGACTGAATCACTTAGTTTTGTCTCTGCCTGATGGTGGAGCAGGCATGCACAATCCTGTTAGCCTGCGGTATCCTTAAGGTCTATGAATGTCAGTACCATCAATCATTATGTCAAGAGGAGAGGTGGATGATGGCTCATGCAGACTTCACTGGGCAGGGAATGAATGAGACAGCACCTTTCTTTGCTTGTCTTTGCACAATCCAGGCAGAGTGAAGAGGGATCTCTTTATTTCTCCTACTTCGCAGACTGAATATATTCTTGTGTTCTTACCAAAGTCATCTATACTGGATTTTCTCATTAGGCAAATTCTGTTTTGCCTGAAATTATGCATAGGCAGCCATGTTTGTTTGTTCATGTATCTGCCCCATTTGTGTATAAAGTGGGGGTGGGTGTTTGATGTTTACATCATAATGGATATGTCGGTGTGGGCAGCTGAATTCTCTTCTGTCTTAGCTCCCCACAGTGCATGGCGTTAGCCTCTTTTCTCCCAACCCACTGTGACTTTGCTGAGAGAAAAGTGCCTTGAGTTAAATGCTGTAAGGTGGTAAGGCAATGGGAGGATTTAGGTCTTCTCGCCCACACACATCTTTTGAAATAAAAATCAAGCCTCTGTCCCACTTTGAGAATGGGGCAGATGTGACACACTTAGTTTGCTGCTGAGATTTCTGTTTGCAACGGTAATGCTACCCCAAAGATCACACAAGTTGTGTCTTGGCTAGCCCAGACATTATTAAACTAGGCTAGCATGTGTTTTCATTCTCATTTTTAATAATTTAATTCTTTGATTACTGGGTTAAAAAAAGTTGTTTTAGGGTTCTTAAGTTTTGCTTGTGAGTTCTAAATACACTCTTTGTTTCTTGGCCTAAACCTTGCTGGTCTTGCACTGCTAAGTGTCTATAGAATTTAACTGATAATTTTAAAAGCTTGGTCTCTGCATCCAAGGGACAAAAAGAGACCCAGACACCTTAACTGATAGTAACTCCTTGATTTCCAGTTGCCTCTTGGATTCTTCCACTGAAAACCAGAGCTTGGTGGTTTATAGCACTCATTTGTACATCTTGTTGGATTGAACAGTTTATTCACAAACAATTATCTAGATCTTCATCTACTGTCTTTATCCTAAATTGCCTTTCGGTAGAAGACCAGAACCATTGTGTGCAACTGTGGTCACCATATAGCTCCACCACCAGCTTGGTTATTACACTGTAGATTGGTCTTCCTTACTTGACAGATTTTTTTGATGTCTTCCTTCTTTGTGGTCAGCAAGAGTACATAAGAAATATATATATAGTGCATAATTTTGCACTGGGGTCAGGTGATTTCTAACCCTGATTTCAGCAGAGAAAAGTTTGAACCTGTCATCAGAGACCGCCCACATCTCAGAAGCCAGATAAGGGTCTCTCTGAGCTTCCACTGGTCAAAGACTGGGATTTTATTTACTACTCAACTCTGTATTTGCATCCTTCTTGTTAATGTCATATATGGAGAAAGGGCCCTTATGCACTATCTCCATATGCTCCGCTGTCTTTGTTTAAAATCCCCTTTCGTTAGCAGAATAAATGAAGAAATAAATGAGCAGTTGTATGGACATTTTCACAGATTCTGGATGCAGAATGTGGTTTCCCTGGTGCTGAGTGTTTGAGGCAGAGCACATTCAGCCCTGACAGTGCTCTTGCTTTTGCAGCCATTTATCTGCTGGAATGAGAGTGGAGAAAATGGACCTTATTGAGTAATTTGCCAGTGGGTAGTTGACTTTCTTGGCATGGATACAGCAAGATCAATTGCTTTAATTTTTCCTGCTGTAACGTGTAGGAACAGCAAGAAAACAAAAGCTTGGGGAAGGCAGAGGGGAGAAACAGTAAACATAAACAAAGTAGAGAGTGAAAATGGTGGCCTGCTGTGTTGCTTTTCATTTTGGAAGTAATTTCTCCTTCTCATTAAATCTGGGTGGCAGATGTTTAAAAAAGTAGCATATGCTGTTCACAGAGGGATTTCCAAGCTTTGGGGAGAGAGGTTCCTGGGTGCCAGCATCAAAAGCAGCATTGTGCTCAGAGCGGAAGTAAGCATTTGATCTTGAGAAGATTAAGGGTGTTGACAGAAAGCATCCCAGTAATTTAAAGTAGTAGTGACCTCCTTACCTTGGGTAGCTCTTTGTGTTTACTGAACTAAAATGACAGCTGGCGTAGTAATAAGTAAGGTCTTTTTCCTCTGTAGGAGTCTCTATAGTTAGTCCCTAGTATCACAGCATAATTGTACTTCGGTAAACCCTGCCCTGCCCTGTTGCGGAATCTTCCTTCCTTCATGAGTCTTTCCTCTCAGATAAGCAACTTGAGACTGCTTTTAGCAGGTGACTGCTCAGTGTTACTCATCTGCTGCTTGTCTTACCTGTTCTGCTTCCCAATGACTCTACCTTAGGGTGCCTTCCACCATTGCGGCACAGCTTCAACAAAGCTCCAAGAGCTGGTCTTTACAGAGTGTGAGTCTGAGGATTAGCATTAAGAAAATCCCCCATGCAAGCTCCATTGAAATGAAAGGACGATGCGCTACAGTGGCATTTTGTGACAGAGGACATAGGACTTCATATAACAATTCACTGTCTGCAGTGATTAGGCCCAGCTATGACCCAGTGCTACCAAGTGATAGCAGTGGGGCCAGCTCAGGATCAAGTTGATCCCAGGCAAGTTGGGCCCCTCCCTGCCCCCCCCAATGTCCTGGTTTGGAGCATTCTGTTGGCTACTACTGGTGTAAATCCCACCAGTACTACTTGCACATGGCTGAGCGTTCAGGGGCAGAACAAGGAGCTCTGCACTGGCAGAGCAACACTGATGGTCCATGGACAGAGGCCAGGATGGCAAAGGTACAGCTCCACCTGATCAAACTCCTAGCGAAATGCAAAGGAGGGGGGTGGATTCCAGCCCAAGTATTCAAGCCAGGCGTAGGCAAACTCCAGCCCTCCAGATGTTTGGAACTACAATTCCCATCATCCCTAGCTAACAGGACCAGTGGTCTGGGATGATGGTTGTCCCAAACACCTGGAGGGACGGAGTTTGCCTATGCCTGCTTTAAACAATGTCCAATATAAAACTGAAACACAAAATACTGAAAAATTCAGTGCTAATTTTTTTAAATAGTGAACTATACAGATTGTACCAATGGCAGAAAGGGAACGTGGCCTCCTCATAATAGCAAGTTGCCAAAAGTTACTTTTCTGTTGTAAAGCTAATGCAAAATTACAATTTTTAAAGACAGACATTTCCTTTTACATGTGTTTTGTGGGTGGGTAAAGCTGCTGTGTCTGATGTCTTTAACAGATTTGTACACAGAAGACACATGTGTGAGATATGTTTGTATAACACAAAATGGTTGAAGAAGGTTGACTTAGGGTTTTCAAAGACATTCGGAAAGTGTAGTTGACACTTTAAAGTACTTTAAAATACTGAAACCTAGACTATTTGAAACCTACTTTGCCATTTAGCTGTGTATTGACTTTCTCAAGGCAACAGGGCCCATAATGTTATCGATTCAAGTGGAGCAAATACCTTGGAACTGCAGGGCTGCCAGCCACTGTAAGAATGGGATCATTTAGCCCCCTGCAAGGCAACCGCAGTCACATTCTGACAGATGTGATAGATTTTGCCCAAACATCTTTTTCTCTTGCATTAACTGATCTGCTATATCTTAAAATATACTGTGTTTGTCACCTTTACAGAATCTGAGAAGATCCCTGTGATGCGTGGGCAGTGGTTTGTTGATGGCACATGGCAGCCGCTAGAAGAAGAAGAAAGCAATTTGATAGAACAAGAACATCTCAGCTGTTTCAAGGGGCAGCAGTTGCAAGAAAACTTTGACATGGAAGTATCAAAACCTTTGGATGGAAAAGAGGGTAAGGGATGCCTGGATCAATGGTCCTGCCTCATGTTTCTTTTTATGATAGTCATAACCTTTTGTGTACATGTTTGATGGTGCGTTTTGCATGATTAGCCATTACTTGCTTCAGTCTCTTATTATCGTTAGGAGCATAGGAAACTGCCTTACACCAAGTTGAACAATTGATTCTTCTAGTTCAGTATTACCTACACTGACCAGCAGCAGCTGTCCTGAATTTCAGATTTTCCTGCCCCACCTGACGAAGTCTGGGATTGCACCTGAGTGATGTTTCTTCCCCAAAGCACTTCTCAAAAACAGCATGTTTTATTATGCATTATTTTGTGTTACCATAAATACACCCACCCACAATAGAGAACTTCCTCGTTTTTCAAACCATTTTCATGCTTTAAGTTGAAGTCCTCCCAGATGCTTGTTGTTGTTTTTTGCCCCTGGAAACTTTTTAACCATTTGATTTTTACTATTTTTAAATCCAGCCTATCAACCAGGAGAGACCAAAAGATACATATTTCTTAATTTTGGGTCAGTCCAGGCTTGGTAGAATCATTTTCACTTGTATTCTTTCAGTTGTTTTGTGGTCAAACAAAATAGTGTTTAAAATGGCCAGACTGATAAGTCTTGACATCCCCTCCGTTAGGTTCGGAATAATCACTTCACAGGAGTAGAGTGATTAGTAGAATCAGCAGGCCATACCAGTCAGTTTACTAGTCAAAAATCAGTTTGACCACAAGTATTCCATAAAGCCAAGAATGCTACTGTCCAGGTGACAGCTTACTTTCTATTGGTTAGCAAGGACAGGTGTGAGAGCCTCTTGCCTCTAGCCCCATTACAGCCCAGGGCCAAATCAAGTAACACAGCAAAACTGCAGGTATCACCAAACAATTCTTTTTGTGGATAATTTGCTATAATTTTCTTAGTATCATTGTTTCACAAAACAGTTAACTAATTTGTTTTTCAAATTGGTGTAAGTATCAGCAATGCATTTTTCTAGAAAAATAGGTGCAGCGCTGTACAGTGGTACCTCGGGTTACATACGCTTCAGGTTACAGATTCCGCTAACCCAGAAATATTACCTCGGGTTAAGAACTTTGCTTCAGGATGAGAACAGAAATCGTGCAGCAGCGGCGCAGCGGCAGCAGCAGGAGGCCCCATTAGCTAAAGCACGCCTCTAGTTAAGAACAGTTTCAGGTTAAGAACGGACCTCCGGAACGAATTAAGTTCATAACTAGAGGTACCACTGTACTCACCATGAAGTTGTAGGTGCCACACTTTTTAACAACAACAACAACAACAAGGTGCAGGTACTGCATACCCTTGGGTACTCCCTGGAAAAAAGCACTGAGTATCAAACTTGTTGACAGTTAATGTTTCCTTTTTGTTCTCATAAAGTCATTGTTTTAAAAATACGTGACTTTTTGGGTAATATTTGACTGGTCAGTTTGACATTGCTTCAGTTGCATTGTTTATCTTGTGCAATAAGACCCAATTGCTTTGGGCAAGACAAACTGCAGAGCTCTCCCCAAGTTTGAGTGCCCTGGACAGTAGTACAGGTTTGGCTGTATGCGTTGCATCACCCTGCTTATTTTAAAAGCCTTTCAAATTATCAGCACAACTATTTATCATTATTTAAGCTCTAAGTCTGTTGCTTTGCCAAGTTGTGGCCTTAGTGATGGGCTGCTGCTAGAAGAAAAGCAGGTGCTGACTATTTGGTTCCTCCTCTAGGGCTGATGCCCAGCAGCAAAGTAAATGGTTTTTTTGTACTTGCCATTTAATTTCCAATAAACAAAATATTTTGCAGACTTAAGTCTTGGTAAAATAGTTTGACCCTGACTTTTCAAGATTTGCACTAGAAAACAAAGAGTTAAAAGTGGGAGTTTGGGCAGATAGTACAAAATAAAATATTATTTTTATAGTTTTTATGTGTTTTTTACACATCTGTTAAGTAATTTCATTTTTTGGGTTGCTGCTTGAGCCCAGCTTCATTGTAGTTATTGAACTCTGTTTTGGGTAGTAGGTTTATACTGATATGTCTTCCAGATGGAAAATTTGAACATGCCTCGCTGTTAAGACTGATGTTGGATAAGCATTAACTCTGGTACATCTAGAGTGGGGTGGTATTATGACAGAAAGTTACAACAATATAAAAATGCAGTATTGAAATCAGCTAAACCCATTTTCAGTAGAAGAATAGGGTGGATCCTAAAAAACATATCTCAGAGGTACATCTTCAGAGTACTGTGGAAGCTGTACAGTGATGGTGCTGGACACCTCTTTGAAAAGGATCTTGAATGCCCTGCCTCCAAGCTAAGTTCTCTGCTTTGGATGTAATGTTTACTTGGGGCCTATGTGCAAGATTATATTCAGTATATGGATGTCAGTTATGTCTGGTGGCTGGGGATGACTTACTCCCACCTGTACAGTTAGAACTGAGTTAGACTATTGTTAAGTGGCTATATCTGAAGCAACAGTAGTGGCTGTCAGGACTACATGGGTGGGGCTGCATTGCTCCCCAGACTTCTGAGCACATGTGTCGCTGCCACTTACTGATAGTGGGAGCTCAGTGTGGATGCCATGGCAGAAGCCAGTCGAATGTTCCGGCTGCTGAGTCTGCACTGTGCTTGCACCATCTCCCAGTTCCTTTTTCTTAATGCAGAGCAGCAGTGCATTCAGAAAACAAGAAAAGATCCACACAGTCCTGCCAGCTGCTACTAGAAGCCAATGTTTGTGCCCTCCATAACTCTTTAACAGTTGGAAGAAAGTCTCATTAAGCATTTACTGGCAGAGATTATTCTGGCAGCTCAACCATAAATGAGATGAAAGGAAATTTATACATTCTAATAATAATTTGTGAGACGAGGAGGAATGCAAGTTTTAAATATTTTTCTTCAATTCTGTTGTGCTTGATCTTTAAATAATTTTGTTTGGCTTATGTTCTTCTGGAGTATATAGGTTATAATAAACCTTTTGAGAAGTAAGTATTCTTACGATTGCACTCTTAAAAGTGAACTTAAGGCAGAGATTTTAGCAACTTCAGAAGAAGAAGATTAGAGCCAAGAAGAATATTAGTTTTGCAGTGTCACAGTGTTCCACATTCCAAGGTACTCTTGGCCTTGGAAGTTGCAAAATTCTAACACTTTCCCAAGAATTCAGCCTTCCCTTTAGAAATCTGATAGTTGCAACCAATTAGGACTGATCCTCTATGGGGCTGTGCACAGAGCAGCTGGGTCACGCCAAATGGAGCCCTTTTAGAATAGATAAAATCCTGCCAATCAATAGTTTGCTGAGGAAATGGAAGCAGGGAGGATCTAACTTCAATTCCCAAAAAGGTCATTTATGCAGTTTTGGAAATGATCCCTCTGCATAGCACCACTTCTTCTTGTTGTTATTCATCATTCATCATTTTATTTGTATGCCGCCTTTCCATAGTTAAAACAGTGCTCAAGGCGGCTTGCAACATGAGAAGGTTTACATAATTACCAACATAACAAAAGTTATAAACATCAAAAAGTACACAACCAAATGGAAAACAATTTCCACATAAATCATAAAATCTAAAACTAAGAATACAGCATTAATACCAATCACAATTACAAATGACATAGATAAAAAATAAAAGCTATTTAAAAACAAAAAGAAAACAAAAACGGAGCCCTCTCTGCCCAGCAGCAGCAGCACTCCTTTATGGAGCTTGTCAGGCCCCGTCCCAAGCCAGGTGGAGAGAAGAAGGGCAGGACCCTTCAGGCTCCCAGCAGGTCAGTCCTGTTGTTGTTGTAAGTTGAATTTATATACCGCCATATACCCGGAGGTCTCGGGGTGGTTCACAGAATAAAATCAAAATATAAAACTACAAAATACATAATCAAAATAAAAACAACAACCCAATAGCCCCCCCCCAAAAAAACCCACATTTTAAAAGGGTATAGGAAGTCAGTCAAATCAACCAAAGGCCTGTTTAAAAAGGAACGTTTTTGCCTGCCACCTAAAGGTGTACAGTGGTGCCCCGCAAGACAAATGCCTCGCAAGACGGAAAAACCGCTAGACGAAAGGGTTTTCCGTTTTGAAGTTGCTTCGCAGGACGAATTCCCCTATGGGCTTGCTTCGCAAGACGAAAATACCTTGCGAGTCTTGAGATTTTTTTCGCTTTTCCCCCTTTATCTAATCTGCTAAGCCTTTAATAGCCTTTAATAGCCTTTTAGCAGCTAATCCCCTAAGCCTTTAAGCCTTTAATAGCCGCTAAACAGCTGATAGCGCTAATAGCGCTAATCCGTCAATGGGCTTGCTTCGCAAGACGAAAAAACCGCTAGACGAAGACTCTTGCGGAACGGATTAATTTCGTCTTGCGAGGCACCACTGTATAATGAAGGCGCCAGGCGAATTTCCCTGGGGTGAGCATTCCACAGACGGGGAGCCACTGCAGAGAAGGCCTGTTCTCGTGTTGCCACCCTCTGGACCTCTAGAGGAGGAGGCACACAAACAAAGGCCTGGGAAGATGATCTTGGGGTCTGGGTAGGTTCAAATGGAAAGAGGCGGTCCTTGAGGTATTGGGGTCCTATAGGACAAAACCAGCACTTTGAATTGGGCCTGGAAACTAACTGGTAGCCAGTGGAGTCGGACCAGGATCAGTGTAATATGCTCAAACCGTCTTGCTCCGGTGAGCAACCTGGCCGCTGAATTCTGCACCAGCTGAAGTTTCCAAATTGACTTCAGAGGCAGCCCTACATGGAATGCATTGCAGCAATCTAACTTTGAGGTTACCAGAGCATAGACAACAATAGTTAGGCTATCCCTATACAAATAGGGGCGTAGCTGGGCCACCAGCCAAAGCTGATGGAAGGTGCTCCAGGCCACTGAGGCCACCTGAGACTCAAGCAACAGGAAAGGATCCAGGAGTACCCCCAGGTTGCGAACCTGCTCCTTCAGAGGAAGTGTTACACCATCAAGAGCAGGCCCACCCATCTGGTGCCTCAGTCTTATCTGGATTGAGTTTCAGTTTGTTGGCTCTCATCCAGTCCATTACCAAGGCAAGACACTGGCCCAGCGCTTCCATTGCCTCATCTGCAGATGTCAAGGAGAAATAGAGCGTACTTGTTGGATTGGAGAGAAGGACTTCTAATGGAAGACCTGTTAACATGCCCATTTCCCACCCTGCTGAGTCCACACATGAAATACGCTTCCTCTCAACCAGTGCCCCATGCAAATATTGAATGTAGAGACTTGCCCTTATTACCCAAAACCCAAGAAAATGCCATTATTTTGTTAAAGTTGTCTATATTGGAATCATTTATAGTTTGTATTGTTATCTGAACATACTAAATGATAGTCAAGAGGCTGACCAAATTGCCTGGCCATTTATCACAAATGTCTAAGGATAGGCCATAGACAGTTGCAATTTTTGTTTGACATTCATTTAAATAAAGCACAAACAGTAATTCTAAATGGCAAATGCTGGTTGTTAAATAAAGTCGCAGGGCTCTAAATGAAGTGTGTGAAGCAGGGTTGTGAAGTAAGGAGTCCTCGTGGTGTTGCAGTTGGACTAAGGCAGGAGAGAACCAGGTTCATAGTCCCTCCTCACCATAAAGCATACTGGCTGGCCCTGCACCCATGACAGTCTCTCAGCCTAGCCTACTTCATAGCTGCTTGTGGGGCTGGGCTGTGTATGCAGCCCTGCACGCCTTGATTAGAGTGGGATGAAAATGTACGAACTAGATAAACAGAAACTAAAATAAGGAGATAGCACTCGTGCCTTTCCTGTCAGATGATCCTGTTCTACAGTTCAAGGAAACCCATCACTGGGAGAAGGTCATTCGTAGTTCCATGGAACATTTTGCAATATTTGTCCAAGGTCAGTTGACTGCTGTCCTAACCTTAAGTGTTACGCACTTTGAGCTATTTCTGGAGTTATTTCGTTCATTACAAAGAAACGGGGACACACATGACACTCAGCTTTTGCTGAAGTGTTTGATTGACACTCCCCCCGCCCCCGCAGCTTTAAGTAGCTTTTCTATATGTAAATAGGGGTGATGGTGTCTCTGGCTAAGTGCTGTTACCTGTGTACACAAGTGGCTTTTATGTCTCTGGCAACTAGTATAATGGTCTTTGGGTCTAAAGCAGTGGTTCCTAAGTGATTTTTTTTCCAATGGACCACTTGAAAACTGCTGCAGGATATTTAATTGTATTTTTTGCAGAAACTGGACCGCCTGAATGAAGCTTGCAGACCACTAGTGGTTTGCAGACCACAGTTTGGGAACCCTTGATCTAAAGTATGCTTAGATAGAATTCTGTTGTAAATCAAAGAGGATATTGCTCAGTTAATGTGGTCAGCTCACTTCTGTGGTAGATATTACAGGAATTGCGCTTTGTTCCTCCTAGACGCTCATGGGCAGGTGAATTGTGATTGGAGCGCAGATGCCTAGTGGGAAACATGATAGCTAGGTCCTCAGACTTGGCCTCAGAGCAGAAACCAGCTCTGTTTACGTCAGTCTTTGCAGCAGGGGAAGCGTGGAATGACTTTTCATTCATGAGCTTCCATTTCTCGACTCTGCTGTGACCAGGAGCAGCCCAACATGCTTTGAAATAATTTGCACATTAAGCACATTAATAATAAATTATTAAGCACACAAAATCAGCATTCCTCAAGTGCAAGTTGTCTATGTGCAATTTTTTATCATCGGTAAATAAACAATTATGAAATAAACATCTCTTTCTGATTTCCTCCCCAGTCTGGGGACTGTCTCATACTGTAGAACAGAGTTTAAGAGTAATCAAGAACCAACTGGGTGGCTGCCTCTATTTTAAAATTGTGAATAAAGGCAGATAAAATACATTAATGTTAATCTACAGATTGTTTAGAAATGGCAATATCAGAAGGCACTGGTCTTCTTGCCTAACTATTTGTAGTGGCATTTGTAATACAGCTCTGTCCACTGTGCAATGGTTTTACGACTGTGTCATAAAAAGGCATTGATTCCCCATCCAGCTCAAAGCCTGTTATATGGGCAGCATTGTTAACAGAATCCTCTCAATAGATCTTGGGGCAGGTCAGGAAAGTAGGTGGTCTGTATTGTGTCTACAGTCCAAGTTGTTGAGCCTCAAATCTTTGAATTATGCCTAGAAAGCCAGTGAAGAAACCTTGAGCTCTGATGTAATGTGTTCCCATGAACCTAGTCTCTTTTAGGTAGGGTTGCCATACATGTGGAATTTCCCACACCCGTCTGGGATTTCAAGGGTAAGATCACTTCCCAGGTGGATTTTTAAAAAAAAATGTCCAGGGTTTTGTTTTTGGCAAGCTGAGGTTACTGGCCAAGCAGCGGTGCTGTCGCAGAAGGAAGGGGCAGCCATGGCATTGTTACTTCTGGTGGCTGTGTGTATGCCTGTCCTCCTCCTCTCAGTGGCCTCCAGGCCCTGGAGCCACAGAGCCACCAATGCGCCTGGCGTGCGCCGCTTCTCCAGAGGCGGCGGAGGCTGGCCGTGGCCTGGGGAAGGCCAGCCTGGCCTTCCAGGAGGAGCGCCTGGCCTGTGCCATGAAAAGAGAGCAAGAGGCCGAAGACAGCAAAGGTAAGAGAGGGATTGGAAGGAGGGGGTGAGGAAGGGGTCTGTGGCAGGCAGGGGTGAGTGACAGAGATGCAGGATGGTGGGGGGGTGCCCCAACTATGGGGGGTTTCTGGGTTTTTGGTCTTCGGAATATGGCAACCCTACTTTAGGAGTGGGCCCTCCATCACAGTAATGAAGAGATGCCTGCATTCCTGAGCAGCATAATCATCCCCAAGAAAGAGATTGGGGAGCAGCAGCTTACCTGTTGTGTGATTTGTACTAAAAATTACTTTGTTGTATTTGCAGCAGGGCTTAATGGCCTTCAGGGGTTCCATTGAGAGTAACCTAATAATAGTACAGTGGTACCTCGGGTTACATACGCTTCAGGTTACAGACTCCACTAAGCCAGAAATATTACCTTGGGTTAAGAACTTTGCTTCAGGTTGAGAACAGAAATCATTCTCCGGCGGCGCGGCAGCAGCAGGAGGCCCCGTTAGCTAAAGTGGTGCTTCAGGTTAAGAACGGACCTCCGGAACGAATTAAATACTTAACCCAAGGTACTGCTGTACAGGTTTGGGCAACATGCTCGGGTTCAACAGAACCCATACCGTGAGCTGGCAAGTTATAACTGCTACATCAGGGAAAGTCTTCTGTAGCCCCAGAAATGCTCTACGAATCAGAATCAAGTTTGGCTGGCGGGGATTGTTCTTGGGGTAGGGTGGAGGAAGTACATTCCTCACTTTCTCCTGCTGATTTTTCTTTGCAACTAAACATAACCTCCTCCCATGTGCTTATTAACTCCTTAAATGCATTTTGAGGATCATGCACATTCAGTACTGAAGTGCAGGCTTTTGCTGAGTTAACACTGAAGACACTTTTGCTCATAAGCCTGATAAAGTTTACGATTTAGAGTTTGTAGGAGGAAAAATTATCCCCCCCCCCAGAGGATCCCACTACAGTGGTACCTCGGGTTACAGACACTTCAGGTTACAGATGCTACAGGTTACAGAAATAGTACCTTGGGTTAAGAACTTTACTTTAGGATGAGAGGAGAAATCACACGGTGGCAGCGGGAGGCCTCATTAGCTAAAGTGGTACCTCAGGTTAAGAACAGTTTCAGGTTAAGAACGGACCTCCAGGACGAATTAAGTTCTTTAACCGAGGTACCACTGTACTGTGTTACTGTGTTGCTAATCTAGGCATGCCTTCTAGTTGGAAGAAAAGAAGGCCAGAACATAAATTCATGCAGAGACTCATTGAATAGCCTTTTCTGAGCTTTGGGCATTCTGGTACATCTCTGCAGAAATAACTTCTCCTTCCCCAACCCCCCATCAAAGCTGGTTAGAAAAGGCAGCCGGCTTCACATCAGCCTTTCTGTATATTGCTTAAAGCACACTGGCAATTCTTGTGGCACATGGCTTTGGCATTAGGGAGCTATTGAGTCAGATTGAACAGTATGTCATGAGGGAGTCGTCCTGCTGTGTACAGAAGAAGTTGTGCCTTCCTCTTGAGCCTTTCTTCGCTGGACTGGTTCTGTCGGTTAGTTGCAGCCTGCATCTGCCTTACTTGTCCTCATCCTCAAAGGCAGCAGAACCGAGAAGCAGAGACGGGAACAAAATGTATCAAAGTCCTTCTGAGTACCACTATGTCTGGTCTCTCCCCACCAAAAAAAAAGACTTAAAAATCTGGTCATGTGTTAAGTTTAAACAGAGACTCCCAAATAATGGCTTCATTTTAAAATGTACGGTGGTGTTCTGTGTTTCAACTCTGGTTCAGTTTGACTCCCTGTTTGAACCCCGACTGACCTTCATGGTGCTTATTGTTCTCCTGTTTCTTAGGTGGGGCACAACAGCTTCCTCTTGATCCCTAACTTCCCACTTGTGAGATACCACAGCATTCATTCACCTTGTGATGTCCCTTCCCACACTGAACAGCACTGGCATCTACCTGTGAGGGTAAGGTAAGTCCATCAAATCACAGCACAGTAATTTCAAGGGGTATCACTTCTTTCAATATCCTCATTGAATAGCCTGGAAGCTATAAAATGAGTATTGAAAACATCACAGTGGACTTGCAGTTACCCCCACAAGGAAACTCCAGTGCTGTTCAGGAATGGAAGGCTTGTTTATAGACAGTGCATGCTGGGATGCATCTCTCTCTCTTTCGTAAAGTCTGAACAGTAGGCAGCTTCTGCTAATCTAGCCACCAGGGGCCTTTCCTCCTGTTCTAGAGGGGGCACTTAGTGATCACTCTTAGGCTAGCTCACATTTTGAGTCCATTCTTTTGAGTTGTACAGTATTACGGTCCCCCAAAATATTGTGTGCACATGTATCTGCGAACTCAAAAGGTGCTGGATGGGTCTGTCTATCTATCTTGCTGTTGCATGCCTGTCATTCTTCAATGCTTTGAATTGAGTTTTATTTGCACCAATAAGCATTTCATTAAAAAGCTGAGAAGATAAAACAATGAATGACTAAATTCCCCAGAAAGGCAGTATTCTTTTGTTTTGCTAAAATTTGTTGCAGTGTTTTTCCTATACATATTGTCTATGTTTGTTGCGTTTATTTAGCTAGTGATGTGCAAAATCCAATGATGCCCCTTTTTAAAATTTCACTTTGAAGCTCGGTGTTTCGGTGTTTTTGCTTTTAGTTATCTACCACCTCCCTCCCTTCTCCCTCCATTCTCTGTTCAAATGGAGAGGATATAAGGAGAATACAGAGGCTGCAGGGCTTAAACGCAAGTGGTCTGAAGGTACAGTAATTGCAGATTTGTATTCTTGTCCTCTCCTTGCCTAGGAAGCTTTCTGTTGTAGTTCATGTCTTTCAGTGTAGTGTTTTAGATAACCACTTGCTTCCCCCTCTGCATGATGTTGCTACCCTCTTCCAAAAGGAGGAAGAAACTGTGGATCTTAGTGAGTGGATCAGTGCTTTGTTTGTTACAGAGAAAATTAGAGGCTGACAACGCTGTCTCTAACAATGTGTACTAACAATTCATTAGGAATTTTAAATCACTTTTAAAGCATTGTTTGCTTCCAAAAAAAAATGGATCCCTGCCCCAAAGCATTGCATTTCAGCTTTCAGAAGCTTGTTAAATTATCCACAGATCCTGTCCAGTTGTCTGACCACCTATTGATTTCGGCCCTGACTTCAAATCACTGTTCACCTCAAGCTCATTGAGTGGGCTTTGACAAATCTCTGAGTCTCAACCTAATTTCAAGCGCTCATCTATATGCACAGTGTTAGAGAAATTTATTTAATATGTTTACATCCTGCCTTGCTGCCTGATAGCAGGTGCCTCCTAGATGGCTGGCAACAAGAAAAAAAATGAAAGCACTTTAAACATAAGACTTTTCTTTTCAAAAGGTGGTTGTGACTGAGAGGGGCTCTAGGGGGAGGGGACTGATTGCTGGCTTGAGCATTTTTCTTTGACAGTAAGCTATAGAAGTCAATTCATTGTTCTTTGCTCACTTGCATTTTTGCCTACATTGCCATGAGTCAAAACAATGCTCCCATTCTCCCTGCAACAGAAACTTGATGGAAGGAATAGAATAGCCAAGAGTGCTTATTCTCCAACTCTAAGGGGGAAAACGCCTCCTAGCAGCTGTATTTTTCTGCCTTGTTGGTACCCGTAACAGATCCAATAAAATAACTTTTTGGGAATCATCATTGCTGCTTGTACTTGTTTTAATAATGTGCAATCTTGCATTTGGCAACTACTGCTTAGCATCTTATCCTTTGAACATTTTCACGTAAAAAAAGTCATGACTAGAACTGTTTGCAAGTTCACTTTTCTGAGAGGGTTCTTCTGCCTCACTGATGGATTATGCAGAATCATAATGACCCTCATTATAGTTCTTTTGCCCTCAGGAGAAGACACAGTTTTGTGCTTTTCTGATCACAGTGCAATCACAAGTCTTCATAGTGTTCTCAGCATTGCAACAGACAAGTAAAGGCCAAATCTTTCTTATGGTACATAAACATTTGGAAACGGCAAGTAACTTAGGGGCAGGTGGGATTTGAAATGGAGAAGCAATGGGTAGGGAACAGGTTAAGCACACCCTGCCATTTCAGGTCACCTCCTCCCAAATATTTGTTGTTGTTCCGAAGAAAAAAGTCATCTAAGGTTGTTAGACACATTTGTGCATAATATCTAGTTCATCATTGTAGTTCATCTTTTTATCAAGCATTATCTGGTTGTTTAACATTTACTAGCATGTGTCCAAGACTTGCTAGGGCATGCTTACCCTTTTACTCTGCTTTTCCTTTAGTTTGGTTCCATGTAAGTCTTTTGTATCTGCAGTGCATATGAGTCATCCTGTTTCTTTCTGTTCCACCAAGGGAAAATGCACTAGGCATCAATATTTCAAACTCCTAGGTAATGTCAGCAGATTTTTAGAAATGCAGACACCTCTCTGTGATTTCTCCAATTCTGCACAAAGGAACCCCCAAACAGTTAGCTTCCTTTCATTTCCCTACTCTCCAAGTATCTGAATAGCCACTTGCCTATTCTGAATTAGTGAATCTGTGCAATGGAAGGGGTTAAGTAGCCTCATGTAAACTGCATAAAGCTAGTATTCAGTTACACCCAGGTTGTGTGTTCTCTGCAAGCTCTCCCCATTCCCCCGGCTATGAACAAATTGTACAGCAAGCAAATGTGCAGTGTGGATTCAGAATAAATTCTGAAAATTAAAATGAGTATACATTTTAATGTGCGATACTTAATGGTGGTTCTGAATGGTGGAAGGAAGCCTGGGCAACCAAGCAAAAAGGAAACGTACTAGGGATCTATTACCACAGCATGTTTTGCCCACAAGTCTGGTTTCTGACAGATCAGTGTTATCAGATTTGTGTGTTGCTGGAACTTCATTGACTACAATTCTGGATCCTTAAATTTGCCTATACGTAATGATCTCAGCATTCCAGATTGATGTGCTTGGGGACAGCACACAGATGCATGGAATACACACAGTCCTGTGCTTGCTTTTGTGTGTCCATTTCCTTCTTTTTGCTCTGCCTGGCTTTGCAAGAGGTCCTGACTCTCCTTACTTGAGCTAAAGGCAGTTCTTTCTTTGCTCCAGCTGTTCATAGTTTGAAGCTTAGTCGCACCCATGTGGACTGGCACAGTGTGGATGAAGTGTATCTTTACAGTGATGCAACAACGTCAAAAATCGCAAGAACTGTCACACAGAAGCTGGGTTTTTCCAAAGGTAAGGTTATTTGTTTATAGTATGCACTGACTGACTGAATAAATTGTTTCACCTCATATTCTGTGAAGAGACCTTCAGTTCTTACTGATTTTGAAGACTGAAATCTTCAGTCTTGTGTAGGTCTGTGCTATAAATCAATGTATTGTATGATATTGGATTTTAGATCAAATCGTGATAACTGTTTTTTACAATATGACGTTGCAGTTTATTGTGTGTCACGTGTGTGGTATTAAAAAATCACAGTATTGGAAAAACAGGAAGCCGATGATTCTTCCTTGCTAACTCCACCTCAGTCAGTTCTTCCCTGTCTCCTGCAGCAAAAAGAAATACCGTATTTTTCGCTCTATAACACGCACCGGACCATAACACGCACGTAGTTTTTAGAGGAGGAAAACAAGAAAAAAAATATTCTAAATGAAACAGTGGATGTATGATTTTTTGTGGTTCATGCTGTGGCCACAGACATGTAATCTGACAGTGAGTTTGGAGTAGCTCAATGCAAAAATGCTGAGGATCCATGTGGATCCATGCTTTGTAACCACGTTTTTGCACCACTGCGACCCCAGGCAACAGTGGGTGCGTGATTTTTTTGGTGCAGGATGTAGCCATGGACATGCTATGTGATCTGATGGTGAATTTGGGGTGACCCAGTGCAAAAATCCTGAGGATCCATGTGGATCCGTGCTTTGTAACCACGTTTTAAGTGGGGAGGGAAGGAAAAGCACTCAAGGGACAAGGAGCACGCGTGGGGTGTGTGGAGAAGGATGCTGCTAATCATGCTATTTAGCAAGCTGAGTGGGGAGGAGAGAGGGACAGAGAGCCTGCATGCTTTAAAGGAGCCAACCGGACAGGAGCCGCTTACACTCGTGTAAGTGGCTCCTCTCCTCTCCCGCTTTGCTCCTTTAAAGCAAGCAGGCTTTCTGTCCCTCTCTCCTCCCCACTCAGCAGCTCTTCTCCCGCTTTGCTGTTTCAAAGTGAGCCACGGAGGAGGGAAGGAAGGGGAACCATGGATCCTCTGCTCACAACTGCAGCAGATCCCCCCCGCCACCCGTAGGCATTCGCTCCATAACACGCACAGACATTTCCCCTTACTTTCTAGGAGGAAAAAAGTGAGTGTTATAGTGCAAAAAATACGGTAGCTACAAATTAGTACAGCAGGCTGACTCAAATATCGCCCAGCTGATACTGCCAAACAGAGCTTTGAGACTGTTAGCTTTCCGTCGCCCTGGCTATCTAGCCAGCAAGCAAGGACTTCTTCCCTCAAGGCTCTTGCTTAAAGGTACCAGGCTGGTAGCTGGCTTAGGGAAAGCCTGCAGGTTCAGACTTCTGGATCTCTTCCCCCCCATAAAAACATAAACTGGGGTTAATAAAAAAACAGACACCTTCCTTTGCCATTTGGCCCTCTTCTGTCATTCCCTCCTCCATCTCCGTGTGTGTACCGCTTATGGGTGTGCGAGTGTGTACGAGTGTCTCTCTCTCTCTCTCTCTCCCCACCCCCCCTTCTGTTGGTGGGGTGTGTGGTGCATTTGTTTTTGTGAAGCAGCAGCTATCAGGCAAAAAGCATTGGGGGTTTTTTATTAACCCAGCCGACACTTCACACTTGGTTTTCTGTAAGTGGCAGCTGACCCCTTGTTAAAACTATACGAGGTGATTGTGTCTCCCTGACTCCCTCCTCGCTCTGTTAGTGTGCCCAGTTGATGCTTCATTTGGAGCTATGGCATCATGGCAAGAGAGGCTTCTTTAGCCTTATGTTTCTTCAGCTCAGTCTGCCTTGCGCAGCTTCGCTTGCACGCGCTCTCTGTCCTCTTTCTCTTTCCCTTCCCCTTCCGAGTTGCTTCCTTCCTTGCTGGTGATTCTCCTTTCCTGCTTCTCTCTCTCTCTCTCTCTCTCTCTGTGTGTGTGTGTGTGTGTCTGTGTGTGGTTGTGACTTGCAAGTTGCTTCAGAATAAAAGGGGGGGAAACACCCAGTGTTTGTTGTGTGTGCCTTTCTTTCAGGGCAGAAGCAGCATAGCATCCTTTTAAATATCATTTTGAAATATTTGGCTATCACAGCCTAAGACTTCCTTCAACCTCGACTGATGGTTTTCTAAAGTCTTTCTAATTATGCATTTTGTTACTATAATTATTTCTATAAACTCAAATTTCCAGTTCATCTATTCTTAATTCTTTTCACAATAATTTATAAATTACTCCTTACAAAACTTCTTTTAACCCTACATGTGATGTCAATTGGTTACAATTGCTTTCCAAATATATCAAAAAACTTCTTCCATTCCTTTAGGAAAGTCTGGTTCTGCTGGTTCCGAATTTTCCCTGTTCCCTGAAAAGATGGGGGGGGGGAGTTTTGTCTTTGGGCAAGCCTATTGAGACATGTAATTATTTTATGAAAACCACTTACAGGGTTGTTGTTTTTTAAAATTATTCAGCAGTATATAAATCTTGTTAAATAAATAATCCAAAGAGTGTTCACTAACGGTTCCTCGTCATCCTGGGAGGAAAAGTTACACGTGGGGTGCTGCAGGATTCTGGCCTGGGCCTGTTGTTCAACATCTTTCTAAATGAGATGGATTAAGGCAGGGGTCAGCAACCTAAGGCCCATGGGCCGGAAGCAGCCTGCGGAGGTCGTTTGACCGGCCCCTGAGCCACCCCCAAACTGAGCTGTCTGCTCATGCACTGCGCTAAACCGGCTTAGCGAAGGGATTTGATTCTGTGGTGCCTGAAATCAGGTGCACATGTGCAATCCGGCCCACGGAGGAATCTCCGCGGGACCGATCCAGCCCAGGCAAGATAAACCTTGCCAACCCCTGGATTAAGGTATTGACGGAATGCTCCTCAAATCTTCAGGTGACATTAAACTGAGAGAAGTTGCTACTGCTGCAGAAGACAGAATCGAAGTTCAAGATGACCTTAACAGATTGGAAAACTGGGCCCAGAAATTAAATTATATTTGTATTAATGTGCTCTAAACAGTGGGTGGCTAAAAAAGCACACACTTGACTCACTTTGAGGTGCATCATGAACTCCCGATAAGCAGTTTACGAAGCCGCTGTCTAGAAGATGCATGACTGCTATTTGCAGTCATGGTGGCTGCAGACAGATGATGAAATTGGAAAATGAGTCTGAAGAAGAGTTGGCTCACTAGTAATAGGAGGTCGTGCTAGTTGGCCTTGCACTATATACAAATAGCTGTTTTTCAAGTCCAGGTGAAAGGAACTTTATGAGCCTGAATTAAATGTTGTTACTTGCTCTTTTGCAGCTTCAAGCAGTGGGACCAGGCTGCATAGAGGTTATGTTGAAGAGGCTACGTTAGAAGACAAGCCATCACCAACAACTCATATTGTATTTGTTGTACATGGCATTGGTCAGAAAATGGACCAAGGAAGGATTATTAAAAACACAGCCATGTGAGTACTTCATTTAACTCTGTTGAAAGTGGACAACATTGGATTTGCGGGCGTTGTGGTTTTCCCTTTTTCACAAAGGGTGCTGTTTTTAATTGTGCATGTTCCTGAGGTCATCTTACTTCCTAATAATTAGGCTGTGAGTCTTTTTGGCAAACATTTCCAAATGCTACTTTGCTGTACTGCACTTAGCAGAGAAAGAATTCTGATCAAAGGAGAGACCAAGGAGCCCCGAATACGATAAATTTTGAAATAGAATCTTAGAGTTGGAAGGGACCCAAGGGTCATCTAGTCCAACCCCCTGCAATGCAGGAATCTCAGCTACAGCATGTGTTTTCTATATTGCATGCACACACAGAGAGACCAGTATTTCATCCCCAGAAAACCCTCACAAACCAGACCTGCCAATGTCTCCTCAAATAGAACAAACCCCTGTGTTGCAAACTTAACACAACAAACAAACAATACAAGCAACACGCAGACCAGTATACTAGATAGCACTGTAATTCTTATTGCATAATATACATGATTTAGTAACAAAAACAAAATGTATGCACTTGTAAATTCTCTAATATAGTTGAAATCAATTAAACACACGTCTGTCAGTCTTTGAAAGTCCGCAGAAGTATAATAAGTCTATGGTTGAAACAAAGTAATAGATGGTATCCTGTGGGCTAAGCGGTAAAACTTTTTTTAGGCGTTCGTGGTGCCGAAGTAGTAGGTGAATAACAACGAACAGTGACCCCAGTTGCAGCATATGGATTGTAATGTGTGAAGTTTATATATTTTCATGTATATTATGCAATAAGAATTACAGTGCTATCTAGTATACTGGTCTGCGTGTTGCTTGTATTGTTTGTTTAATGTCTCCTCAAAGCCACAGTAGTTGATAGGTTTTGTTTTTGTTTTGATTGAGAATGCAGTAGCATTTCAACTCCAGGTATTTTTGGATGAAGCAGGTTACCTAAGCCTATTTCAGGCGACTTTGGGAGAGCGTCCAAAAGCACGTGGATAGAGGTGGTCCTCTTTACATTGTGTACTTAGGCTTTCAGAAAGCTTTGATTAAAAGTCCCTCACCAAAGGCTCCTGAGTAAGCTTAGCAGCTTAGCATAAAAGAGGAGTCTCTTTTATGGGCCAGCAGCTGCTTAAGGAACAAGGAACTGAGTACAGGCAACTCCCCATTTACTCGGGGGTTACATTCTGAAGCAGTACACGTTTAAGTGAAATGGCATATATTGGGAACACCATTGGCAAAGCCTGCGCAATCACTCTCTCCAAACCTCCATGCTCAAACTCCCAACTCTCCAAAGACCAGAGTTTGGTGCAAGGGCTCCTGGGATTGCACTTCCAAAGGCTCCTGGGATTCCTAGAAGGCTGTTTTTGCACCATTTTTGCCTTTTTCATTCTCTTTTAGGGCCATTTTTGCCCCTTTTCGTGCCACTTCCAGGGTTGCAGCAATGCATGTTTAGTTGAACGTGTATAAATGGGGAGTTGCCTATACCAATAAATGGACAGTTCTCCCAGTGATGGGTAGTGGGTCACCCAAGGACCTGTATTAAAATCTGTGCTCTTTCACTCGCTTGAAGGAACTAGAGTTAGGGATGAGCAGTGAAGCATTGCAAGTTTGCTGGTGATAACAAATTGCTCAGAGTGGGGATTATTTCCCCCCCTCTCAATGTTATATGTGCTTTCCATCTAATTTTTAGGATGCGGGACACTGCAAGGAAAATAGAAGACAAATACTTTAGCAACCTTGCAACACATGTTGAGTTCCTGCCAGTTGAATGGAGATCTAAGCTCGCACTTGACGGAGGTACTTTTTACTTTGGACTGCCAGAAGTACTATTGGTGACATTTGGAAAGTAACACTTTTTAGTTTTTTTCTAGCAATGGTTTGTAAACTCTCTACTCTCAGAGTACCCTTTCAATGTGTTCTGCCAAGGATAATTCTGCCCTGGCATTTTCTAGTTGTTCATGGAAGGTATTGCTTAGAGCTATTAGCTGTTATCAGTCACCCCAAACACCTTGCCACTCCCTGTAGGTGATTATTGGAAAGGGAAATTGGGCAGCTGTCTCCAAGGGAAATTGGTCCATCCTTACTGAACTTCCCACAGAGGAACTCCCCTGATAATCCCTTGGGCTTCCCCGGAAGCAAAATTTGAAAACCCACCATTCTGTAAATAGACCATGTGCTTAATTTCCTTGATTTTTGTTATCTAAACACTTGCTGGATTCCTTTAAGTAGAGATTTGAATGTTCCTAGGAATTTGTGCTCATATGGTACTGCATTGTTGACTTTAAACCCACTCCAAGCTTTATTACTCCTCAATCAAACACTTGGGTCTCTTTTCTTTATTTTAGACACTGTTGACTCTATTACTCCTGATAAAGTCCGTGGCTTGAGGGACATGCTTAACAGCAGTGCAATGGACATAATGTACTACACAAGTCCCCTCTACCGAGATGAGGTATGTGTGTGATTTTTAAGTGTTTGGTTTCAGGTATGGACAAATAATGGGTATGGCGAAGTTGGGTTTCCTAATTTAAGTGTACCTCTGTTTCCCAACATCTTGAAGATAGACTTTGTGATTGTGTGCATTCTTTGCATAGAAACCAAATAGAGTAGTTTGTATCTTCAGGTTACTACTGAGCTGTATTCTAGCTGAGCGGGGATCTGAACGCTGGTGCAATATCCCATAGGCTACAGGGCCTTTACAAAAAAGCAGTAATAATTGCAGCCTGAGGATGAAACATGCACTGTTCATGCATAGTATGTTGTGTGTTTGTCGTACTTCTTTAGCTCTCCCTCCCTTCTTCAGGAAGCCGAGTGGCTTCTGTGGGGCTCTTGCCCAGTTCCCCTCCAGGCCCAGACCAGACAGAAACCTGCATACCTTTTGCAGTGCAACAGCATCATGTCTCCAGGCTATTCTAAGGAAACCCCAGTTGCATTTTTTCAAAGCTCAGAGCACTTTCAGAACAGGCACCACAGCTGTTCTGCTGACGCTTAGGTATTTTAAAATGCTGCTTAATCTAGCAAGCAGGGGAGGAAGTGGGCCAAGACACAATTTGCATCTTGGGAGGTCATAGTTTATTCAGCTAAGATGCAATTGTTTTCTGCAAGGAGATATATTGCAGAAAGGGGGCTCTTGTTGTGAGAGGCTGCTGCTGCTGCCGCCGCTGCCGCCATCAGCTTGCCCTCTGCAGCTGCTGTAAATATCCTTGGTGAGGGGATAAGCTGCTCCCTGCCCATTTCTGCACTCTGCTTCCTCCTTGAGGTACAAACTGAGTGGTAGAGAGGTGCTTGTTCCAGCTAGAGAGTTTACAAGCAGGATTTAAAACCACCCAGTGTCTTTATAGCAGGAGGAAAGGAATTTGGTTGGAAGAACCACATAGCAAAGTTCTCAGTGGGCTGAAACAAAGGCTAATTCCGCCAGATGCTTCTGCTGCCAAACCATCAGACTTCCTGAAATTCTGCTTAACAGACTTTGTATTTCACACATGTGCACAGCATGGAGACCCTGCCACCTCAAGAACTTTTACGCTTTCTTTCTTGTATGGAACTTTGTGTGTGCTGTGCACAAAGGTATCCAAATGCATATTATGTAAGAATTGCCATAAAGTTGGGGTGAGACACGAGTGGCGCTGTGGTCTAGACCACTGAGCCTCTTGGGCATGCCGATCAGAAGGTCGGCGGTTCGAATCCCTGCGACACGGTGAGCTCCCATTGCTCTGTCCCTGCTCCTGCCAACCTAGCAGTTCGAAAGCACGCCAAAAAGTGCAAGTAGATAAATAGGTACCACTCCGGCAGGAAGGTAAACGGCATTTCCGTGCACTGCTCTGGTGTCGGTGTTCCGTTGCACCGGAAGCAGCTTAGTCATGCTGGCCACATGACCCAGAAAAACTCTCTGTGGACAAACACTGGCTCCTTTGGCCTGTAAAGCAGGATGAGCACCACAATCCCAGAGTTGGCTGCGACTGGACTTAACTGTCAGGCACCCTATACCTTTACCTTGTAGGGGTGGAGAACCTTCTGGCCATGGGCTGAATAGGCCCTTGCAGCCATTTTTTTACAGGCCATGCATACCTGTCACTCAGGTAAAGGTGTGGGACAAGCAAATCTGCACCCACTTAAAGAAGAGTTGGGTGAGCCTGGTTGTTCATTGGTGGTGGGGTTTGCATTTGGCACTGTTTAAATTTGGTGCTGAATGTAAGTGCCGCTGCTTTTGGCAAGGATCTGATCTACCTGATGCTGGGTGATTGACAGCTAGGTGGATGAAGGTCAAAATCTGGGTCATCTGAGAAAAATGGTTGACCACTCTGCCATAAAGAATCAGACTAGAGCTCCATGTAGCCCAGTATTCAATATTAATGGATTTTCAAAAAATTCTCATCAGATAATGACTTCCTGCCTTTTCTCAAAAAATATTCAGAATTTAAAAGTTTCAGCAGTGGTGCTTCATAGTAGACGATTCAGAAATGTCACCTGTGGAGGACTAAACATGGCATGAAGTTCATGACATGAGTAATCCTTGAGTGGGATTGAGACTGGGTGGAGGGCTTTAGCCCTTTGTCCCCACCGCAATCACAATTGGAATTAGGGGACTTCATGTCTGTTTTCAATAAAGGTAAAGGGGCCCCTGACCATTAGGTCCAGTCGTGGCCGACTCTGGGGTTGCGGCGCTCATCTTGCTTTATTGGCCAAGGGAGCCGGCGTACAGCTTCCAGGTCATGTGGCCAGCATGACTAAGCCGCTTCTGGCGAACCAGAGCAGCACATGGAAACGCCGTTTACCTTCCCGCCGGAGCGGTACCTATTTATCTACTCGCACTTTGACGTGCTTTCGAACTGCTAGGTGGGCAGGAATAGGGACCGAGCAACGGGAGCTCACCCCGTCACGGGGATTCGAACCGGCGACCTTCTGTTCGGCAAGTCCTAGGCTCTGTTGTTAAACCCACAGTGCTACCCGCGTCCCTCTGTTTGCAGTAGGAAGCAGCTAATAGCAAGTACCAGGCTAGCTATTTTATTTTATTTTTTGTAATAAAATTTTGCATTCCCAGGGTTAACTTTTGTGACACATCACATTTACTTTACAAATTGTACTATTCAAGGGCCAGCCTACATGGATCACCAAATCTTAGCCAAGGCTTGAAAACATTTTTCTTTTCCTTTTTTTTTACTGTACTGAATACAGTACATCTAGATTTTCATATATAATCTTGTAATGAACTCTGGCTCACGTTTATCATTAGAAGGTTTGTTAGCTACAAGGTATTGGGCAAGCTTGTGATATTTTAGTAAAGATGATTGATGAAACATTGGCAAATGATCTCTCCAACTAGGTCAGGTGCCTTCTCCTTTAGGCTTTAGAAACAATCCCTGACAGCTCATCATCTTGAATTACAGCTTTATAATCTGGTTTCAGGGGCTTCTCTCCTGCTTGAGAAATTGAAATACACAAATGTTGGTGCAGCATGTTGGAGCTTTTATTTTACCGGAGAAGCAGACTTGCTGGTGTAACGCAGTTCCGCTCCATTAGCTCAAAAATATGCATGCGTTTCACCAGTGTACTTTGGTTTTTCACATTGCATATTTCTTTTGCCAACCAAAGTTGAATCCGTACAGAAGGAAAGGATTTGGAATGAGAAAAAGAGATGTAAACTCGGGCACTAGATCTTGGTTGCAAAGTCTTTTATATCAACCAACTGGAATGAAAGTAGAAGGCAAGGAGAAGCTAGGTGTTATTGGTCTCTCCGCTGAGCCAATGAAGTGTCCCTATTTATAATCTCTTCCTCTGCTGCAGCCTGATGGCCTCAGCATGTGGGGCCTCTCGTAGCAGATGTGATGAAGCACATGGCATTTCACCAGGCCCTGGGTTGATTGTCATCCAGTGCCCTTTTAAAATGTGTTGGGGTTATCAGGTTGTTTTTGTTTTGTTTTGATTATGTCTTTAGTGTTTTTATATTGTAATTTTATCCTGTGAGCCGCCCTGAGACCTGTGAGTGGTATAATTTTTATAATAATAATAATAATAATAATAATAATAATAATAATAATAAAAAATAATTTGGGAGTGTTCTTAAACCTATTTTATTGAATTTGTGTGTTATTCAAGAACAGAAATAATAAATAAGAGCATCCTAGCTGTGTGCTTAATGCTGTTAAGGAGTTTGCACTTAAAGCATACCTTGCAAGCGTTTGATCAGTTTGCTTGGTTTGATTTTTAAGTGTTGAACTGTTATCCACCCTTCACCCAAACAGCAATATCTGAAAACCAGGCTATTTTATGGTCTTGAGGTCTCAGCTGGCTGCTGTCAGTGAGTCATTTCATGCAAACTGACAAAGCCATTGCCTAAAGAAATGCAAGTAAGAGTAAGCAGAAATCCAGATGCTAAATACATAGCAACTTGCGGAATATAAGAAATGTGCCTTCTCTCCCCATTTCCTAACTCTTTATAACAGCTGGTAAAAGGCCTTCAACAGGAGCTGAATCGTTTGTACACGCTTTTCTGTACGCGGAATCCAGAGTTCATAGAAAAGGGCGGCAAAGTATCAATTGTGTCACATTCCTTAGGATGCGTAATCACATACGACATCATGACAGGATGGAATCCGGTTATACTCTACGAACAGTTGCTTGAAAAGGAGTATGATGACCTCGAGGACACCTGGATGAGCTACGAGGAGCAACATCTGCTAGAAGAGTTTTACTTGACCAAGCGGCGGTAAAAGAGTTTCCTTTCTAGTATTGAGCAGGTCTTGATGTATTGAAATTGACTGAGTGAGCCCAGGGTCTCTTTTAACAAGTGAACTGCTTTGCGCCACCACCCAGCTCCTACCTCAGCTGTGCCACCACAAGGCAACTAGAAGTTGACTGGCTCTGGAAGACATTCCCACCCTTATTTTTCAGCCCTTGGGCCTCGTTGAGAAATACCTGCACGCACAAAGGGCACTGTGACCAGCCAGTCATGCATGTGGTACTTGAAAGGGGTCTTGAGCCAGAGAAAGGGCCAAACGTGGTGCTTGAGATTTTTAAGCAGCAAGGCTGCCGTTGGGATAGTCAGGTGGTAGGGCTTAAACCAGGGGTCAGCAACCTTTTTCAGCTGTGGGCCGGTCCACTGTCCCTCAGTCCATGTGGTGGGTCGGACTATATTTTATGGGGGGGGGGGGAATGAACGCATTCCTGTGCCCCACAAATAACCCAGAGATTCATTTTAAATAAAAGGACACATTCTACTCACGTAAAAACATGCTGATTCCCGGACCGTCCGCGGGACGGATTGAGAAGGCGATTGGGCCGGATCTGGCCCCCGGGCCTTAGGTTGCCTACCCCTGGCTAAAACTCTTCCTTTCCCCTATGCTGAGAGAGTGAATTATGTCTTAGGGCAGGATTCACCTTAGGAGCTCTGTCCACAGAAGTCCTGAGAAATGAGGTTTGCTTCCCCCACCCCGCATCTCCCCACACACACCCTGAAATGGTCCTGGGGAGTTTGGGAAGGGACTGTCAAGCTGATGTTCTTGCATGGATGGAACATTTGTGGTAGTATGACATTAAAACTCATGTTTTTAGTCTTCCAAAATTTGTCTCCAGAATATTTGTTTTGGTGAATTACACTAATTGACATGGTACTTAATGGAGCTCTATTATTATTATTATTATTATTATTATTATTAGACTTTATATACCGCCCTATTCCCACAGGTCTAGGGCCAATTAACTGTTTCTAATCAAAAGAACTCAAAATGTCTGTATTTTTTCCTAGATTGAGGGAGATAGAAGAGAGGTTACATGGACTGAAAAAATCCACCATATCTAAGACACCTGCCTTAAAATTCAAGGTACAAATAAGTAAGAAATGTGCTGTTCTGCTAATGGCTCACATTTAGCAAGAAATGTTTTTCAGGTTCCACCTTTATTTATTGCTATTTATTTAATTTCTAAGCTGTCACTCAAAATACAAATATGTAGGGATAATTTTTTTTTAGAAACTTCAGAACTGCAGTTAAAATAGTACAGCAGTAAAAACATTTCAAAGCAGAGAGTAAAAAACCCTAACTCAGGCACTGAAAGCACATGAAGCAAAAAAGGTTAACCAACACTAAAGGCAAACTGGAATAAAGTGAGCAGATCATATCTCTTGGGGGAGGGAGTTCCATAGACTCAATGACCTCACCAACAAAAAAGCCCTTTCTCTTGTGTGGTCCACTATCCTAATCATGCCTACTTGTGGGCATACTGCCAGGGCCTCCATAGCTGATCTAAATGCTCAGGCAGCTTCATAAGTAGTATAGGTAGTCCTTGAAGTAATAGGTCCCATTTTTTTTAGAGCTTCAAAGGTCAATACCAGCACTGTGAATTGGATCTTTAAGCTTCCACACTTAAGACTGATAAGACCCACTCGTAGGCACTGTCACTTCCACAGATATTGCCAAGTCCAACAGGACCCTCAGACTACAAACTTGGCCTTTTAGAGAAAGTGCAACACTACCCAGAACCACTTGGAACATCTCCACCCAGAGCAGTCTGCTTCTTTACCACAGTACGTCCATCTTCTCTGGATTACGTTTCAGTTTGCTGGCTCTCATCACTCCTCGAGGCTTCTGTTCAGGCGTTCCACAACCTCCGTGGGATTAAGAGGTGGAAACAAAGATGCAGAACTGTGTGTTACCAGCATATTAATGACACTTTCCCCTAGTGGCTTAATGTAGATGTTAGAAAGCATGAGGGAGAGAACAGGACTTTGCAGTAGTCAGGAGGGAAATCCCCCCAGCACCACCAGCTGATTGCATCTCACCAGAAAGGACTGGATTCTACACCCCACTGTGACTTCCAAGCCCATTCTGGGAAGGCAATCCAAAAGGAGGATACCAACACTCCAGCAAGAATTTGTTCACATTCAGTTTCTTAATGTTTCTCTCCCTTGAAATGCAGCCCAGCCTATAATGCTCATGCGTTTTTATTTATCTAAAATAGCTACAAATCCAGTGAAATCAGCATCAAAACCAACAGTAACAGCACAAAGATAACGGGAAGTCTGTATCTGCAAAACATTGATCAGTTAATGCATATACAAGCTCAGCTTCATTAGATTGTCTTGAACACAAGGCACGTCTCTGATGATATTGAGCGGAGTTTGTATTTTAGTGAATCTAGTTCGATTTTTCTGTAAGGTCAAGTAATAATGTGTAATGCATAAGTTTGCTTGGGACCAAGGTTGTCAAATATGAAGGGTTTGACTATTGAGGAGTTTGGGGGCCTCTGCTGTTAAGATGTCTGGAGGGTCTGTGACTCAGTGGCACGTAAGAGCTTTCAGATTCAACCCCTGACATCCCCAGCAAGGTGGGTCTCCGATACGAGGGTTGGGAAAGGCTCATGCGTTGAGTTAAACATAGTTAAGCACGGCCTGATTTCATATAAGGTATGTAGTAAGTTGATACGCAGCATGTACACATGTTGGATATTTTTATGGAACTATCTTTTCTGCTTGCTTGATGCTCTTGTGTGGTTTTTTTAAAAAGAAACTGAATCATGCAGGGCATTATTTTTAAAGATAGTTAAGTAGTAGTTACAAGCTTCTTCTGATTTCCCATCCATTTGTCACCAACTGCATTTCTGCTATGGAAATGCACCAAAACCTTCTGCCTGCAGCCTCTTCCTCGGTGTAGCAGTTAGGTTTGGGGGAAGCATCCTGTTATAGAAAAGACTTCCCCATCTGTGCTCTAGAGGGTCATCTTTGTCTCCCAGTCTCCCCTGCACCTCCCATGGGATACCTCTTTCATTGGAATTTGCTTAGACAGGCGGTTTTGAGGTATTTTTGCAAGTAGCCCATGTGGCCTTCCTATAGCTATCAAAAGATGTAAAAAGACTAGTAAATATTACACACTGTGATTTCCCTCAATTTGTAACGTACTATGAAGCGATGAGATAGCTCTACACCCCCAACCCTTGCAAAACAGAAAAACAACCCAACCCAGTATATGCTAGAAAGCTGCCTTTTTCTCTGCCTGTTAATATCAAATAAATGTCTCCTTAGGTTGAGAATTTCTTCTGTATGGGATCTCCATTAGCAGTGTTTTTGGCCTTGCGTGGCATCCGACCAGGAAACAGTGGAAGTCAAGATCACATTCTGCCCAGAACTATTTGTAACCGGTTGCTAAACATTTTTCATCCAACAGATCCAGTGGTGAGTGTTAGTGCAGTAACAAGCTTTCACCTCGAGAGCAGAGGCGGCCCTACCATGAGGCAAGGTGAGGCGGCCCCCTCAGGTTGTGGATTTTGGAGTGGAAAAGTCAGGTGGGAGCCACAGAGCACAATCCCGGCAGGGATGGGTTTGAAAAAGAAGGGGTTTTTGTTGCTGTAGAGCTACCCTTCATTTCGATGGGGATTGCACAGGAGGACTTGACAGTGGGTTGTGTATGCCCCAGATTTTTGTCAATGGAAGTGACGCGCACACACCATTTGGGTTTTCCGCCTCAAGCAGCAAAATGTCTTGGGCCGGCCCTGCTCAAGAGTATTTCTAAATAGCATCTACTGAAGACCTGTCAAAGGCATCCTTACTGTGGAACGCCCTTCCAGCAGATGTCAAAGCGATAAACAACTACCTGACATTCAGAAGACATCTTAAGGCAGCCCTGTTCAGGGAAGTTTTTAACGTGTGATATTTTACTGTATTTTTGGTTTCTATGGAAGCCGCCCAGAGTGGCTGCAATTGACAGCAAATCGGATGCTGGATCAGCAATCTATGCCTTCTTTATTTTTAAAAGGGCTGTGTGAGCATCATGCCTTTTTTTTTTTTTTTTTGGTCTGTTTCTTTATTTTATTTTATTTTTAATTAAACTGCAGAACTTTTCTTGTGATTTGGAGCACCTGCATTGCTTGGCAATATCCCAGTGCACCCAGCAATTGGTATATTATTTCTCATTTGGTTTATATCCTGCCTTTCTTCTGAAAGGAGCCAAGGTCAACATGGGCATCTTCTGGAAACTTACAGAACCAGCTACACAAACACACACACACACACACACACACACACACACGATGCACATTGCAAAAGGGCATGTACAATTTTAACAGAATGCAGCAAGGGCACTTCTAGAGCAGCCTGAGACGCTATGTTTCGTGTACTTCTAGCGTCTTACTTTATTTATTTTTTCTCAGTTGTGTTGAAATCAGAGGGAAGTTGTGGTGAAATGTTCAGTATCCGTGAAATTTTCTTTTAAACACAGTTCAGAGACATTGGGAGTAGTTCACGTAATGAACCCTGTCAGCAAGGACTTTTGTTTCTGCAAAAGGGCTTCCCTCACCCTTCCTTGTGCCCCCCCCATCTGCTCTATGGGGATTGGGAGAACCCCAGAACATGTGGGGGGAAAGGAGAGGGAAGATCATTCCATCAGGCAAGTTGAAAACCTTGTACAGATAGAACCCCTTAGCAGTGTGAACCAGCTGCACATACCATTAACAAACCCTGAAGCAGCAGTTATTTGGGGTTTCACAGATACGGGGTAGCTGTTCTTGAATTTTTTTTAAAAAAAATGCATCTGTCCAGAAACCTTCCCTTCAGTCAATTTCTTCATCTTTAATGCTCCAGTGACTTTAGCAAGACTTCTGGGAGCAAGGAGCATGTGATCTCCAGTGTTCCTTGGCCTGGAATGATTGTATGTTGCTTGTTACTTAGTCACTCGTTAGATAGAGGAGTTTAGAATGCCCAGTTTTAATACAAAGAAAAATAATAGTAACAAGTCTCTCCCATAAAGCATTCCTTGTTTAGAATAGGTCCATGTCATAAGTAAAGAGCCCTGAGACAGCAGTGATTGCCCTTTCTGAGTATTCAGATTGCAAATGGAAGGAAGAAGAGAAGTGAATTGTTGCCTTCCACTCAAGCCCTCCCGTGTCTTCTTCTTTACAGGCCTATAGACTAGAACCCTTAATTCTGAAGCACTATAGCAACATTTCTCCAGTCCAGATCCACTGGTATAACACCACGAACCCTCTACCTTACGAGCACATGAAGCCAAGTTTCCTCAACCCGGCAAAAGAATCTACCTCAGTCTCTGAGAGCGACTCTCTCCCAACATTGCCCAGCCCAACAACATCACCTGTCCTGGCTCGACGGCACTATGGGGAGTCCATAACCAATATAGGCAAAGCAAGTATAATGGGTAACTATTCTTGAAGCCTTGGAAAACCTTGTGCCCCTGTGTGCATATCATACCCTCCAAGGAATAAAATTATCTCAGGTGGGCAGTTCGAATCCCCGTGACGGGGTGAGCTCCCGTTGCTCAGTCCCTGCTCCTGCCAACCTAGCAGTTCGAAAGCACGTCAAAGTGCAAGTAGATAAATAGGTACCGCTCCGGCGGGAAGGTAAACGGCGTTTCCGTGCGCTGCTCTGGTTCGCCAGAAGCGGCTTAGTCATGCTGGCCACATGACCCGGAAGCTGTACGCCGGCTCCCTCAGCCAATAAAGCGAGATGAGCGCCGCAACCCCAGAGTCGGCCACGACTGGACCTAATGGTCAGGGGTCCCTTTATGAAGCTCACACAGTGACCTGATGGGGGGCACAGCCCCCAAGACGCCCTGGGCACCAAAGATGGGCGTAGCTAATATCTATCTTGGAGAGATTTGCCCAAGGTCACGCAGCAGATTTTGATGGCTGGGCAGGTATTCCCACCACCAAACCTGGGTTATTTTCACCCTAAAATCAGGGCCGGGGGACATGTGGCCCCTCCTGGTGTTTCTTAGACTCCAGCTCCCATAAGCCTCAGCCACCACGGCCAGTGATCATGGGAGATGTAGTCAAGCAACCACTGGAAAGCCACAGAGTCCCCGTCCTTGCCCTCAGTAATAATCTTCTGAAGTTTGCAAAATAGCGTTGGGGGACGGTGTCACTTTTCACCATTAGTATTTTGACAGCTTAAAGGTAAAGGGACCCCTGACCATTAGGTCCAGTCATGACCGACTCTGGGGTTGTGGCGCTCATCTCGCTTTACTGGCGAAGGGAGCCGGCGTAAAGCTTCCGGGTCATGTGGCCAGCATGACTAAGCCGCTTCTGGCGAACCAGAGCAGCGCACGGAAATGCCGTTTACCTTCCCGCCTGAGTGGTACCTATTTATCTACTTGCACTTTGACGTGCTTTTGAACTGCTAGGTTGGCAGGAGCAGGGACCGAGCAACGGGAACTCACCCCATCACGGGGATTCGAACCTCCGACCTTCTGATCGGCAACTCCTAGGCTCTGTGGTTTAACCCACAGCGCCACCCGCGTCCCTTTTTTGACAGCTTATATACTGCTTAATTGCAAAAGTCTCTGAGTGGTGAATGATGCCACAGACCCTGTCCAAGTGGTGTCTAGTTTTGTGCCATGAGATTCCACATGGTACACATGATTGCAGTGGAGGCGCTAATTGGAGGGAGGTGGTATTTTCTCTATGTCAGGAGGCAGTGGGTTGAGCACAGTGCGAAATGTGGTATCCCCACAATGTCTGAACTCCCTGCAACAAGAAAGCAGCAGCTCCTCCTTGATCATATTATAGAGTGTATCTGAATGTTAACATTTTTACTGCCATCACACTCTACATTTTTTTAAAAAAATAAAAACATAATTTTATTAATCTAGATTTCCAAGATTGCTTACAAAAGAGAAGTGTAAAACAAACATAAAACAGATCAGAAACAAAAGCAGCTATCGTAGCAACAGTAAAAATACAAAAAGTAGTAGATATAAAACCAGTAAACATTTTAGACTTAAAAAAAAAAATTGCCCAGGATTTTAACACCTTACATTTTTAAGGTCTTCACCTAAAGTTGTAATTAGTGATCCCTTTGAATAGTGGTACCAGGTGTCTTTTCAAGATTAGCATCTGCAGTATTGTAGCTTGTAGTCTATCCACAAGGTGGCAGCAGAGTCAGATGAAAAGGCCAACATGATCGTGTTCGTGGCTTCTGGTTTGGGGCAGAGGGGGGGTGTTTATCATGACACGTTTTTTGTCCCGGAGTGCTGTGTGACTGCCAAGTTGAAACTCCCCTTGTCTTGTGCTGAATACAGGAGCTGCTAGCATCGGGAAAGGCCTCGGAGGGATGCTCTTCTCGAGATTTGGACGTGCCAGTGCTCCCGCTTCCCAGGCCCTTGAGGCAGGAAAAGAAGGGCCAGAACTGGAGGAGAAGAAGCCATCCTTGAGCCAGGCGTCCATCGGAACTCAGACCATCCCACACAGCAGCTCCGGCTTCTTAGATCCGACAAGTGAGCAAAAGCAGCTTTGTTGGTCCGCAGAAATCCTAGCCTTGCTTCCCCGTTTTCTTCAGAAGGGAAACTTTTTCCACTAGAGTCATTCAGGGTGTATTGAAAACAAATGAGCCGTGTGGGCTCTTGCAGTGGAGTCCTTGTGCATCTGTAGCAGTCTTAAAGATGGTGTATTCCATTCCTACAGATCTGGGGTTCCTAAAACTGCCTCGCGCCTAGGCTCCCTAAATCAAGCATAGTAGAAATTCCAGCCTCCCCAGGCACATCCTGTTTTTCTTGTTCTTGGGACAAACAGTTTGTGTAGTCCTTGCTTTTTTCTGATTTCCCCTCTTTCTCCAAAGACCCATGGCCTGAAGGGTACCATTGTTTACACAGAATCATAGAATCATAGAGTTGGAAGAGACCACAAGGGCCATCGAGTCCAACCCCCTGCCAAGCAGGAAACACCATCAGAGCACTCCTGACATATGGTTGTCAAGCCTCTGCTTAAAGACCTCCAAAGAAGGAGACTCCACCACACTCCTTGGCAGCCAATTCCACTGTCAAACAGCTCTTACTGTCAGGAAGTTCTTCCTAATGTTTAGGTGGAATCTTCTTTCTTGTAGTTTGGATCCATTGCTCCATGTCCGCTTCTCTGGAGCAGCAGAAAACAACCTTTCTCCCTCCTCTATGTGACATCCTTTTATATATTTGAACATGGCTATCATATCACCCCTTAACCTCCTCTTCTCCAGGCTAAACATGCCCAGCTCCCTTAGCCGTTCCTCATAAGGCATCGTTTCCAGGCCTTTGACCATTTTGGTTGCCCTCCTCTGGACACGTTCCAGTTTGTCAGTGTCCTTCTTGAACTGTGGTGCCCAGAACTGGACACAGTACTCCAGGTGAGGTCTGACCAGAGCAGAATACAGTGGCACTATTGCTTCCCTTGATCTAGATGCTATACTCCTCTTGATGCAGCCCAGAATTGCATTGGCTTTTTAGCTGCCGCGTCACACTGTTGGCTCATGTCAAGTTTGTGGTCAACCAAGACTCCTAGATCCTTTTCACATGTACTGCTCTCAAGCCAGGTGTCCCCCATCTTGTATTTGTGCCTCTCATTTTTTTTGCCCAAGTGCAGTACTTTACATTTCTCCCTGTTAAAATTCATCTTGTTTGTTTTTGCCCAGTTCTCTAATCTGTCAGAAGGGTACAACTTTGAAACATCACGGCTACCCTTGGCTGTTCCCTGCGTCACACTTAGTAGGATCTGGCCAATGGGCTGCTTAGTTCCAACGGTGCTACTGTCACAGCCCCCCCCCTATTTTGGGATCCATATCAAATCAGGAAGTGAGGGAATAGCTTAGTAAGTTGTTGCCAGAGCCCCCACCCCAATAAGCACAAGCAAAGAACTGGGAGCGCTGTGTTGTTCTGGCAATAATCCTTTGTGGTTTTGTTCTTGCTTCCTTCCTAGTGGACCTGGAGCACAGGATCGACTTTGAGCTCAGGGAAGGCCTGGTGGAGAGCAGGTACTGGTCTGCTGTCACATCACACACGGCTTACTGGTCATCCATGGACATTGCTCTCTTTCTTCTCACCTTCATGTACAAGCAGGACCAAGAGGAGGAAGAGGAGGAGGATGGCATCAAGTCACACTTAGAGCCTGTTTGATTGTAGCCTCGGGGGGGTGGGGTGGGGGGGGAAGTAGGGAGAGGATGAAACTTGACAAGTGGCACAAAGCAGCCTAAGTTCAACTTCTGTTTCTAAGGCATGGAGGTTTCAGGTTTAAATGCATGTCCGGATTCCTTCCTTCCAAGATTATTTCTCCTTCGCGGCACATTTCCACTTCTGTGCTAATTGAGGCTTTCCCAGAAGGCTGCTCTCAGTTCCCACTCTCTTACAGCCTGTAGTGGCACCGTCAGCATCCATCTCCCCAGGTTAGCATAACTGCTGTTTAACAGAATTCGTTTTTTTAAGTGCAAAGATTACTCTGGTTCCAGAATTCATTTTCATTTCAGAAAAGAATGCCTGCAAACCTAAAACAACCATGCTCTGTGTCCTTTGTATTGGTAAATAAGAAGCAAAGTGGGTATCCTAGTTCTAATCTGAAGACTGTTGCTCCAGGCTCCATTGAAATTCCTTTGGGATGGGAGACACAAAGGGGTGTGCTAACACAACTCATCCAGAAACTAAAACAGGCATGAGGCAAATATTTTGAAATACTGTAATTATAATTTATTATTACCTCTGACTAACCGTTTTGTTTCACTCCAGTGTGTAAAAAGCGTTACTTTTCTACTGTTTTTTCCCCGTTTTTTGTTTTTTGTTGGGGGGGGGGCATAATTTAAAGAACCACATTTATTTTCTACAGTGTTAAGACTTTATTCCTCAAATGACATATCTTTGTACTATTCAAAAGGAGCTATGGACACTGTGGCACACTTTTCAGTATTTTTTCATTAAAAATAAACATTTGTGGATCACACAAACAACACTTGCTAAACAGTTCTTCTCTGTGGGTAAGTAAAGTCTCTGCGGAGAGTAGGCTCCTCCCTTCATAGCGTGCACTTTGGAGAACTTGCAGCACTTCATTTTCTTCTCAAATTCTAAAATGTTATTTAGGAATTTCGATGCAAGCAAGTGGTGGAAGCTGAGTCCTGAACTTCAACTTCCTCAGTCATCAAGGAGTGTATTAACCTGAGCATACGGCCCTGGGCATTTGGACCAGCATTCCCTAAGCTTGTGCCTTCCAGGTATTTTGGATCACACATCCCATCAGCCCTAACCAGCACGGCTGGAGAACACCAGGTTAGGGAAGGGCAGATTGAACCATTTTTAAGAGACTTGGGAAAGTGATGCTAGCCAGGATCCAAAAAGAGGCATCCGTAGTTTTGTCAGTTGTTTTTCTTAACAACTGTTTGCAGTGCCAGTGAGACCATCTGCTTTCAAAAGGGCCACTTTTGTGAAAAGAAGAGCAAAAATCAGCTTCCAGACAGGCTCCCCGTTCACACACACATCCCCCTTCTCAGTATTTCACGTAGTATTTTCGAAACGCATAAAGATGGCTGCTTATTTGCCTTAAAGGTGGATCTGAGTCTCCTTTTGTCCTGGCTCATCCCAGCTGAAGGAGACAGACGTCAGATAGCTTTTATTGGTACAAGAAGCGCCCGCAACAACTCCCATGGTGCTCCGGGTGCGCTCACCTCTAGCCACTGAACAACAGTCCCCCACAGATGTGTGCCCTGTGGGGCAGTTACTGCAGCAGTGATGCCCTACCCCCCCGCCAGCTTAAGTAACCCCCCCGACAGGTTGCGCACCCGCAACCTGAGACTTCTGCTGCATGGAAGTAAGCAGACAGCAGGGCAGGGGGATGTGGGGAGTCTACTGACCCATCTCTCACCTTAACGCCACATCCTGCCCACCTTCCTCCATCTTGGACTGCCCTGACTCTCCCTCCTTCCCCTGCCCTGGCGCCAAACCCCATAAATTGCTGGTCCCCTCTCCTGGGTCACTCTCCTGATCCACTCACTCCAACATACACTCTTCAGAGGCCTGCTAGTCTTGATGGCACCTTTCTACTTTGTATTCGACACAATCAACGTAAATAAAAAACTGCCGATAAAACAGATTAAAGCACAGAAAACCACACTAGCACATAGGAATTGCAAACAGCAATAAAGCAATTTAAAACCAGCCCACAAGCATATTTAAATCAAAGCTGAAAGTTGTTACCGAAAAGGGCAGTCCGTGGAAGAACAATCTTCTTACAATCTCCTGATTTCAGAAGTATAATAACCGCATGGAAATGTTATACAAACTGGCAGTCTGAGTGTTATGTTGCAAATTTGGTAGTTTGGTAGAATGGCAGCATGCTTGAGGGTTTTTTGGAACAGGGTGGGTATCTTCAGTAGTTGACTGTTGTGTGTCGGAATGTCAAAGGTTGCTTCATTTTCTGTCACTTTGGAATGCAAGTGAGCTACCATCTTAACAGTCATGAAACGGGCTTAAAAACAGACTCCGCTGAAATCCTTTCAAGATCTGTGATTATCTCAAATTTGTGAAGGCAAAGCTTAATGTCAGAGTGATTTGGAATGCTTATTTCTCTGAAGGAACAGACAGTAAAAAAGAAAACATGGCATAGAACTGGAAAAACTCACATGTTGTCTGATCATGTCCACAACCCTGGGTTCGTTGGTGAGATAGAAGGCGGTGCTTAAAAATGGCATCCCCTGTTACTAGCTTTAAATGTCAGGCAATTGCTCTTATTAATATATAAAGTAACATTAAATTTAAGTGGCCTTTGGCAGCTACAGACTGCATTTAGCTTACCAATGACAAGTGGAATTCACAGATTTGGAAGGAAGGCCTTCTAAATGCCCAAAGTTAGTAGTTCCTGGCAGACTCCGGCATCTCCTTTTCCAGAAATCAATCTGGATGTGGCAATCCCCCTTCCATTGTTATGACTAACAAAGATTGTGACGCCCAACCTCAGCAGTACTACTGCTCCCTTGAAAAGGGATATATATTTGCTGTATTTAAGAAGGTGCCATTATCTGCATGTGGTGCCTGGGCAATGTGCTGAGCAGAACCAGGAACTTTCAAGAGGAAAACCCGGCTTCTCGGTACTTCCCCCACTTAAAAGATGAGGTCTGTGCAACTTTATACACTTCAAGCTGTGCACCACCTGTGTAATTCTAGCTTCTCAACCACTGCTGCTTTGTAGCCCCAAGCAGGCAGCAGTGCCAAGTTTTATGTTCATTGGACAGCCATACACTGAGGACAGTGACCCTGGGCATAATCTTGAGTTGTGCCCAGGGCCTGGTGCAAGATTTAAGTGTTGCTGAGCTAAATTAAAGCGCTATGGCGGTGCTTTAGTAGAGTATAAGACTCGGGTTCATGGGTTTGAGCCCCACGCTGGGCAAAAAGATTCCTGCATTGCAGGACCCTTGGGATCTACATGACCCTTAGGATCCCTTCCAACACTACAATTATATGATTCTAAACATACATATAAATGGCCAATTGCCAAGAAAATCCAACACTTTATATCAGGCATAGGCAAACTCGGCCCTTCAGAAGTTTTGGGACTACAACTCCCATCATCCTTAGCTAACAGGACCAGTGGTCAGGGATGAGGGGAATTGTAGTCTCGAAACAACTGGAGGGCCGAGTTTGCCTATGCCTGCTTTATATGCTACCTAACGCTGAAAGTCTCATAAGGAGCTTACAAAAATAGACAAGAAAACAAGCAATAGTGGGAAGCATCAAACCATTTTTTTATACTGGAATGCCGCTCTAGAGGTCTGGCAGTATATAACCATGTCTCTCAATCCATCTGCTAAGCAGAACATCATCCTCTGCAAGATAACCGGGCCTGGTCAAATGCTCTTCTCTGATCCACTTTTGTATTTATATGGCCAGGAAAGCTGCCTGTTTTATCTCTGGCCTTAAACAGTGTGCATGAGTCAGAATGAGTCCTCGCTGCAGCCCTGGTTTTGGCTGGAGGAACATTGCATTGTCCGTTACCTTCTGGTTTCTTCATTAACCAAAAGGGTGCATTTTTCTCTTCCTTCCCCTCCTCCCCAACCTCTTCTTGTTGATTCATCCTCAAAATATGTTTTCTATCTAGAACATCTATTTTAATGGTTCTCCCTTGTTTTCAAAAGTTTTTTCTTCAGCAATGAACTCTCCCCTCACTCCTTTCCCTTACAAATTATTAGCCTTTCAAAATGGCACCTTCTGTAAATCATTTTCCTGGGTAGCCACTCATCTATAATCCTTGATCTCCCATTGCACTGTGGCCTGTGGGTCCAGTTTGATCAGATGAAGGTTTCCAGGGAGGTCCCATAACCTCTCTTATCTCGTGGTCCAGCCCCAGGACCCATGCAGGAGTTGCACCAGAATCCTAACACAGACTCAAAAATAAAAACCACTTAATTCGGGTGTTGGCTTAAATATATATATATTAAAAAGTGCATGGCATAGAAGCCAAAGACTAGCTTTCCCTTGCTGCTGGTGAATTGCAGCCAGGCCTAGATAGTTGGGGTTAGAGGAGAGGATCTCCAGGCACGTTTCGAGTTGTGGTGCCCTCCATTGCCCATGGCCATGTTGGCAGGAGCGGATGGGATCTAACGTCCCAATAGTTGGAAGGCACCAGGTTGGGGAAGCCTGCATTAAGGCAGAGATGGTGGTGGAAGCAATAGAATAAAATAGGTTTTATATTTTGATTTTATTCTATGAACTGCCCTGAGACCCCCAGGTATAGGGTGGTATAGAAATTCAATAAATCATCATCATCATCATCATCTACTCGTACCTACAGGACTGCCTCTCCTGGTATGCCCCACAGAGGAACTTACGGTCTTCAAATAAAAACATCTTGAAGGTCCCAGGCCACAGAGAGGTTAGGCTGGCCTCAACTAGAGCCAGGGCTTTTTCGGCTGCGGCTCCAACCTGGTGGGACGCTCTGTCACAAGAGACAAGGGCCCTGCAGGACTTGACATCTTTCCGCAGGGCCTGCAAGACAGAGCTGTTCCACCAGGCCTTCGGTCAGGGCGCAGCCTGACTCCCTCCTTTGGCAATCTTTACAAAACTTTAGTTTATGGTTGCCATCAATTTTGATTTTAATTAATTTTTATAATGTTTTTATAATGTTGCACTATTTTAGTGTTGTTAGCCGCCCTGAGCCCGGCTTCAGCTGGGGAGGGCGGGATATAAATAAAATTTATTATTATTATTATTACTGAGGAACAGAGAAGAATATGAGCTCAAAGCTGCATGGAAAACTCTTTACTGCCCAGCAGATTTCAAGCTACAACTATTCAAGGGCAGCAATGATTCAGTCCAGTGTTTCAGATGAGGGCTTCACCTGGCCCTATCTGGTGATATTGGGACCTTCCTCATTACTGTTCTTCATTGGTATTGTAAATTTTATTTTAAATTTAATATCCTGCCCTTCCTCTCAAATGAGCCCAGGATGGGGGAAAACAAAGCAGCACAACTTTTCAAAGATTATAAAATCTGAAAACATTTGAAAAAGCAATTGCAAATCCTTACAGCTAATAAGCCTAGGTTTGCCAGTCATCAAATGCCTGGGTGCATGTGCTGTACCGTGGAGCTATGACCCTTCCCCCAAATAATTTGCTTTTTCTGCAGAAGGAAGAAACTGTGCAGTGCTGGTGGGAGTGGGAGGTTCAGAAGGGCCTTTCTTGTCCCCCTCCGTGTTGGCCAATGTCCTCTTCTCCAAGGTGCCACTATCCACTCTGTGCCCGATCTGCACAATCGCTCTGAGGGGAGAGTGCAAGACAGGTGGAGGGTTCTGCTGCTGACAAATGTGAGGAGTGTACTGGCCTCTCCAGTGCAGGCATCCCCAACCTTCAGCCCTCCAGATGTTTTGGACTACAATTCCCATCATCCCTGACCACTGGTGCTGTTAGCTAGGGATCATGGGAGTTGTAGGCCAAAACATCTGGAGGTTGGGGGTGCCTGTTCCAGTGAGTGGGCAGTAGGTCCTCTGCAGTTGCCCAGACAACAGCTGTTACCCAGGAAGTCTGACCCCTAATGACAGTCCTGGCTGTACAAAACTACCTTTAGGAGAAAAGGATGGATGTATGCAACCAAAATGATTCAGCAAAGAAATCCTAATGCTATCCACTTTTTTCCCCATCCAAGTGTTGGCAAAAGGCATAATATTTCTCTTCCAAGAAGGTGTCTTGCTGTCAAACCACATCTGAGGAGTAGTTCAATGATTCCTTCCTCTTGATGGTTGTTGTTTTTTTAATACATTTTTTGTAGCTCTACCTCCTTTTTAAAAAACAAAAGCCAGCCACAAAGTCTGCAGTGGAAAAGCAAAGGAAGACAGGAGGAGGAAAGGATAGACGGACTGCTCCCCTTCTTGCCATTTGTCTGGTAAAAAGCACCCTTTCCCCACAAGCTGCTTTTCTCCCCCTGCCCCCATATGACGGAAAAAAGCTGGGTGCACCGTACCTCTCCCATCATAATCAGGGATCCAAGGTAGCAGGGAGAAGTGGCTGACGCAGAAAGAAAACAGCTTGCATATTATTTGCAATGCATTGGATAAACAAATGATTTTCAAGGGGAACATTCTTACACTGACTCTAGAATATCTGGAAACCAAGCCTTAGCAGGAACAGTTGAGGGAGTTGGGTATGATTAGCCTGGAGAAGATAAGACAGAGAGGTGATAGAATAGCCATCTGCCAGATGGAAGATGGAGCAAGTTTATTTTATGCAGCTCCAGAGATTAGGACCATCTGAGTAATGCCTAAATTGACTGGCAGTGGCTCTCCAGTTTTTAATGCAAGGAGCACTCTTAGTCACACCTGGAGATGCCAGGGATTGAACCTGGAACCTTCTCCATGCCAAGCAGGTGTTCCACCACTGAGCTATGGTCCCTTCCCGAAATGAAGGAGCTGCAACTACAAAGGGTTCCTGAACATTTCTTTCTGTAAATAGCTATCTGCTTGGTCTATGCAGCTATTTTCATTCTATGGTGCTAATTTCATTTTTCCCATGGATGGGAGATTAGTTTGATATCAACCTGCCTGTGCATTAAGATCAGGGGAAGAGGCATGATGGCTGGGGCTGCTGAAAGCTCTAGTCCAAAACTTTGCCAAGATTGCAAAGGCTGGTATAGAGGTAGAAACATCTTGAGTGATTTTAGTTTGTCTCCATTATACTGCAATAGCCTTTGGTTATCTTGGGTTACAGACACTTCAGGTTACAGACTCCGCCAACCCAGAAATAGTACCTCGGGTTAAGAACTTTGCTTCAGGATGAGAACAGAAATCCCACAGCGGCGGTGGGAGGCCCCATTAGCTAAAGTGGTACCTCAAGTTAAGAACAGTTTCAGGTTAAGAACAGACCTCCAGAACGAATTAAGTTCTTAACCCGAGGAACAGAGTGATTTGGGGCAAAGCTGAGGGCTTTTGTAATTTCCATTAAAAAAGAACAAGGAATAAATGAGTAATTGCTACACAGTTTGTTGCATGGGATCCTATGCCCAGATAATTCTGTTCATGTGCAGGGACTAAACTATTTTCTACTTGGCATAAATGGATTCTTCTCAAAGACAGCACAGCTGTTGCTAACTGCAGTCACCCTGTGCAGAATCCAGCTTTTTGAAATTCTTGTCTTCCTTCTTTCCCCCCCCCCTTTTTTTTAAGGTACAAATGCTGGCTTGAATGTGTGGGCAGAAATATTGCTGTAGATTCAGGGGGGCGGGTTATGAATAAGATTTCCAGCAGGATTTCTGGAGTGTGTGTGGAGATCTTCAGTGCTCTGCATAGCAATTTGATCCATACCATTGATCACAAACATAGACTATATACGGGAAGTTAGCAAAAAATGGAATAAGATCTGCAAATGCATATTGTCTCCAGCTTACGGAATTCAGATTTGCATTTTATGGCAGCTTTTATTTTGCCCAGAATTTGGGTTGCCTGCTGGCAACGTTTAAATTTTATTTTTAAATCCAGAGTGCCCAGAACTACTATATAACATATTCTGTTTGTGACGTGAACAGTAATGAGCAATGTAACTCTTCAGCACCTTCTGGCTGGTTTCCCCACAAATTGCACTTAGACATGGCCTGTAATACATTGGGTTGAAGGCCACCTTTTTGCCAAGGCTGCCTGGGAAAGCACAACATCCCTCCCAGATTTCTGTGGCTCTTCCAGGGATGGAGTTTCCACATCAACGCTGAGCTGTCAATGGAACGGCTGTGTTGGCACTACAGAATCCATTCTTGCCCTGGGCACAGCTGTGAAGCCCAGCCAAACCAAAACAATGCTGGGAATGCTGGGGCGATGATGGTGGACTGTGTGGGCAGCCAGGGAGAGAAAAGCAATCCAATAAACAGCAGTGGTTTGGAGGGGAATGGCTGTGAGAAGGAGGGAGAAGGGGCAGAGCAGGGGTGAAATGGGGGGGTTGCAGGCTTTTTCAACGGTGTTTCAAATATATGCAATTTCACTTAAATCTGTAGTGCCTTGGAACTTAACCCCCACATAAATTGGGAGTTGCCTGTACATTCCACTGGAAATAGCAGAGAGAGGGGTGCATGGCAGAAAGAGGAAGATAAGCATTTATTATCGGTGGAGCAGCCACCAAGATCACATAACACCAGTCTTGAAAGACCTACATTGGCTCCCAGTACGTTTCCAAGCACAATTCAAAGTGTTGGTGCTGATCTTTAAAGCCCTAAATGGCCTCGGTCCAGTATATCTGAAGGAGCGTCTCCACCCCCATCGTTCTGCCCGGACACTGAGGTCCAGCGCCGCTGGCCTTCTGGCGGTTCCCTCCCTACAAGAAGCCAAGTTACAGGGAACCAGGCAGAGGGCCTTCTCGGTAGTGGCACCCGCCCTGTGGAACACCCTCCCACCAGATGTCAAAGAGAACAACAACTACCAGACTTTTAGAAGGCATCTGAAGGCAGCCCTGTTTAGGGAAGCTTTTAATGTTTGATGCATTGCTGTATTTTAATATTTTGTTGGAAGCCGCCCAGAGTGGCTGGGGAAGCCCAGCCAGATGGGCAGAGTATAAATTATTATTATTATTATTATTATTATTATTATTATTATTATGGCAAAGATGGTGGCAGAGAGAGTAAAGGGGTGGAGCAATTTGGTGTTGCCAACAAAGGTCCGTATAGTTCAAGCTCTGGTTTTCCCAGTAGTGATGTATGGAAGTGAGAGCTGGACCATCAAGAAGGCTGATCGCCGAAGAATAGATGCTTTTGAATTATGGTGCTGGAGGAGACTCTTGAGAATCCCATGGACTGCAAGAAGATCAAACCTCTCCATTCTGAAGGAAATCAGCCCTGAGTGCTCGCTGGAAGGACAGATCCTGAAGCTGAGGCTCCAATACTTTGGCCACCTCATGAGAAGAGAAGACTCCCTGGAAAAGAACCTGATGTTAGGAAAGATGGAGGGCACAAGAAGGGGATGACAGAGGACGAGATGGTTGGACAGTGTTCTGGAAGCTACCAGCATGAGTTTGACCAAATTGAGGGAGGCAGTGGAAGACAGGAGTGCCTGGCATGCTCTGGTCCATGGGGTCACGAAGAGGCGGACACGACTAAACAACTAAACAACAACAACAACAATTTGGTGTTAGCTCCACCCATTTGCAGCTCTAGCTCTGCCCACCAATGGCTCTGGTCCCTGATTGACTTTTCGCATGGGTGAATGACTGTGGGTTGATGGCTCTTCATAGCCTTCCCTTTTAATGTTTGGGTCTCTTCCCAAGATAGCAGGGACCACCATCTATCTTTTCCTCCATTCAGATAGAGATGAACTAAGGTCCCTTTCTTGATGGTCCATCCATGTACACCCAACAGAGGAAGTGCCTCCTCACTCGCTAGAACTTCCTGTCCCTGGACGTCCACCAAGGCCTGACATTGAATATCCTCTGAAAGTGCCCTCAGACTTTCCTGGTTCAGCTGAAACTCAGCAGCTAAGCCCAAGCCTAAAAAGATTAGACATAAATAAAATGATTGAAAAATTGTGGTAAATGGATGTATTTTATTTATTATTCAGAAGCTGGTGGCTCTGTTTGACCATTTTTTCCCCTATTCTCAAAGTGTTGCTCTCCACCCTGAGCCAATGGAAAGGTGCAACAGAGGAATGAAACACAGTAAATGGATATTAGTGACAAGTGTGGCATTGATAACAAGAATGCCCCCAAATGTGGATGGTGTTTGCTTCCCTACCCCACCCCAAGCTTTGGTATTTCATTCCATAATGGAACATACTTAAATAACAGTTACTCTTTCTGGGTGGAGTTGCAAAAAGTCTTCCAGAGACATGAGTCAGGCATCAAAACAATCTGGAAAGGAGCATTAAAATCTATATTTTCAAACAGTATATTGACATAGTTTTGTCCTCTGTGTTTTGAACATCTGAAATGGCAAGAAATTCCAGCTTCAAGCTCCTGGGACAGAATGATTGCGATGCAAGTTTCCTGCTCAAAACAGCAACCCCACCTTGAGATGCTTCTCTCCTGGTAATGTGGTTTGAAGTAGTTTTGGAAACAAGTGAAGGGACATCATCATGTATATTGATGTGTGTTGCTTTGACTTAAAAAGGTAAAGGGACCCCTGACCATTAGGTCCAGTCGTGACCGACTCTGGGGTTGCGGCGCTCATCTCGCTTTACTGGCCAAGGGAGCCGGCGTAACAGCTTCCGGGTCATGTGGCCAGCATGACTAAGCCGCTTCTGGTGAAACCAGAGCAGCGCACGGAAACGCCATTTACCTTCCCGCCGGAGCGGTACCTATTTATCTACTTGCACTTTGACGTGCTTTTGAACTGCTAGGTTGGCAGGAGCTGGGACTGAGCAACGGGAGATCACTCCGTTGTGGGGATTCGAACCGCCGACTTTCTGATCGGCAAGTCCTGATCGGCAAGCTCTGTGATTTAACCCACAGCGCCACCCGCCTCCTGTTGTTTTGACTTACATTTCCTTAAAATAGCAACCAATTAACAACAACAACAACAACAACAACAACAACAACGTTGTTGGCCCCCTGGGTAACCCGAAGGAACATTTCAATGGTTTATCTTAGATTGAAACTAAACAGAGCCTTTGCATTTCACACGTACTTTTTAAAAAATTCAAATAGCAGCAGCTACTACTGGAGGGAGCCCCTTCCCCCACTAGAGCCCAGCCCTCAGATGCCATGGGAAATGAGACTTCCCCTCCAGATGCAAGCAGCAGCTTCACATGAGCACCTTTCATCCAGATTGCAGCAGGGCTGGAAAGGGTTAAACTCTTTGCCCCACCCCTGCCTGTGACAATTACAATTAGCAGCCCTGCCAGCCCCACACAGCTGCTATCTGACTGTCTTAAAATATGCATTTTAAATGCAGAGAAGAGGTTCAGCACCATGTCTTTAGAGAAGCCCACTTTCTAAAAGAGCTGCAAGCCTGAGCTCTAAATGTCACACACAACCTCTTTTATTCTATTAAAAACATGGACTTAATTGGGACTTGTGGGTTTATATTCCCACTATAGTTGATAGCCAAAAAATAGCAAGGAGAGACAAGAAGGCCTTCTTAAACGAGCAATGTAAAGAAATAGAGGAAAACAATAGAATGGGAAAAACCAGAGATCTGTTCAAGAAAATTGGAGATATGAAAGGAACATTTTGTACAAAGATTACCATAATAAAAGACAAAAGTGGAAAGGACCTAAAAGAAGCAGAATACATCAAGAAGAGGTGGCAAGAATACACAGAGGAATTATACCAGAAAGAACTGGATATGGAACAACTGATTGGTTCAAAATTGGGAAAGGAGTACGGCAAGGCTGTATATTGTCTCCCTGCTTATTTAACTTATATGCAGAATTCATCATGTGAAAGGCTGGACTGGATGAATCCCAAGCCGGAATTAAGATCGCCGGAAGAAATATCAACAACCTCAGATATGCAGATGACACAACCTTGATGGCAGAAAGTGAGGAGGAATTAAAGAACCTTTTAATGAGGGTGAAAGAGGAGAGCGCAAAATATGGTCTGAAGCTCAACATCAAAAAAACGAAGATCATGGCCATGGGGCCCATCACCTCCTGGCAAATAGAAGGGGAAGAAATGGAGGCAGTGAGAGATTTTACTTTTTTGGGCTCCATGATCACTGCAGATGGTGACAGCAGTCACGAAATTAAAAGACGCCTGCTCCTTGGGACAGAATCTTAAAAAGCAGAGACATGACCTTGCCAACAAAGGTCCGTATACAGTGGTGCCCCGCAAGACGAATGCCTTGCAAGACGGAAAAACCGCTAGACGAAAGGGTTTTCCGTTTTGAAGTTGCTTCGCAGGACGAATTCCCCTATGGGCTTGCTTCGCAAGACGAAAATACCTTGCGAGTCTTGAGATTTATTTTTCGCTTTCCCCCCCCTTTATCTACTCTGCTAAGCCTTTAATAGCCTTTAAGAGCCTTTTAGCAGCTAATCCCCTCAGCCTTTAAGCCTTTAATAGCCGCTAAACCGCTAATAGCGCTAATAGCGCTAATCCGTCAATGGGCTTGCTTCGCAAGACGAAAAAACCGCTAGACGAAGACTCTCGCGGAACGGATTAATTTCGTCTTGCGAGGCACCACTGTAGTTAAAGCCATGGTTTTCCCAGTAGTGATGTATGGAAGTGAGAGCTGGACCATCAAGAAGGCTGATTGCCGAAGAATTGATGCTTTTGAATTCTAGTGCTGGAGGAGACTCTTGAGAGTCCCATGGACTGCAAGAAGATCAAACCTCTCCATTCTGAAGGAAATCAGCCCTGAGTGCTCACTGGAAGGACAGATCCTGAAGCTGAGGCTCCAAGACTTTGGCCACCTCATGAGAAGAGAAGACGCCCTGGAAAAGACCCTGAAGTTGGGAAAGATGGAGGGCACAAGGAGAAGGGGACAACAGAGGATGGGATGGTTGGACAGTGTTCTCGAAGCTACAAACATGAGCCTGACCAAATTGCGGGAGGCAGTGGAAGACAGGAGTGCCTGGCGTGCTCTGGTCCATGGGGTCACGAAGAGTCGGACACAACTAAACGACTAAACAACAACATGGTTGATAGCAGAGCATAACACAGCATAGAAAGAAATATAGTATTGCTTCCCACAATTGCAACTGTTAATGGACCACTATTCTTCTCTTGTACACATCAGTTGGGCTTTTCCATGGAAACCCCGAGGTTTTATTCTTTTAAATTTATTTTTATTAATTTTTACATAACGTATTTAAATTCAAACACATCATTCACCTCCTCTTTTAGGATTATCGGAATCCCCTGACTTCCCTCCACCCTTCCATGGTTACCATTGTCATTCTTTTTTTCATCTGCTTATTTTCTTTTCTCTAATTTCTTTTTTTTTTAATAGTCCATTTTTCCATAGTTTTTCGTACATTGCAAGCATTACTCAAATCCTGCCAAAGTTTTTAGCTGTTTACAGTGTTCTCTTAGATACATTATATATTTCTCCCATTCCTTCTTAACCAAGGAGACAACATCCCCACCCCACCTTCCCACTATATATAAGGTCCGGTGACTTCTGTTTCAGTGTATCTGAAAAAGTGTGCATGCACACGAAAGCTTACACCTAGAACAAACTTAGTTGGTCTCTAAGGTGCTACTGGACAATTCTTTACCTTTTTTACATATTTCAACATTTCATCTGTCTGACCAAGTGCCCTCAAGTCCACGAAAGCCCCCCAGAAGGAATGGATCTGTTGCTCTTTAAGGTGCCACAAGGTGTGGGGAGCCACCAAATTTTTCTCTTTGCAGGCTGTGGAAGCAGCTCAGGAAGCCTGCAGAGTCACCCTGCAACCCATGGAGTGGAGCAAGGAGCCGCTCTAATGGCTCGGGGCCCAGCAAACAACAAAGCAAGGCAGTTCATGGGGTGTGTTTGATGTGCAAACAGATCCAGCTGTTGGCATCGGAGTCTTTAATGAGCCTGCTTATATGAAAGCCTTTCATACCCAAGGCCTCCTGTAAATGACTGTCAAAGCCACAGGAGTTCAGGCACTGTGGAAATAACCTTTTTTGTTACAGCCTCTTCCTCCAGGGTTCAAACAGCCCTACGCTTATGCTTACGCAGGGGTCAGCAAACTTTTTCAGCAGGGGGCCGGTCCACTGTCCCTCTGACCTTGTAGAGGGCCAGACTATATTGGGGGGGGGTGAACGAATTCCTATGCCCCACAAATAACCCACAGATGCATTTTAAAGAAAAGGGCACATTCTACTCATGTAGAAACACACTGATTCCCAGACCATCCGCGGGCTGGATTTAGAAGGCGATTGGGCCAGATCCGGCCCCCGGGCCGTAGTTTGCCTACCCGTGGCTTAGCCCATGGGAACATTTTGACTGCCAGCTTTCGCCATTCTTTTTTGTTTTTACTTTGCAAAGTTGTTGTCGTACTTCACCAGATCTTAAACCTGTTACAGTATTTGTAAGAAAGGATTCCAAATATCATTGAATTTGTCCATGGCAAGTCTGCGTTTATATGTAAGTTACAGGTATAAGTTGTTCATATGTTGCGAGTTTGTAGGTCTTCAATTCAATCGGAGAAGGGAATTGCAGTTTTATTTTTCCAGTTCATCAGTATGCGTCTTTTTGCCATGCTAAGGGTGCAGAGAGTCCACTCTTATTGTCTTTTTGTAAGGTTCCATGTGTTGGGTATATAATTCAAAGGGATATTTTGCTCTGTAAATGTAAGCTTGTTCCGTATAGTTCTGTTGATAGTTTGTTACTTCTGCCAAAAATCTTTCAACATAGGTTTTAGAGAAGCATTATTCCTATTGCATCTCCAACAGTTAGATACCTTAGACAGCCATTTTAAAAACAAATGTAATGGGATCCATTATAATCTAAATATTTTTTGTTGTTGTACGAGCCTCAATTTAAGGTCCAGAGATGCCCCTGTTACAGCACATAAAACAGTTTCCCACTGTGTGGTCGAAACTGAGATCTCTAATTCTTTATTCCATTCCTCCCTCAATACCTGTATATCAAATTGGTTTGCTAGTAACAAAGATTTATATATGTTGATGGTCACTTTTTTTGTTGCATAATAATTAATCAACTGCTTCAGTATCTCTGGGGTCTCTGAGGCTGTAAAAGCTGCTGGTCCATAGATGCTGGTTAGCAAGTTTTTTCATCTGCCATTGAGCATTTGTAGGTAATCTGTATTTGTGTCTTAAGACGGTATATGTACCTAACAGAACCTCAGCTTATTGTCTGCTATCTTCTCCGACCTTCAAACTTGAGACAGTGACCAGATGCAAAGTCCAAGACTCCACCATCAGCCAATTTTCCCCACCCCTGGCTCCCCATCTAGACCAGTCTCCACCAACCTAGTGCCTTCCAGTTGTTTTGAACTACAAGTCCCATAAAACCCTGATCAGAATGGCCATTGGTTGACCTAATATGGATTTTGGAATTTACCCCAAGGGCTAAAATAGCTACCTTTTAATGTCCATTTATCTTATACAAGTGTGGTTGACGTTGTTATTGGATTTACCTCTGCTCTTCTTTCCTAAGTGCAATTTTAAAATTTCAGTTTCTACAACAACGCAGCCTGAAAAACCACGGCAACAACCTGTGGATGATGAAATCGTGGAAGGAAATCGGACACCCATCCCTTAGTTTGCAAGAGGCATGGCAGACCCACGGCTGGCCATTCAGTCACCATCTTGGTGGGCAAATACATCTCAAGGTATAACATTTCACCGCACGCTTTCACAGAAGCCCTGAGTGGGTTGGCTTGACTCCATGCCCTGCAGAAATCTGTGGCAAAGCTAGGTACTGACAGACAAATCCGCATTTCCTGTTTCCGAGGTCTGTGGTCTAACCACAAGGTTCTTGTTCCCTTTTGAGTACTAAGGTGCCGCCCCTAGAACAAGTCATTGTTCCTATTACTTTCCCATCCATACGGGCATCAAGGGCCATGCCAGCGGCTAAGCTTGCACGATTCTCCAGTTTCAATCAGATAATCATGCAATTCGCAAGATCCCAGCTGTTAAATCGGAAAACTGTGATATCGTGTGTGCGATCTGCTCAAAGAGCCATACATTCAAACTTCATTGATTCGTTTGGAGGTAGTTATGGAGCAAATGACTCCATCATTTATTTTTAACTGCTGGTTGCAGCTGATAGGAGTTGCAGCCCTATCATGTGGGGGACACCAGGTTGGCAAAAGCTGGTTTTTCAACTGTAACAGGATTTTCACACAAGGAATGTATCAATAACACAATGCTCCTTTGTTTCCTTGCTAGTTCATTTATTTGGATGTGAATCTGGCTGATCATATTGAGTGGAAAGCAGTTAAAGACCCTTTTGTGCACACAAAAGAATGCAGTTGAGGTGCATAACAGGGTTCCTTGTGTGCAAGGGCTCTGCACAGGATCTGGGTCGAATCTTGATTGAACTCCAGATTGAACCCACAGGACGCCAATGCTGCTAACCCCAACATACATAGAATAACAAAGTTGGAAGGGGTCCTGAGGGTCATCTCATCTGACCTGTGCAATGAGGGAATCTCAGCTAAAGCATCCATGACAGATGATCATTCAACCTCTGCTTAAAAACCTCCAATGTAGAAGAGCCCGCTATCTTCCAAGGGAGTCCATTCCATTGTCAAATAGCTCTTATTGGCAGAAAGATCTTCTGGATATTGAGTTGGAATCTCCTTTCTTGCAACTTGAAGCCATTGGTTGGAGTCCAATGAAAACCAAAGAGAAAACCAGGAGAAAGCAAGCTTGCTCTGTCTTTTATGTGACAGCCCTTTAGATATTTGATATCCTCTCACTCGCCTCTTTTCCAGGCTCAACATCCCCAACTCCTTCAACCGTTCCTCATAAGGAATCCATGGCAGACAACTGCAGTACCTAGAGACAGACTGTCAGGTCATGTGTCCATACTAGCGACCAGAGGAGGAGTCCAGAAAGAAGAAACACCATGGTACATCTGTATCAGCACAACTGGATGCCTTCATCTGCCCCAGATGCAACAAAACATGTCTCTCCTATATTAGTCTCTACAGCCACAGCAGGTGCTGCAACCTTCCAACAGTTTGACTTTACCCACAAAGGCACACTCCTCCATTGTATCCTGAGACAGACGTCAACAACAAAAATGTTTGTATCTTTGCATTTAGACATTTCTTAAAATATCATTACCAAATTTTCCATGATGATTCCTGAGATTGAAGATTCCTGAGTTTGAAGAACAGGTTTTATCTATGTTTGGATACAACTGGATGACATTTTGAAACAATATGGTAGACAGAACCTTTCAGCACTCCTCTCATTTTAACCAGGGATTTCAAAACTCTGCTGATTTTTTGGGTTTCTTGGAATTCCCAAGCGACATAAGGCACTTTCTGCTGAAAATAAATGACATTAATGTTCCTAATGTGGAATCTCTTTCAGCCGGATGGGTGGCCGCATTCTGATGTGGGCAACGATACAGGTGGCCACATACTAGTGGTGGGCAGGACAAGAGGCAGAATTAGGTAGCGCAATGGATGCAGCTCTTACCTTTGTTCAGTAGGTCTTGGTCTAGCCATGCAAAAGTCAGACACAGATCTCCATCCTAGGAGAGATGTGGCATTATTACAGTTCAAAGACACATTGCAACCAAGCGTAAGCACTTGAGGAGGGCCCAGAGCAGGAGGGTCAGTGGGGGCTGTGGAGTGGGGAGAGTGCATCACCAAGGGAGAGTCTTGTGGGTCAAATTGAGAGGCCTGGAGAGCCACCTTCTGCCCATGTGCCTAAGGTTCATCACCCCGGTGTAGGAACAAAAGCAAAAGCACCATCAGCTGCCCCAAACCATGACAGAGGAAAGGTCCCATGTGGGGAGGGGTCTCTGTGATGGAGAGGAAGGTGGGCCACTGGCACCCTGGTGCCCAAGAGCCCACAAACCCCTGTATCTGATCCCCAAAGTAAGTGATAATTATGAAGGCTAATGCTTTACATAAGCAATGCCTGTGTAATGAGGAATGAAAAATGATGAATCTGATTTTAAAACTGGCCATCTGTTACAAACTATTGAGCCAGGCTGTGACACTGAGGTGCTGAGCAGCAGAAAGGGAAAAAAGCTTTCTTATATCAAACTTGCAGAGAGAGAAAGGCAGAGAGCCATAAGACTGTCAGGTCCAGTAGCTAAACTGAAGCCAGGTCTGGCTGATGTAATTTATGTCAACTTCTGAGCCCTCTTGTTTCAGTACCTTATTTGGATACAGCTGCCTATAAAATCCGAGCAGTTCTTGCAAACAAATGGGAAGAGCTTACAGCTTCTTAACAGCTCATGACGCAAGTTGCCTGAATTCCCAACCTTGCCTTCAAATTCCAGGGTGCAATTTCCAATCTATCTGGAGTTGCTGCTGCAACTGCAGAAAACTGCAGCAAAATGTATTGTCCACACACTGCATTTCTTCACACGATCCACCTATTTGAGGATGGACAGAAAAATCATGTAGAGAAAGCAAGTGACAAACTAGCAGGAGTCAAGTGGGCATCAATCAGACAGGCCTGAAAATGACATGTTTGGCTTGGGCCTAATTTTATATTTGAACAGTGGTATTGAAGGCCTGTGGAAATACTCCCAGCCCCATTTGTGGTCCTTCTATAATCTAGGAGGCTATAAGGGGCAGAGGGCTGTTGTGCTCAGGTCCTGCTTTTGGGTTTCCTGTAGGCATCTGGCTGGCCAATGTGAGAACAGAATGCTGGAATAAATGGGCCACTGGTCCGATCCAGTGGGCAGGCTCTTCTTAAACCCTTAGATTTGTCTTGTAGGGGCTTGGGCAAGAAGACCTTTGGCATCCTTTCCAACAATTCTATGGCCCTAGGATGATTTACAATATAAAATTTAAAACCAACTATCATGAATGAATTAAAACATATTAAAATAGCACAACAAGCATAGCATCAATTCAGTACATCAGGAGTCCATAAAGTGGGATTAGATTAATGCCTCCCCCTGCCATGTCAGCGCAAAAAGATATTTTTTTGCTGACATCAGAAGGAAGCCACCTCTGTGGATGGGGAAAGTTCCACAGCCTGGGAGCTGACGCTATACAACGCAATTGATGGGACAACCAGCCAGGCCTCCCCTGCAGAACACAAGTCCCAGACTGGTCGATATGGCAATCTGTTGCATATTGAATTAAATTTAACATTTAATGTAACACATACTTTGTCCCACAGATGACCAATTTATAAAGCAATGTAATGCACAACAGGATAAACGCTACTTGGTAAATTATCAGCCCTTGGGAGCAAAGAGGGTTTCTTGCCAGTCTTCTGATTCTTCTGGGAGACTTTCACCAATCCCAGAGCTCACTGAGAACTTGGAAGCAAAATATTATAGAAGTTAAAACTTCAAACTGGCCTCCTTTGTTTTTGCATTCAAGCTGAGAGAAGTTATGCAAGTAACAAGCTTGAACTGTTATAATTCAGTTTTCTAGGTTTTAGGCACACACAGCAAGGCATATGTTAGTCATGCAAATCTTCTTTCCTCCAGATGTGTGTGCTATTGGGCAAAAGCCTTTTTCACATGACAACTGTACAGCAGCCAATGGACACATGGAGGGAAAATCAGGTCGCACCTGCTCCCCTATTTCTGACCTGCATTATTCAACAGAAACTCTGAACAGAGCCAGGGATATACACACCTAGGCTCTGTGCACCTTTTGAAGGATTCCTGGTCACATGGGGAGCACCTATATTTGGCCATTGTACATCTATGCATATATGCTGGGAATGAGCACAGTGGTTGCAATCCAAATCCTCCCTCCACAGGTTCCCTGAACACGCAGAAAGAGCTAGATTCATACAAAAGTTTTAGCCCAAGTTGCCAGTTTGGCATTTGAAAGCCATTATTTCATCAACTAGCTATGATTAGGTCTCACCACAACTGGGGAAACACAGATTCAGCCAGGATGTGGTCATCTGCTGTCTTGACACATACTGGGATGCTCCCAAGATCCACCATGCTCTCAGCACTACCATTGCATGGCACTGGTTGTCTGAATCCATGCAACACAAAAGTTTTACGTGTGCAGAAATAATTATGCCTGTTGTTATAAATGCATTGTTTTCAACTCAAATACAACTGCCTCTGAAGTAGTTTGCAATGTTGAGTTTATTTAATTATGTACAGCATTTATATGCAACCCAATAATAATGTTCTATGTCAATCAGCCCCTCCAATTCATCTAAGGTAAAGGACTCCTGGACAGTTAAGTCCAGACAAATTCGACTTTGGGGTGAAGCACTCATCTCCGCTCTCAACCTGAGGTAACTAGTCAAATTGCTGACCTTACATTCGGCAAGCCCAAGAGGCTCGGTGGTTCAGACCACAGCGCCCCCCATGTCCCTACCACCACCACCATTGCCTCTCTTTCCCGCCTTCCAAGCAAGCAGGGCAGATCCAGAACTCTTTCACATTAACCTCTAAAACACACTGTGCTTTGATGAGTTATGCATTTTTCTGTAATATCTGTTACGTTGCTGCTTGGTCTAGATCTGTTGCAAAGCCACTCTGAGCATAAGGGTGGCAGGAAAGGGGCATATAAATAAACTTGACTGATACTTTCGGAAAACCGAGGCTATTTCAGGAGGATTCCACCACTGACCCCAAACTAGTAATAATGCAATTAGGGCCCTGCAATGATGTGATTACCCTCGGTTAAAAGAAAACAATCACAGGGTGGGATGGGGTCACGTCACTCCACTTCTCTCCTGGGGCAAGCTTGTTGAAGTGAAAACACCGAGAAAATGTGTGTGGAATTAAATCTTCAGGGTATCAGTGCTATGTGAGACTCTTTGAGACGTTATTTTGGGACAGATTGACTCCCTCGGGGGAATTTTTTCCATAGGACTCCTTGATCCCAGTCCCACCCTCGCTGACATAATGAGCTCTCTGTTCTTTCCGCGGCTGCACTCTTGGTTCCTATCCAGTCTCTATATTGTTACAGCTGCTGGGTGACCCTTCTTTGCTAAGGTGATTGCTTATTAATAGTCACGAACAATAGGCTGATGTTCCCTCAAGAGGAACTAACCGTTGGAGATGTTTTCCCAGATGGGTAGCTTACCTGCAAGACGGCTTCTGCGGCCAGTTCTCAGCCAGCGTTGTCGTAGGGGAGGAAAAGGGCCTGCACACTGAGCCTGCGACAGAGAAGAGAGTTCTTATTTGGAGCCGACTTCAACCCCCCAAGTATGGTCTAAAACTAAAGGTACATCGCTGAAGCTAGGCAGGTGCAGGTGTGGTCCTTGCTTGGACAGGTGAGCACTGCAGAGAAGTCTCGAGGGCTTTGCAGTAGAAGTGCCTGTTTGCTTGCATAATTGCATATGTTTATTATAAAGGGGAAGGGACCCCTGACCATTAGGTCCAGTCTTGACCGACTCTGGGGTTGCGGCGCTCATCTCGCTTTACTGGCGAAGGGAGCCGGTGTACAGCTTCCGGGTCATGTGGCCAGCATGACTAAGCCGCTTCTGGCGAACCAGAGCAGAGCATGGAAACGCCGTTTACCTTCCCGCCGGAGCGGTACCTATTGATCTACTTGCACTTTGACGTGCTTTCGAACTGCTAGGTTGGCAGAAGCCGGGACCGAGCAACAGGAGCTCACCCCGTCGCGGGGATTCGAACAGCTGACCTTCTGATTGGCAAGTCCTAGGCTCTGTGGTTTAACCCACAGCGCCACCCGCATCCCTTATGTTTATTATATGGATGCCGTAAAGCCTCCTGCTGTCTCTTGTCCAAAGAAAACCAAATCATGTAGGGCTGCTTCTCCAGAAAGAGGGAATGATATTTCTGCCTTGATATCTTCAAGGCCTATGGGGCTGTCACTGCATCCATGCCATTCTCCCTCCAAGCCAGACTTACAGGTGAAACTCGAAAAATTAGAATATTGTGGGAGAGTTCATTTATTTCAGCAATTCAACTTAAAAGGTGAAACTAATATATGAGATAGACTCATGACATGCAAAGCGAGATATGTCAAGCCTTTATTTGTTATAATTGTGATGATTATGGCGTACAGCTGATGAAAACCCCAAATTAACAATCTCAGAAAATTAGAATATTGTGAAAATGCAGTAGCTATTCAATCCATAACACCTGCAATGGGTTCCTGAGCCTTGAAATGGTCTCTCAGTCTGGTTCAGTAGGAAGCACAAACATGAGGAAGGCTGCTGACCTGACAGTTGTGCAGAAAGCCATCATTGAGACCCTCCATAAGGAGGGAAAGCCTCAAAAGGTAATTGCAGAAGAAGTTGGATGTACCCAAAGTGCTGTATCGAAGCACGTTAATGGAAAGTTACGCGGAAGGGAAAAGTGTGGAAGAAAAAGGTGCACAAGTAGCAGGGATGACCGTAGCCTGGAGAGGATTGTCAGGAAAAGACCATTCAGACGTGTTGGGGACTTTCACAAGGAGTGGACTGAGGCTGGAGTTAGTGCATCAAGAGCCATCACACACGGATCCCGGAGATGGGCTTCAAATGTCATAATCCTCTTGTCAAGCCGCTCCTGAACAAGAAATGTCAGAAGTGCCTTACCTGGGCTAAAGACAACTCTATGGCAGGCATCTTTTCCCTTACACCGGTTTCTCCCTTGCTTCTTTATCATTAACATCCTCACTACACGCCCCGTGTCTAAATTAACTTCCCATTCGTTTCTTGAGTCAAAGGCAGATGAAGATGATGGACTTTGGGGAGCTAGCTGACCTGACCAGAAGACTCCGCAACCAGGAGGAGGAGGAGTACCAGGAAGAATGGATGAAATTTAAAGAATATTTAGTTAAATATGCTAAGAGAATTTAAATAGAAACACTTGCAAATACCAGATTGGCTTAGGATATAAATATGTGATTTTATATAATAATATGTTTAAAGTTTATATGAAAAGTAAGAAAGAAGTTAAGTGACTAAGTAAATTTTATGAGAAATTAGTCTTGGAAAACTGTTACAATGATATACATTGAAATTCAGCCAGGGGGATTTGAGGAAGTCACCTAACAATGTTAATAATTGTGGAATAATTACAGTTAGGATTTATGTGTGTTTGTTTATAAATTTGGAAAATCAATTAAACAATTTTTGGGGGAAAAGAGCTGGGAGTCAAGGGCAGAACAGGAACATTAGTAGGGATAGCATTGAAGATCTATAGGTATCATACGGTAGTCATAGCACTGTAGAGTTGGAAAGGACTCCGAGGGGTCATCTAGTTCAACCCGCATCAGGACTCGAACCCACAACCGTGAGATTGAGTCTCACGTTCTGCGCACTGAGCTATGACCTGTTTATTGAGCATTCACCCTCATTTGTTTGCAGGGACCCGTGCCCCACACTTTCCCATGCATTTCCCTCTCACTTGTCATAAAAAAAATATTTTGGGGAAAGCGAGCTGTTTCTGCAAATTTCTGGTTATGACCTGAATTTCCCATTAAGCGATAGTGGTCGACCTGCAACAACTGGAGGGCACCAGGTCGGCAAAGGCTGAAACACACACACGTATCTATTTATACACACGTATATCTATGTATTTATTAAGAAACTGCCCTTCTTGCTCTCAGGGCTGCCAACCAGGTGTCTCTTCGGGCTGGTTTATTCTGTGGCTTTGTAATTGTTTTGTTTTATCGTGTATTTTCTATTCTCATTGCGCACCTTTCTCCTGTTAACCGCCCTGGGATCTTCGGGCGAAGGGCGGTTTGCAAAGGAGACGAAACGAAGGCGGGTCAGTTACGTTAAGTCGGCAAGATAAAGATTTTGTAAATCAAGAAAATCTTTCATTAAAAAGAAAGAAAAAGGGGTTGCATTCCCCAGACCCCATCATTGGCCCCAGAGACCACAATAAAAATATAAAACGTTGACATCTCAAAAAAGAAAAAAGGGGAAAAAAGAAAAAGTTTCCCCAGCCAGGCAGCCTGATATGAAAAAAAAAGGTTCACAAATGGGTAAAAGCTTAATGGTAAGGATTTGCTGAACTAACAAATTGAACTGGAATACAAAGAAGGGAGGTACGAGGAGGTCCGGGGAAATAAGTGTAAGGAGGATATGCTAGGGAAAATTAATGTGTTTTTAATTGTTTTTATTTTGTATGTTCCTTTTTATTTTTCATGTATTCTTTTTTCTGTATTTTGTATTTTCTTGTATTTTTACTTTTTGTTTTTGTGTGATTCTTGTATTCTCTGAAATTTTAATAAATATCATTTAAAAAAAAAAGAAAAGAAAAAGTTTCCCCAGCCAGGCAGCCTGACTGGAACCCCTCGTTGAGGACCACACAGCCCGGCGAGGGTCTCCCCGCAAGCCCCCATTGCTGTGGGGCGGGAGAGCGACTGTGAGGTAAATCGCCTCAGAGCGGCGGCTTCCCGCGCTTTTCCCCTCCCTCCTGCTTCCCTCAGGAGTCCCGGCAGCCTCCTCCTCCTCCTCCCCCCGCCTCCCCGCTCCTCCTTTCCCGCCCACGGGGGAGTCCCGGATGTTGGCCCCGCGCCCCCGCTCCTCCGCCGTCCGCTTCCATAAAAGGGCAGCGGCGCCTCCCTCCCTTCTCCCCCCCCCCGCCCCGCCTCGGGCCTTTCTGGCCGCCTCCTCCTCCTCCTCCTCCCTCCCCTCAGGCGGCGCCCCGGGGGGCGGGGAAGGCTCCCGTCCTGGCGGCGTCCGCGGCGGTGGCCAGAAGCGAGAAGCGCCCTCCGCCGCCTCCTCCTCGCAGCCGCCACGAAGGGACGCTCCCCGGCCGAGGAAGAAGAGGAGCCCAGCCCGGCAGGCGAGTGGGGGCGGCGGCGGCGACGGGGGGCGCGGAGAGTCTCTCTCTCTCTCTGTGTGTGCGGGAATTTGTGCGAACGTGTGAATGGTGCGTGTGAGGGAAGACGCGTGTGTGTGTGAATAGGACGGGGCTTTGTGTCTGCGAGGGGTTTTCGTATGTATGAATTCGTGGGGGGTGGGCTTTGCTTCCCCACCCTTTAAAGATAATGGGAAGCTGAGGGGGTTGCCTTTTTTTCTCTCCTCCCCGGCCCACTTGTAGGTCGAGGGGCGCATCCCTGCACATGCCCATCCTTAAGGCACCGCGTTGTGGAGCTGGGCTGGGTGTGGGTGCGAATGGGGGTCGGGGTTGTATATGGCTATGTCTGCCTGACCCCCCTTTCCGTCTCTCTCCCCTTCCCTCCCCCACCCACCCATTTCCCCCCGGGTTTCTTTTCCAGAGTCTCTTCCCTCTTTGCATGCGACCCTCCTCTGGATGGAGGTTATTGTGGGGCAAAGACGGGTCTCCCTCTCTTCCTTTTTCTCCTTTTCCCTCCATCTCCTCCACCCCTGCCTCCCCATCCCTCTTGCACAGCCCGAATAGAGCTTCCCTTGTTCCTTTCGGACTCTCACTCTCTCCGCCCAAGCGAAGTCTTGGCTGCTATATAGAGTTGCCCTTGACTCGCCTTTAAAATACCATTAATAATAGTAGTAGTAGTAGTAATAATATCTGTATTTTCTAGGAGGGAAGGGCTAAGGAGACCCTTTTATGGGTCAAGGGGTGGCGCTCTTTTTCCGGCGGAGGGGTACTATCCATTTCTAATTTTTCGCACCCCTTTTAGCACAGATGTTGGAGGGGATGTGCAGACTCAGGGTAATAAGGAGGGAGCATGTCACGCATCCGTGTTGAGTGCCGGGGTGAAAATTGATAGTATGGATGATGTGTGCCACACACAGAGAGAAAGAGAAGATGAACAGTAAACAAATAAGGAAAACATTGTGTTGTAGGTGTAGGTGAGAAGCTGAATAAGGGCATTGTAATCCCTCCTCTAAATATATTAGGCAGAGTTGGGGCTAAATAAGGTTTTGGTTTGCATTGCCTTCATGCTCGCGTTCTTCCAGCAAGTTTGCAGTCCGACTCTGCCCTCCCCCACCAATTGCCTCACTAAGTTCTTTGTAAATTGAGCCATGTGTTGGGAGCTCTCAGCCTTTTCTCCTCTTCTTCTTTCTTCTTCGCAGCTGACTTAGGGAAAGCTTGTTTGCCTTCCCTGGATTTGGCTCCTTCATGCTTTTCCTTCAGTAAATGGGAAGCAGGGAGAGGCGTATGAGCTGAGGCTTCTGCTTAGCTAATGAATGCCGTTTCCTCTGCTGCTTGCTTGCAGGAAGGAGGAACGATGGCTCTGGACGGTATACGGATGCCAGATGGCTGCTATGCGGATGGGACGTGGGAGTTAAACGTCCATGTCACAGACCTGAACAGAGATGTAACTCTGAGGGTCACAGGAGAGGTCCATATTGGCGGCGTCATGCTGAAATTGGTGGAAAAACTTGGTAAGTTGTAACTATTGGGGGAAAGGTGTGGCCTTTCTCCTTGCTTTGGTGGAAGCTGGAAGGCGAAGCGCTGGGTGTGGAAATGAAATTGCATATTTGCATCGCACATGGGACTGATTTCAGAAACCCATAACTATTTTTAAATGCCAGGTTTTTTTGTTAGAGAAACTTGATGTTGGATCTCTTTCTCTAGCAGGCAGAATACAGGCCACATCTGAGTCTAACCCTTCTCCTGGTTAGCTACCATACCTTTCTCTAGTTTTTACAATGGCTGCTGGGTTCTGTACAAAACTTGCACATAAATACAAGTGTGATAGTATTTACAGGGACATGTAATGACAAGTAGTAGAAAGTGCCATCCTGGGTCAGTGATGTGGCAGAGACAAAGGAGTCATTGGTCTAAGGATCTTGATTTGACCATACATGTGTTTAAATGTAAAGGCTGGTTTTTGCAGTCAGAAGAACTGCATAAACTGTGCTTGTATGTTCAAGCTCCACATAGAGGATTTACCCATAGATGGTGTGCCCCCCCTCCTCCAAAACTCCTGAGCTTCTGAGAGGGGGATAGACTTCACATGTAATACCAGAAATGCACTGCACGTGACTGAAGGAATCTAGGCTAGCATTGTTTTCACTGCAAATTAGGGGAAGTTTCTCAGATATGATAGGTGGTTTCTAAATTCTAGATTAATGAATGCTCTATTGTATGTGGCTGTTCCTTTTCTTTGGACTCATTAAGTTCAGTTTCTAGGAGTTTAGACCAAGTGATAGGAAAGGAGGGTCTGTGCTAGTTATTACAAAAACTTTAAGATCGTTAAGCAGGGCAATGTTTACTATTGTAAACAGTTATTAAAATGCTCATTCCTCCACATGCCCCCCAAAAAACTTCTGACTTTCTGAAAGAGTCATTGCAGTGTTATTACAGCTAGCTACCTCTCTTAGGCAAGTGTATGGTGTTATGGCTTAGTGCAGCCTCCTGCGTTAGAGAGTGTCCTAGGCTATGTCAGGCACCTGTTAATGAGACATGGTAGCTGTTGCTATACAGCAAGTTGTACACAGTACTGCCATTAGAACATTTCTGCTTGGCACATTATGCCTAGTGAGCTTTCATCAATGTGGTCTGCATTTTGTGGAGTGCACTGTGGTTCAGTGCTAAAGTTCCTGTGCTGGTAAAAGATGCTGAGGTTTATACAGTTGGTAATCTGATGCTTTCCTTCCTTAATAATGCATTTGAGTCTGAATAGTATACTAGTTTAAACACAACATCCTTATCAGCTCCGCAGCACACTTATGGTGCTATGTAAATACTTGATTTGCTGGCTAGTTATGTACACAAGTCATAGCTGGTGCAGCTAAAAAAAAAGAGTTGTCCTGCACTGTACTAAAACTTTGTACTGATGTAATAAGGAAGGAAAAGCAGATATAAATACTTGGTTCAAAAGGAAGTTTGTGCGTGCGTGAAGGACTCTGAGGCTTGACATGGCTTGTGGGACTGTAGAAAATCAGTTTTAGAAATATATTTTTTGTCCTTGGGTTATGAAAAGAATGTTTCAAGGTGATTGCAGGCCTCAGCACTTAAAGTTGTTCAGCCTCTTCAAATATTAAGCAAAGAAGCACCACAGTCTCTTACATAATGAATAAGTCATGCCTTCTATTGGCTTTGCGTGTCATTGATGAGAATTGTCCACATGTGTATAATTTGCTCAAAGTATAGGATGGAATTCAGTGGAGACAGCAAGTTTTTAAGATGCTCTGTGGGATGAGTTTAATTGCCCTCCACAGGATAAAAGCTTACTTGAAGTTCAATCATATACTTTGGGAGGCCATCCTCATTCTAACTCTTACGGTTCTGTGTAAATGTCTCATAATGAGGATCATGCGTGAATCTCTTTTGCAGTGGGCTTTATAAAGCTCCAGAAGCAGGTTGTGTAAGTGTGCTGTTTTGATAATGTGTAGATCATGAAGGAGATCGTGTTGGGGTCAAAGTCCCCTCTACAAGCCAGATGAAAATAGTGGAAACTTTTTTACAGTACCTTTGACCTTGGATGTAGGCCAGGTTGTAATATCTATCAAGTTAAAAGCTAACAGGAGCATACAAGTAAAAACAGTTCTGAAACTTGGGATAGTTATGGCAGCTGTGTTTTTTTTAAAAATAGAACTACATTTCTTTAAACTGGCCTTTAAAAGATAATGACTGTAAACTGAAACTATGAAAAAACGTTATATTTGCAGCGTTGTCTTTTTGCCCATCCTGTTTGTTCTGAAAAATCTTGGGATAGCAATGTGTTTGGAATAGAAGTACTTTGTATGCATCTTCTCATTAACTCTGTAAACAATGCAGCTTTCTGATTGCTTCCATTTAGCAGAAGAACATCTGTTTGTGGAGGATAAGTCTCTAATCAGAATGACAATAAACTTGTAGTGGTCACTTCTGTAGCTGTAGCTCAGTGGCTTTCCTTGCAGAAGGTCCCAGATTCCATCCCTGGCAACTCAGGTAGGGCTGAGACTATCAACGCCAGTCTGTGAAGACCAGGGGCTCCCACACTGTGGCCCGTGAACTTTGTCAGATATATTCATATATACATTTTAATTGTATTCTTGTTTTTATTTCTTACTGATTGTACTATATTGTATTCCACGTTAATCAAACTGTAATACAATAAAATTTTATAAGAAATAAGCAATATATACAATTAAAATCATACAGCATCTAGCACAGTGCAGTTCAACTGTTAAAAACAGCCAGAAAATTTATTAAGTGGTCAACCAAGGTGAAATGTTTGGGAACTACTGGTGTGGACAGTATTTAAATGGATGGTCCAGTGGTCTGACTCGTTATAAGGCTACTTTCTATATTCCTAACTAATTCACTGCAAATTAATGTTTGCTTTGTGGGATGGCTTAGGGGTAGAGCACATGCTTTGAATGCGGAAGTTCTCACATTCAATCCCAATCATCTCCAGGTAGGACTGGGAGAGATCCTTTCTGAAATCCTGGGAAGCCACTGCCAATCAGGTGGGACTGAGCTAGATGGAACAATGGTCTGACTCTGTATTAGGCACTTTCCTGTGTTCTCTCTCATTGTTCACCTGTTGCATATAACAATTTTGCACTGCAATCCTAAGCATGCTTCAAATCCCACTGAGTATGTTTCAGGTTACTGACAGTAAGAAGATGCCAAGTTATATGTATAATACGGTCCATCCTTTAAGATGAGGGTCAGAAACTTATACAGATGTAGCCTGTGGTGCTTTCTCATGCAGCTTCCATCCTCCCCGCCCCCAGTAGCAGTTAGGCTGGAAAACAGACTCCCATTGCAGCCACTGGCATTTGTGGAGAGGGGTTTAACTGGACAGGAAAGGCTTATTCCTCTCTGTGTCTCTGTGATTCACTCTCCCCTCTTGAACCCTCCCCATGTGGCATCTAGGCTTGAAAAGCAGCTTCCCTAGCTGCCAATGGAAAGCTGTTTTCAAGCCTAATTTTTTGTGAATGAATGTGTTGTGTTCAGAGTTAGCTTTGTGCACATTGCACCTGGGAAGGGAAGGGCTAATGCTCCTCTCCTCAACTGCTGTCTCCATGAAGACTGCCACCCTCCGGCATTTAGACTTGGGGGGAGGGAACTGAAATGTGTTTTTCAAGCCCAATTCACATGTGAGTTAATGGATGTGTACAACCTTTGCTGTCATATGGCCCCTGAAAAGTTAGGCACAAGGGAATATGGCCCTTAGGCTCCCCATCACTTCTTTTAAGAGATAAGGGGGGGGGATGCCACAGGGTTCCTGCAAATGGGTGGAAGACATGGGCCTCCGTTGTTGTCATAGAAACAGGGATACCAAGACAAATCCTTTACATGACTAGCAATGCTGCTTTAATTTTGTGATATATTGTGTGGGCTTTCATATGTGGCTGTCTGCTTTGGTTATTTAAGCTACATGGTAAGCTAAGGTATCTTTGATTGTTGCTCTTTGCTTTCAATGAAACTGTTAATTGCATAAGTAACCGGCAGCTACAAAACTTAACAGAGATCACTTTAGCAAATGCTGTTGTTGTTGCTACAACTGTGGCACCCTGTGTAACTGGTAAGCCTTAGAAAATCACTTGAATTGCTTAACTGATGGGTTCAAGGACTCTTTCTGCTTATACTGTAGCTCTGTGTGTGAAACACACTGAGCCATCTTGCCATTTTCCTCAGTTCAGGGTCTGTGACGTTAGCCATGGAGAAGGCGTCCTTGTGCAGAGGGATATTTGTCTTGAGATTGGAAGGATGTGGTGCTGATGAGCAAGAATAAGCCTACCCTTACTCAGTAATCCTGTTGATTAAATACATTTTGCTTCTGGGATTAGGAAACTGGAGAGGTGGGACCAAGAACAGTGTAGGTGAAAGAGAAGAATCATTTCCCTTGCTCCTGCTCTCTTAATTCCCTGTTTCATCAGCATACATACATACATAATTTTATTTGTATGCCGCCTTTTCACAGTTCAAATCATTCTCAAGGCAGCTTGCAACATTAAAAATATGTAACTATACAGCTTATAAAAGTAGTCATAAAGAAGAAATAAAACATTAAAAAATACACAGTGAAATTTCCACATAAATCACAACAAGATCTAAAATAAATACGGTTTAGTGCAGCGCATGGGGATTTGCTGAGCGGGCGGCTCGGTTTGGGGGCTGCAAGTGCACTTTTTCTATAACAAGAATACAAAGCTGACAATGAATGCACTGCAGCTAAAATATTATGTTCATTTTTCACATGGTCTAGTCCTTCCCCTGCCCACCCCTCTAATATTCTTAAGAGGGTCTCTTCTCCAGTCTTCAGAGAGTGGCTGGAAGTGGGGAGGCAGAAAAAGGTCCCTCCTTTCCTCAGAAACTGCTCGCGCTAATGAAATTCCCTGCCTAGAACAATGGGAGTTTTGAACACTGCACATGACAAAACCACCCAGCCACCCCCAAATTTGATAATGAGCTTCCACACCAGTGATATCATATAACTAGTTATCTTTACTTCACAATTTTCCCTCAGTAATTGGAAATCCAGATTAAATGTAAAAAATATGGGCCGGCATTTGATGATGATGTCATTTGGACAGTGCAAAAAAGTTGCATGCACAAGCAGCACCTATTTCACAGTAAACTGCTGTCTGGAAGCATTCTCAATGCGTTGCTAGTGATTTGTCACACAGCTATTGTACTAACTTCCTGCTCTGAATCTGACCAATGTGGAGAACAAACTTAAGTTACAATGCTATTTATAGAAGATTGGCTGTCCTATCTGGTGCACGTTTCGAATCATGAATAGAATCCAGTGGTAGCACAGAGAATGTGCAATATTACCTTTTGCCACAGGCTGGTTCAGGAATACTTTCATTTTCTGATTAAGTAATTAATGATGGAAATGTGATGTTTAAATAGCCCAATATGCTGCTTGGGCATGGATGTTATTTTGGAATAAGGGAGACAGCTGTGGTTTATGATCTTTTCTTTCTTCATTGTCATTCTTCCATCCCTCGTTTTAGACATTTTTTAAATTTTTTATTTTGGTGGAGCTTTTCAATCTTTAACCTTTTCAGCTGTTTTTCGTTGAACTTTTAATCCCTGCAAATCAGATAGATAGTCTGTTCCTTCAGTACCTTTCTGTTACTGGAAATCTGATGATAGCAAGCTCAAGTGTTTCTCTTAGGAATAAATGTGTAAATTCAGGGCACAAGCATTCATTTAGTGGTGGATTTCTCTCTTTCCCATTAACGTGGGGGTTGGTGAGAGAAGGAAGGTTTATGAATAAAACACAAAGAAAATGCAGTGTTATTGATTTACCAGTTTTGCGCGCACTTGAGGTTTTACTGTAATGGAGGGAATGCTTGCAGATTCATTGAGTTGAATCTGTAATGAACCTTCTGTAAGCAACAGAAATAAAAACAATTCAGTCCAAATGGTCAGTATAACAGTTTTTCCATTTAAAGTTGTTATAATTTCAATGAACAAGTCTTCAGTTTTCTCTGTTGCCTTTTATATAACTTCCTTTCATCACTCAGCCCTACCTTTCCCCCCTCTTTAATTTGGGTTTTTGGCTCAAGTCCATAGATGGCTACAGGGAGATCTGCATGCAAATTGCAGTTTTCTTTAACATTTCCCCAAATTCCCCTCCATTCTTCCACCCCTTCTGCATTGCAAAAGGCTTTTAAAGCTCCCCTGGGTATAAAATAAACAATTTGCATTGTTGAATAGGGGACTGTAGTTTGGGAAACTGAAACAGAAACCCCCACTGTGATATCCCCTTGGGGTGTCTGCATGTAACTGGGCTCCTTGATTCATATTTTGAATGAGGGGAAGCCAGCTTGATGGTCAGCAGAAAAGAAAATGTACTTTGAAAGCACATACCTAGGAGTAAGCCTCTCTCTAAATATCCTGAGATTTACTTCTGAATATGCATAGGATTGTGCTGTTGATGTGACTAAGAGTCTGGCACTTCTTGCTATTTAACAGAGCTTTTATTAAATCTCTTTGCTTGCTCTAAGCTAGCCTTCACCAGCCTGCTGCCTTCCAGACTGGACTTCAGCTCCCAAAACATTACACTGTAGTTTAAAATATATGGAGGGCACCAGGTTAGAAAAGGCTGCATTACACTGGTATAGTGTTCTTCCTGCAGCTTACTGTGTGTATGATTAGAATTTTATTACGAATTAGTCTTATCTGTTTTAGGTGGACAAAAATATGCCCTTCAATGCCTGAGTTAAATCGAGTTCCAGATTCCTTGGTTTGTCAGCTGCTTGCTGGCATGGTTCTTTAGACTTGTGATTTAATATGTCTGCTCTGATGTAAGCATCCTCTTGAAGGAAAACCCCTCTTCTTAGGAAGTCACAGGCATGTGAATCTGGTTTGTCAAAGTAAAGGAGGAGGAACAAATGGGGACATGATAGCAAGCAGGCTTTAAATAAGGCAAATGACTCTGTGTGCTAAGCATCCACCAGCGTCTTTTCCGAAGAGGAAGTGACACACAAGCTTTGGCACTCTAGTTACTCAGTTGGCAGGACTTGCCGCAAAGCACAATATCTAGCTGTTGACTTGCCCTTGAGCATAAAGCATTTGCTATGCAGTGCCTATAGTGAAATGGATTCCCCCCCCCCCCCAGTGAAAGGTCGCTTTTAAATAACTGGTCAAAAACGTGCTGTTTGATTTCGGGTGTTAGAAGGCAGGATGGTAATATTGAGACTCACAGCTTCCCCCAGCTGCCAACAGATGGGTTTGGTTTAACTGCTATAGATTTGTTTAGGAGATAGAAATGGCTTCTTCGGATCAGACCAGTGAATGGTCCAAATGCTTCAAATTAGATCTGAATGGCAATTTCAACAGCGTAAGATACTCAAGAGCTCTTCTCTGGCTCTTGGCTGTTTCTGTCTTCATTCCATTAATATTTATAAGTATTTTGATACCCAGAACATTGACTTTATTAGTATGTCATTGATATTTACTGCATGGGTTTTTATTAAAAAGTTTTGGATGTATATATTTACATCTTATATCCTGTCCACACACAATCCTTCGTGGTAGATTAGATTAAGAGAGTCTTGCCAAAGATTGGTTGGCATCCTTCTGTCTCAGGACACAGTGGAAAAGTGCACCTTTGGGATGAAGTCAAATTGTTGTAGATTTACAGCACCTTCTTCTACGGCTGTAGAGACTAAATACGGGAGAGGCATGTTTCGTTGCAGCTGGGGCAGATGAAGGCATTCAGTTGTGCTGCTGCAGGTGTACCATGACATTTCTTTCTGCACTCCTCCCAGCAGTCATTCCTCTTCTGATCACTGTTATGGATATACAACCTGACAGTCTGTCTCCAGGCACTATGGTCATCTGCAAGGGATTCCCACGTGGTGGGGTTAATGCTGCTAGCCTTTATGTCATGTTTGCAGACGTCTTTGTAACACAAGAGTTGGTCTGCCAAGGAACCTGGGGCCTGATGTCAGCTCCCTGTAGAACATGTCCTTGGGAATCCTGTCATTTTCCCTTCTGTGTACATGACCAAGCCAGCGTAGACGTCGCTGAGACAGGAGAGTGAGCATCCTGGGAATGTGGACTTGGAAGAGCATATCTTTGTTTGAGACTCTTGTCTTGCCATGTGGTGCCCAAAATCTTCCTTATGCAGCACATGTGGAAGGTATTGAGGCATCACTCCTGGCCAGGTGTAAGTTGCCCACGTGTCTCTACCATAAAGCAAGCAGCGTGCCCAACATGCACATCTGGTAGTCCATCATCTTGGTATTGGTTGTTAGCATCACATTCTCCCATAACTTTTTGGAGAGGCGAGCCATTACCGTAGCTGCGTGTTGTGCAAATGGAAGATCTTGTGCACAGCTTCCGCTGATAGGACTGGTTAGGTGAACCTTGCCCACGTAGTACAGTCGTACCTTGGTTCTCGAATGGAATCCATTCTGGAAGTCTGTTTGACTTTCGAAAGCCAAGGCGTAGCTTCTGATCGGCTGCAGGGGCTTCCTTCACTCAATCGGAAGCCGCATTGGATGTTTGACTTCCAAAAAACGTTCACAGACTGGAACACTTACTTCTGGGTTTGCGGCATTCAGGAGCCAAAACGTTCGAGTCACAAGGCGTTCGAGAACCAAGGTTCTGTACAAGCTGTTAGAAAGAAAATATTCATTTTGCCTTAAATAGTTCATTATGTCATTTAAAATGTACATTCTGTTACCATAACCTTGGTTTTCAAAATGGGACAATTTTTTTTACAATTAAATAAATAGTAACAGGAAACATTTATAACTGAATTAGTCATTCAGGGGCTACAAGTTTAAAGGAAATACTCAGGCAGGGGTCATAGAAGTAGGATTTTAAAAATATTTTTAAATTGCAGGAGTCATATGACAAATAGTTTGCTCTTTTCCTAGCCCTTTCTGCTGCCAAAACTATTAGAGGGAATTCCTATAGATATCTGCTGTCTCTTGTTATCAGTTCATTTAGTTCTGTTTACTTCCAAGAGGACAGAACAGTTTATCTTGCTCCTTTCAAATTAACTGCGTGCATAGAATAGAATAATCTTATACGTTTCCTTAAAAGAAGACAGAAACAGCACTGAGAACTGGTTTGGTCTGAAAGATTGCAGTCTTCTTAGCAATCCTAAAGTACTGGTTTTGTTATACCGCAGGCAGGAAACAGTTGGGTTGTAGTTTAGACCCAGCCCAAATCAGTAGCTTCCTCTTAAGACTGTGACTTTGTTGTTTCTATTTCCAGAGTTCCAGAGTTATTTATCCATAACTTTCTAGGGAACTGAGCCTATATTTTTTAAAATGCTAATTTAATTGTAATTTGTTGTGGTTTATAGAACAGTTTCTAAAGCAGGGTTGCTAAGCTGTTTGCGGGTTTCTGGCTTGGTTTGAGGGATCTTGAGGGCGGCTGCTGCCAGCAGCATCTTTTGGGTCCATTGCACGAAAAGTATACAGCCCACTCCCTTGGTGACTTTCGGCAATTCTTCTGAGCTATGAACTGGCCCTGGGGAACAGTATCTGCTCAAGTGAAAAGGGTGTTGCTTACCGTGAAAAACTGTCTGGCCTTCCTTTCAGCGACTATTGAAAAGCGAATTGAGGGATTTCTAAGTAAAGGTAAAGGTACCCCTGCCCATACGGGCCAGTCTTGCCAGACTCTAGGGTTGTGCGCTCATCTCACTCTATAGGCCGGGAGCCAGCGCTGTCCGCAGACACTTCCGGGTCACGTGGCCAGCGTGACAAGCTGCATCTGGCGAGCCAGCGCAGCACACGGAACGCCGTTTACCTTCCCGCTGGTAAGCGGTCCCTATTTATCTACTTGCACCTGGGGGTGCTTTCGAACTGCTAGGTTGGCAGGCGCTGGAACCGAACGATGGGAGCGCATCCCGCCGTGGGGATTCGAACCGCCGACCATGCGATCAGCAAGTCCTAGGCGCCGAGGTTTTACCCACAGCGCCACCCGCGTCCCAAGGAGGCAAAAGCCTACGGCACCCAGTATTCCCAGGCGGTCTCCCATCCAAGTACTAACCAGGCCTGACCCTGCTTAGCTTCCGAGATCAGACGAGATCGGGCGTGTTCAGAGTAGTATGGCCGTAGACATGGATTTCTACATCAGTATTATTAGGGGGAAATGAGCCCATGATGACCATTAATAAAGCAAATTCTTAGTTATTTGATTTATATCATCTGTTGGAAATCTGAGGTGAGATACCCACATAGCTGAAGTTGCCCTCAACTCAAGTCACCATGAAGCAAAGTCTGAAATAGTTTACTGCTGTGGAAGATTAGGCTGGAAAATGATCTATACATATAGCTTGTAGGCTTTGCAGATATTTATTCAGATAGATACAAGTAGAAAGTACCGCATTTTTCGCCCTATAGGACGCACTTTTCCCCCTCCAAAAATGAAGGGGAAATGTGTGTGCGTCCTATGGGGCGAATGCAGGCTTTTGCTGAAGCCTGGAGAGCGAGAGGGGCCAGTGTGCACTGACCCCTCTCGCTCTCCAGGCTTCAGGAAGCTCTGTGCAACCCTCGGGAGACCGGCTGCGATGGCTGCGCAGAGCTGCCTGCAGTCCCGGGCTCAGCGCAGCTCTGCGCGGCCATCGGAAGCCGGGCGCAAAGTCCCGCCCGGCTCCCGATGGCTGCACAGAGCTGCCTGCAGTCCTGGGCTCAGTGCACTTCTCTCCATCGCCAGCCCCACAAGCTCGGGGGACAGTGGGGAGGCGGAGCGCGCCTTCCCGCTGTTCCCCGACCTGGTTCTTCCAGCCCCACACCTGGGGGGGGAAATAATTTTTTTCCCCTTTATTTCCCCCCCAAAAAACTAGGTGCGTCCTATGGGCCGGTGCGTCCTGTGGGGCGCAAAATACGGTAGCTCTGTTGCTCCAGCTTCCAGATGTAACACAGACTCCAACTCATGGACAGACTCACTGATTGTGCTTTAATCATTTATATAGAAGGCACAGGACCCTTGCAGCTGGCTTGGCTGACCTTTCATCTCTCATACATGGGGTAATATGTGCCCATGGATGCAATCAACCCTTTCCTCTGTGTACAGTTCCTCCAACATATTCTTCTCTATACTCACTACAGGTTACAATAGTATAGAAATAAAATTGCCACATAAAATATTAGAAAAGCAATGTTGGGAAATTGTGTTTATTATCTTTAAAATGTTCTAATCTGACTTCCAAATGCTTGTTCAACAAAAGCTTCAAATTGTCCTCTGGAAGATGGTTGGGCATTGGTAGAGGCCAAGAAAGGAAGAATTCAAAAGCTGTGGAACAAGCATCAAATACAATGTTTGTTGCAAAGGCATGAATGACAGTGGCTGCATCAGACCTGTTAGAGGAGTCCTCAACCTTGTGTCACTGTGTAGAAAGCTTTTGTGGCAATCATCCAGCAGCACTCAAGGTCTCTTGAGTCTGAGCCACTGAAGGGAAGGGGGCTGAGCCACATTGACGTTCCATTCCCAAATCCCAGGGCCTCTTGATGATGACTGCAGACAGAAGTTACTCTCATGAAAGGGTTAGCGGGGGGGGGGGGGGCCCTTTGGGTAACCTCCCAGTCAAATCTCATATAATAACTTTTAATGCCTCCAGAAATGGCAGCATATGATTTTCAGGGCAACTATTCTTCAAGTTTGTCTGAATGTATCCCCATTCACTCTAAAATACGTACAAATACAATGGTACCTCAGTTCTCAAACGAAATCCATTCTGGAAGTCCGTTCGGCTTCCAAAACGTTCGAAAACCAAGGCGCGGCTTCCCATTGGTTGCAAGAGCTTCTTGCAGCCAGTGGAAGCCGCATTGCACATTCGGGTTCCGAAAAATGTTTGAAAACAGAAGCATTTACTTCCAGGTTTTCCGCATTCAGAATCGAAATGTACATTGACGGAGGCATTTGGGAACTGAGGTTCCACTGTACCTATCTGTATTTCTCTGCCTCTGAGAGAGGATCATACGGGGCTGGGGAAGAAGGCTGAAAGGTAGTGCAGTTAAGACTATGCAAGAACATTAGCATATAATTCTCCGTTTTTAAATATGCTCTTCACCAAAAGAGGGGGGAAATTCTGTGCTTATTTCTACTGCAGTAGTTTAAGATGCTGCTTAATTGAAATACTTTATTGTCACTTGTACAACTTGTATACAGTGAGATTACACAAATTAATTAACCAAATTAATGCCGAGTGACTACAAACAAACAATACCACCAACACTTTCTTCCAAAACAGAAGATGAAAAATGTAGTGGGGTGTGGAACTAGTGACTTTCCACATATTGTTGGGCTCTCAGCTCTCGTCAGTCTCAGCCAGCATGGTCAATAGTCAGGATATTGAGAGCTGGGAGTCCCAGCATCAACTGGAGCAGGGCAGTCAAACCTCTCAGACCAAGCGGGCTGCAAGAGTACTTTGACACAGAACCTGCATGCCACTTAAATTTCCATATCATAAATTTAAGTGTTCACAATATAGGTAATAATTAATATAAAGATATGTAATTAAATATAATTAAGTGCACAATTAATAGATTTAATATCCTAAAATAGCATGACATACAAAGTAATGTCTGTTCCATGCTATCCCGAACCCCAAGCTACTACAGCTGGACAGAATCCTCCTACACTGCTTGCGTTTCATTTCATTTTCTCTTCCCTTCCCTTCTGTACTGTGGTAGGGGAAAGAAAGCATGCCCTGCTCTGTTATCTATTAGTAGCAGATGGAAGGGGCTGATCAGAGCGGTCTTGACAGAACACCCCCCCCTACTCTAGGGTAAAGGGCTGAGAAGGCAGCTGTGCCATCATAATGTGTGCGCATAGACAGGACAGACTGTACCCACAGTAGCTCTACACCTCTTCGAGTGGAGAAGGAACCAAGCAGTGGTTCAAGAGGGGCTTAAGGCAACCCCAAACCATCTCAGGGCTCAGCCCTGGAACAACTTCTTTCCAGTGGCATACGAAAGTGGGCTGTTTAGGCACACCAAGATCTCCTTTCGCTTACCACCTGATAAATAACCCCACACAGAGGGGTGGAGGCTGCCAAGTTCACAGGGTGGGGCTTCCAGGGAGTCTTGTGCCTCCGAAGCCTTTGAGAGAAAACATGATAGCTCTGGACTGGCAAGCGAGTTCCATCCACAGAGAAGGAGCTCACACACTGCATTCTGTTGGCTCCTCGTCTTTGCTGAGAAGTGCATTCAGCAGGCGCACCAATTCACTGAAGAGAGAGACCCACCTTGCTTTTCCCTCCCTCATGTGGAAAATCCCTCCATGTTTTTTTGTTCCTTCCCTTCCCTCCAAGTTTGTCTGCCATTGCCAGAGACCCGCGTTCCGCTGCCTCAGATACCGTAGCTGCCACTGAGGCAGGCAACCAAGGCTTTGACTGAAATAGGCAGTGTGTGAACCGCCACAAGGTAGACTGTGGGTGGTGTTGGCGGCAAAGCAGCAGCAGGGGCTGAGAAGAAGAGCGACCTCCAGGACACATGCTTCAGTATGAAAAACACAGATATATAAACTAATCACCAAATGGCACCTTAAGCCTAGATTACAGTTGCCACAACAGACTGTCTAGTTGCCAGTCTCCTCCCCTCCGAGGAGGTTGTTGTTCATTTCATTTCTATACTGCTTTATATTTTAAAGAAGAATCAACACAGTTTACAACACATTAAAACATCAAATAAAACAATCTAGAATAAAACTGACAAGAAATCTCCACAGATCGGCCAGCACGCTGTCATGCACCAGTGTCTTGGTGCTGGGGCATATGGGGGCGTGCATGGCAACAGAAAACGCAGCTGCACCCCAGCCAAATGGTGGAGATGTCAGTCGCCAATCCTGGCAACAAGACATATTCACTTGGCCGTAACTGGACATGCTCCTAGAGCCCAGGGAATTCGGAACACTGGCAGGCTTTATTACTGCAGTGGTTGCAAAATTTGCCTTGGCTGCAAGTAAGTTGAGAGCTAGGCACCAAGACAAGTATCATAAGGGGGTGTGTGAGAAGTGGAGTGCTTAACTTATGCGGGCTTTCTCCAACAACTTCTTCTGCTGTATATTTCTTCTAATTATTGACATTGTTGTCAAGAGCCACCAAAAAAGGCCTCGCAAGTCACATGTAGCCCATAGGCCATGTGTTGGACCACCCTGACCATGCGATTGTGTGTCTGCCCTGCTAAATTTTGTATTCTCCAACCCACCCATTTTCAGGACCAAAGTACAAGCATTCTGAACTCTTAAAAAAATCCAAAGTTAATTCTTATCTCGTGTGTCTCCTATTTATGACTCTTCCATTTGCTGTGCTGATAACATTTTCTCTTAAGGAATGTGTGTCTCCTTCAAGTATCCCTACTTGGAACATTTTCTCCTAACTTCATTTGAGTCAGCATGACTACTTGTGATCAAGCTATGAGCTTTGGAGAGAGTAGAATGAAATGTAAATCAGCACTGTTTTGTTGGATGGGTGGCTGGATATCATAGAATGGAATGACTGGGGCTGCTACTTGCATTCCTAAAGACATAGTTAGCAACTGTTATTATGGTCTGGAAATGCACCCATACTGCTTTGTGTGTCAAATGCCTCTTAAAATAAAAACCCATTGAACAAAAACTAGGCATTCTAATGCAATAAATTATGTCTGGTGTATTCAGCCTTGTAAGGTATGTCAGTATTAGCCTCTTATTGCAAATGGAAGGATGAAAGGTTTGTTTATGGCCATCTAATGAACTCATTCCAAAGGCAAGATTAGAACTATAGACTTCCTGGTTCATGAACCAGCCTCTGCCACTATGCAACAGTTGAAGTTGGTTCTGTGCTCTTCAATGCCTTGAAATAAGGCATTCAGATGCCTCATTTAGCCATCCAGTTGAGACTTTCCGGTTCCCTTTTCCCACTGAAAATTTGCAGTCCTCTGGCTCAAAGAAAAGTTTATAAAGATCGCTTGCGCTTTTAAATGGCAGCATGGCATTAATGGTTTTTAAGTAGCAGAACTTAAAGGGAGCTTATGAGTGTTTTCTTTTGGGTTGAAATTCAGTTGCCCATGGGTACAGAAATGGGGGCGTTCTGTATTGCAGTTGGGCATTGGAAAAGCTAATGCACAAAAACTCCTCTAGATATGGAAGTCTACACTATCTTGAGCTGGAACTGGGAGAGACAAACCATGAAGCTTGGCTTGGAATTACATGTGAACCAACATTCACGGTTTGTTTATCTCCATGCAAGCTGATTAGTAGAAGCCAAGGCATAGTACAATACTTGTTTTTCATTTGGGACAAACTAGGAATGTTGACCTCATCTAAAGCTAGGTCCAATCTTGTGGTTTGTTTCTCCCAGCACTGGACAAGACAGAGTGAAGTGTAGTATACATTTGAGAAGTATGCACCAGCATTCAGCTCACTTACAGTAAGCAATGGTTTCCTTTCTACTGTGGCTTACTGTAAGATACGTTCCAGCCCAATGTCTGTTACGTCTGTACGTGGGCCATTGTATACCAATAGTCTTGGAAACAATTATCATAGAATGCTTGGAAATGGTGAATTTAGAAGTTTGTATTTGTTTTAGCTCAAACTGCTCTTGAGGACAGCAATCTGGAATCTGCCACATACATCTAAACCTGAAGCAGCAGAAGTGCTGGTGATGCAGAAAGCTTGTTTCAGTGCCAAGACCATTCCTCCACCCTCAGTGTTTTTCAGAGAAGCAGAAGTTTGGCCCACAGTTCATCATAGTCATTTGACAGAATTCTCTGAGAGCAGCCAAGCCTCGTTGCAAGCTGCATGCTTTTCTATATTTGGTTTTGTTTAATTTGATGGTAGAGTATCCTGGCTGCCACTCCTGATGTTCAGCTATATTGCACCAACAGAACTTGCTTCTCTTTCTCTTTAAATAATTTGTTGTTTTTATGATGTCAGTGCTTTGATGTCTTTAGAACCAACTGTGCCTTCCCTTTTCCTCTCTGCCCAAGTTAAGCTTTTCAGAAAGATCATGTGTTTCTCAATAATTCTCAAAATGTTTTCTTGTTAGGAAGTAGAATCTTAAGTGCTTTATATTCCTTATGACCTTTAATTTAGCTGCTGTGGTGGTGTAACGCCTTCACTGTGTCCCTTTAAACAGTTTCTTGTTCTGTGTGTAGATAAGCCCTTCCTCTCTTATCATAGAGCACTTCTTACTTTAAATTTGAAGAGGATTCTGATGTTCCTAAGCCAGAGGTTTTCGACCTTTTTGAGTCCAGGCGGGGCTTGTAGCCAGGGCTGCTGCAACAAACAGCCATGCAAGCCTTTGGGAGGCAGAGACATGAGAGGGCATCAGAGGAGGGAGGGAAGGAAAGAGGTACAGAGGCCAGTGTTGCCTGCGGCATCCCTGACCATCTTTCAAGGCACCCCAGGGTGCCACAGCACACAGGTTGAAAACCACTGTCCTAAGCCTTTAATTAGCTCTGAGCCAGGGTTGCATGCACTTGGTTAAAACTCATTGAAAGGTAATTCAAAATCTGCATTGGCCAAAGAAAGGTTCTGTGGGTTGTAGGGGCGGTTTTCATCCTTTGCCATAATTCCAATTTTGCTAACTAAGACAGGAGCAAGAAGCCTTGGAAGGCATCAACTACTAGAAATCCTGTTTGGCCAGCTTTCATCAAATGCTCCCATACATTTTCAAGTACCCATCATGGATAGAAACTTTTTATCCTAATGAAAGCTGAAATTTTCAGGACGTTGGATTATGTGCCCAGCGTGGAATTGTGGTATACACTCAGTGCTGCCCTTAGAATGCTACCATTACTAGCCAGTTCCCTGGTAGTTCCCTCCCATAGCTCAGCTGTGCTCTGCAGTGCCCTGTCCTGCTGGATGGAATTTAAAAATTAAAAATAAATAATCAGTAGCATTTAATTATCACTGTAGAAGTAACAGCTGATGACTCTGTAGCCAAAGAAACATTTCAGTAAGCTGTATAGACTGGATTTGCTAGATTTTTCTGTTTGTTTCCTAATCTTTTTATCTTTGGTGTCCTAGACGTCAAGAAAGATTGGTCCGACCATGCCCTGTGGTGGGAAAAGAAGAGAACATGGCTCCTTAAAACTCACTGGACCTTGGATAAGTATGGAATACAGGCAGACGCCAAACTACAGTTTACTCCTCAGCACAAACTCCTCCGACTTCAGCTCCCCAACATGAAGTACGTGAAGGTGAAAGTGAACTTTTCTGATCGAGTCTTCAAAGCTGTGTCTGACATCTGCAAGACCTTCAGTGAGTATCTGCTGGTTATGGAGCCAAATGTTGCCTCTTCATGTGTCAAGCAGCTTGCGGCAGTCAAGCTTGATACCTGTTCCGTAATGCGATAGTTATCTGAAGCATCAGCTTTCTAGCAAATTAGCCTGCTTCCTCTGGATTGATTCTTCAACTTCCTAAGGGTTTATTATTGCACATGGCCCTTGTGAAAATAGGAAAGAAAAACTTTTGGCTGGTGGAACTAGTAAAATGCCAGTCAGACAGTGGGAATCTGTCAGTTATGCACAAATATATTTACTACTTGAGGAATTTATACCACACAGATTAATAAAAATCCCAGAGCAGCATACAACACATTTAAAACATACAAATTAAAACCATGCAGAAATATAGCAAAGAAAAAAATAAAATCATTGGGAGCAGCACAAAAAAACACAAATCCAGCCAAGGTCAGATATATATATATATTAAAACTCCTTGCCTTTAACCAGTAGGCACCAGGTGAGGCTCCCTTGAGAGAGCATTCCACAGGGCAGTTCCACTAAGAAGGGCTTCTCCCAGGGTAGCCCCCTGGCAAACATATGAACATGGAACAGGAACCCTTGAGGATCTTGGTTGTGAGGGCAGGTACATGTGGAGACAGGTGGTGCATCAGGATCCTACAAAGATCTGAGATAGTGGAGCGGACTGATGTCATGGGTACTACTGGTTCAAAGACACTAAAGAAGGGGAAAACTGTGTTGTTTCCCCTATGCAGCTTGTACAATGAAGGAACATTGTGGCAGGCAAACAGTTCTATGCTCTCCAGACATTCCTCTTCCTCTTGGCTTCCTTATGGTACAGCCCCAGACACTTGGAGATTGTTATACAATTTAAAATAGAGTTTACTGGGGGTTTGTGTCCTTGAAATTGTGGTTTAATATGTGGATTTTTCATTGGCTTGGTAAAAGAATGTTCATCCTGTCAGCATCCCATTGAAATCTGGCAAACACGTCTGGTTTCTTGTTTTGTTTAAATGGTTTTGATATACTTGTGGATGATATCTCCCATCGGCTGGAGCTCAGTTGGCGCCTTAGTTTCCAAGGAGTTGGAGGAGCTTAAATGGAATGGCAGAGGCTTGAGGAAAACTCCTGTGTAGAGGCTAAATCAACCTCCACAAGGAACAGGGCCTTCTCGGTGGCCATTCCTAGACCTTTCTCACAAGAGAGTTGCATTAGGCTTTGTCCAGAAAGATTGCAGCGATGGGGTGGAAGATCATTCTTTTTTAGAAAGGTGTCTTATAAAAAATATTCCATGATTTGGAGTATAAAAGTTGCTGTAAGGTCTTTGAAAGGCATAAAACATGCTAATAGTTTTATGTTAATAGATAATAGTACATTCCAGAATGGACTTGCCTTCATTGAAGGTTTTTAAACAGAGGTTGGATGACCAGCTGTCAGGGATTATTTAGCGTGATTTCTGCATTGCAGGGGGTTGGATTAGATGACCTGTTGGCGATCCCTTCCAGTGCTACCATTCTAGGATTCTCTTTAAGTTGGAACGGTGTTATATTAGGCACATAATTATGTGTATGAGGCATTAGGAGAGTGGTACATGCTGTACTCCTTCTGGGGTAGTTTGTAGAGTGACTGCGGCAACCCAGGCAGATGGACAGGGTTGGTTAGAGCATGATGATGATAATGCCAAAATTGCAGGTTCGATCCCTGTATGAAACAGCTGCATAGTCCTGCATTGCAGGGGTTGGACTAGATGATCCTCAAGGTCCCTTCCAATTCTGTGATTCTATGGTAATGATGATTTGTCCACCTTTGGTCCCCACCCTGCACTCCGCTCTCACCTGTGGCTCCAAGAAGCTGTCAGTGGGCTGTCAGTGGGAAACTGCTGGCCAGCTAAACCAGGTGAGGGTCGCCGATGGATCTCAAATCCTCAGTGAGTTAGGGACTTCTGCTGCATGCGAAGACAGGCTCTAGTGGATGAGACCAATAGTGGGATCAGTGGTCAAGAAGGTGCCTTCTGTACATGCTGTAGAGGGGAGGGGGAGCACATGGGGCTCATCAGCCTGAGAAGGTAGCCCATCAAGGAGAAGGTCAACTCTGATCCTAAACCTACAGTGGCTTGCTGTTATCTTCGGAAGAAGAAAAAAGCTAAGGTAGATAATCCCGAGTGGAGCCCATAAGACAAGTTGGTGCCAAACATATTGCTCTGCTTTGCTTTGGACCACATCATCAAGGCTGAGCTTGGGGTCTTGATGTCTGGGCAGCCCAGGACATCCATACACACTTTGGTGCTGTTAACACAGTGGTTTGACTTCACCTCCGGAGGTGCACTCCATTGTCTCAGTACAGATGGTTGCCAGCAACAATTATATAAATTGAAAGTGAATCAATAGGGCACTTTTCCCTAAACTAATAGTAGTCATTGTGGTTCCCGCCATGCTGGCTGGGGCTGTTGGAAGTCCAACAACATCTGGAGGACACTGTGTTAACTACCACTGTTTTAGTTTGAACCCTGCCCGATTTGAACTATAAAATTGTGGTTTTCTTGAGTCAAAATGAGAGTATCCCTAAACTTTTTTTTTTAGATAAAAAGCACTGCCTGTATCCTTTGCATTTTAGACTGAAAAAATCCCTTTATTTGAAGGTACTGGAAGATTGGGAGCTGGTCATAAGATGTGCTGACACTAAAGGCAGATTATGAGGATGCTGTGTTTATAAGAAAAATGGCTATCAAAAGGCCATTCTTTTCCCATAGATCAAAGCTGCCCAACTTGTTGTCCAAGTTCAAATCTTTTTGACTCAGAGTTCAAGCTAAAGCTGCCTTAGCTCTTTAATGTTGCTTGCCTTTGTTCTTTTTTGTTGTGCTGGTTTTGGTGACATCTTTGTTGATTTGATTTGTCTCTTTTATTGGATGGTGTGTGTGTGTTTAAATTATTATGAATATTGGTGAATATAAATATTACAAGTTTAATTTAAAAGATTTATACCCTGCCTTTAACTGGAATGATAAGGCAGTTTACAACAGATGTTAATAATATAATATGAAATCTGATTCATAACACACATGTGCATGCACACATAAGAAAATGTAATAAGAAGAGGCTCACTGGATCAGACCAAAGGTCCAGCTAGTTGAGGCCAGTTTGTGTTCGTAACACTGTGCTAAATATGTGGGTGTTTAGGTCGGTCACACACTTCCTCAGCTACAATTTATTCTAAAAGATCCTGCCCTTCATCCAGGTTTTGCTTTTTAAAAAGCTATTGAGAGTGCCTTAGTACCAAACTAGATGTGAATTAGACAGCATGCAAGGGTGAGCTTTTAATCAGGATTGCAGTATGTGAGATTGAGAGTGGAATCCTTCCTTCCCCAGTTGCAATCTCATTGAAAATCTCCTGCCCCGCCTCACCAGGAAAAGAGCTCCCATTGATACCAGTGAAAATCTCACAGCCCTCCCTGCTTTTAAATTAACAACAACAACAACAATGCCTATAAATACTTTCTAATTATGTGTTTCACATCCTTGCATCTAGTTTGGCCCTCTGTCTTGCTACAGAAGCTGTGCTGATCAATTTAAAGTTACATACTGTTGAATTCTTCTTTTACTATGTCAAATTTCTACTTTGGGTTACTTGTCAAAAGCAAAACACCATTTGTGCCTCATGTCTAATAACCTTTACTAACATGCCCATCCATGCTGAGTGCTAGGATCTCTGTTGAACCATAAAGTGGGAGCATCCTTAATCAAACAAACTTCTGTTTATATGTTGAGAGAGAGAACCCTTACCTACTCAGTGCTGCAGGGAAAAGAAGGGCATGGGGAAGAGAGCATGAATACAAGTGGGCAACCTGTGGCCCACATGCAGCCCTGAGGCTTTATTTGTAGCCGATGGATTCTTGTTAAAATTGGCTATTAGAATTTGCTCCCCCTCTACTTTATTCGTAAGATAAGAGTTGCAGATAAGAGTTTGAATATGTGAAGGGAAAGATTTCTGAGTGCCCAACCCTGCCCCATAGCATTGTTTTTCAGTCAAACATTTTGATTTAGTGTTAACAGACCACAGCAACACTTAACTTTGTTTCATCTGCCTAATTCTGTGTATAGCGTCTTCTGAGAGATGTTGGTGTCAGTATTGTCCAGCCTTATTTAAATAAAGGCCAGTTCTGAAGTGAAAACTAAGTCAGAGTTTGCAACCGGAATCTTGCAACTTGAGCTTTGTTATAATCAATCTTGTTTTGCTTTTAAAATAAAAATGGATAACTCTTGGCTGACCTATTTCTGTCAAGAGGCAGGAAGTGAGCCACTATAAGCAAACGTATTATAGCATCAAAGTGATAGCCACAAATTGGAGAATTAATTTAAAAGCATGTAGTATTATTGATGATTGATTTTAAAATATCCTTCCAGTTCACGTTAGATCATTTCCCCTACTGATTCTGAAGGCTGGGGCAGAAAACAAGCATAAACCCATTGATGTACAACAAAATTGCACTTTATTAAAATGCTTCCTTTAAAAACTACAACAACCCTAGTCACACTGAGTCTAGAAAGCCAGATCAAAAGGAGGTCTTACTACTCTTCCAAAAAGTGTGTGTGCAGATTTAGCAGGTGGGAATCCACAAATTTCTTTCGGGGAGGAGGGAGAAATAGAGAGGAGCAGTCAACAAGATTTTTCTTTGTTGTTCTGAATTAGGCACAGCAGTATCATTAAGAAGACTGCCTCAAAAGTATGTTGGGCCTAACCCTGTCCACATGCTGAGATAATATTATGAGGCTGTTCTCTGGATATCCTGTCTTTGGGAATGAGGCAGGTGGTGACTGAAGAGCTTTGGCTTTTTAATTGGTGTTTGATTGGAACTGCTTTAGGCTACTCTGGTGTGTTTGGTCATTTGTGTTTGCAATACAGTGAACCCTCCGGATACAAATTAAATTTGTTCCGGGGGTCTGTACTTAACCTGAAAAGTTTGTGATTGGAGGCGTCACTGCTGCGCGCACACGTGGCGCAATAGAGCGCTTCTGCGCATGCGTGCGCAGCAAAACCCAGAAGTATACACTTCTGGGTTTGCCGCGTTCACAACCCAAAAGTTACGCATCCAGAGCGGTACGTAACTCGAGGGTTCACTGTATGTGTTGTGATACTTGTGGAAGTCTTGACTGAGTGTTTTTAAATTGCTTAATGTGCTATGTGCCTTAAGATCATCATGTTATAATTGCCATACAGTACAGTGGTACCTTGGGTTACAAACGCTTTGGGTTACAAACTCCGCAAACCTGGAAGAAGTACCTTGGGTTGAGAACTTTGCCCCAGGATGAGAACAGAAATCACGCGGCGGTGGCGGAAGGCCCCATTAGCAAAAGCGCGCCTCAGGTTAAGAACGGTTTCAGGTTAAGAACGGACCTCCGGAACGAATTAAGTTTGTAACCCAAGGTACCACTGTACTTAAATTTGAGCAGGGGTAGGGAGCCTTCATCTCCCCACCCCTGATGTAAATACAGAAAGAGAATTTCATTCTCAAGGGAAAAGTGAAGTATGTGTCTGTGGCATTTTGTGCGATCTTAAACATTTTAGACTTCTCTTGAGCTTAGCATATTATTTCTCCAGCAATCCTTACAGCAGCCATGAGAATATGTATTGAACTCTCATTCAAAAGTGTGTGCTTGGTGTAATTATTGCGGTGTTAATGGATTTGGGTGATGGGACTGAGGCAGGGAGCTTAGGGGCTTGCCTCAAGACATCGAGCAAATTTTACAGCTGAAGCAAGAATTGATCCAGGACTTTCTGTTTCACAACTCAGCCTCTTAGCCCCTGCCGGACAGTAGCTCTTCTGTAAGTGAGAGTTAATTTCCTGTATGCTCTGATATACAACTTTGCTGAACTTTGTAATGTCTTTTTCCAGATGTGATCTGTCTTTCCCTCCCCCACTCAAAAAGAAACCCTGTGGTGATTCTCTCCCCCCCACCCTTGTCTCAATGCAGCTTGCATAGAAAAGAACTAGAGGAAACACTGGCTAGTAGTTTCCCACTGGGATTAAATTTCTCTGTGCTCCCACCCCTTCACAGGATAGGCTCTTCCCCACCCCCACTCCTCCCCTCTCCCCTCGGGAGCAGAAGAAAAACAGAAAACTTAAAATTCTCAGCATGTTCCTTTATAATGGGGCTGTGATAGCCGTGTCGTAAATAGTGTTTATTTTCATTATCGTCTTGTTTGTCTGACTACTTAATACTTGTGGTAGAATGTCTTGTGTACAATTTTCCTTTTAATTCTGATGGCAGGGAAAACGCAACCTAAATTTGATGAAACTTAATGAAAGGAGAGACTTTCTATTTTTAACAACTACATTACTGGATGAATCATGCCGAGGGGGTGGTGTGTACATGTCACATCTTCCATGTTTGTCTCTGTGTGCTTTTCTGCTCTCCCTTTTACTATTAGAGTAAAAGAGCGTCCCTCTTCAGCTGAATTCTTAAATAAATTTCTTAACGTTTGCTAGATGAGTGGATTTTTTCATAATGGGCAGTGTAGCAGCTATTTAACAAAATATTTTTGTTCGTTCTTTGATTCTTACAAGTAGATTTATTGGGATTCCGTGATAAAGTGTTGTTTAGTCCTTTAGTTGTGTCCGACTCTTCGTGACCCCCTGGACCAGAGCACGCCAGGCACTTCTGTCTTCCACTGCCTCCTGCAGTTTGGTCAAACTCGTGCTGGTCTCTTCGAGAACACTGTCCCCCCATCTTGTCCTCTGCCGTCCCCTTCTCCTTGTGCCCTCCATCTTTCCCAACATCAGGGTCTTTCCCAGGGAGTCTTCTCTTCTCCTGAGGGGGCCAAAGTATTGGAGCCTCAGCTTCAGGAACTGTCCTTCCAGTGAGCACTCAGGGCTGATTTCCTTCAGAATGGAGAGGTTTGATCTTCTTGCAGTCCATGGGACTCTCAAGAGTCTCCTCCAGCACCATAATTCAAAAGCATCAATTCTTTGGCGATTAGCCTTCTTTATGGTCCAGCTCTCACTTCCATACATCACTAAGCCACTCCAGTATCCCTGCCAAGAAAACTCCATGGACAAATACAACAGGTTTTCCATGGCAAAGTACATGCTCCTAACAAAATACCTGAAGCTGTGTGTGCAAATATACAAGTATCATTGTCTTTCTCTCTACCCCCATCACTGTTACCTTGTGAACTTTTGTTTTCCAGAATCCTCCTGTTTGAGAGGGAAAAGCTGTGTGTAGCCCCTATCCCCCTAGCTCTTTTTTGTTACAAATCCTGTCACTAAACTCTTCTGGTTACGCTTTCCCCCTCTGGAAATAACTCTTCTACTCTCCTCACCCTCCTGGTTGTGAAAAGGCCTGGATAATGATAGTCTTTAAGACAGCAGCCTGAGCCACAGTTTCCCCTTGTGCCAGAAGGGAAAGGATGTTTATTCTTAGATAGCTGTGAGAGTTGAAGGACTTCAGAGAATCTGAGTAACTGTGGGACACATGGCTCTTTGGAACCCGTGAGTGAAGAGCTGGGTAAAAATAGGCTGTTAAAATGCTTGACTTTGTGGTGGAAGAGAAATGACTTTCATAGCACTAATAAAGGGAGTGTGTCCATGTCCTCCTTCAATGGATCATGGCTCTGGTAAAGTAGGGGTGGGTCGGCACAATTATTCTGGCAACAGCTGCCAATGCCATGCATCATTTGGCTCCCAGTGCACTGCGCAAGGGGGCAGAGAGGGAGAGGCTCATGTATGCACCATCCTCAAGGCATTTTGGGCACCTTGGAACCAGTCTCCCTTGGCATAAAGCAAGATATCACTTTGCTTGTCATCTGTTATTACTAGGCATAGGGCTCCTGTTTGGCCCAGGCAGCATATCACGCTCTTGGCCTGGGCAGCATGTTGCTCTTAAGTGTCAGCACACCCTACTCCCGTCACTGTTTTTGTGTGCAGCGCAGAACGGAGGAAGTCACATGTTGTGCTAGTGCTACTTGAGGCTTATTCTTGAAGACGCAGAACACATAGGGAAATAGAGGATTTGAAAAGCTATGATGGTGTTTATTTAGATTTTTCACACCACCTTAAGAGAGACCTTACTTTGCCTAATATACTGAAATCAATTTATATTTAGTGTTCAAGATAAATGTCTTAAGGAACAACAGTATATAAGGCAATTTCATAGGGGAGACCTTAAAGAAAAATATTAAGTGAGCCGCCACTTGCAAATTTTCTTGTGAAACTGAGGTAATACATGGCTTTGGGGTGTGTGTGTTAGAAACTGTATTTTGTGCCCATTAGGATTTCCTGGTGTCTGATTAAGAACAGCGGTAAAATGATGCAAAGTAGAAAAAGAATTTGATATGAAACATAGCTGAGTAATCTTGCTCGCAGTGAATTGGGCAGTACTGACCAGGCTGAATTTTGCCACCATACTATCTTTCTTTTAAATGCTTAGGTTTTTGGAAATTCTTGCCTTCTCACACTTCTGTTAAGTGAGCATGTTATGAACGTGTACAATTACAGCTCTTTTTTATGCTCTGTGTTTCTTGAAGGGTAGAGTACAGCATTTTCCTTGTAGCACAGAAGGCTCATATACCAGAACACTGATTGCTTTGTTCATCAATGAAGACTGAAAGTCCAGCTTATCAAGCCTAGACAAAACCCATTGGGAGCAGTGTTTTTATTAGCAAAGCTCTAGAACCCAGATGTTGGGAAATATTGAGGGAACAAGGAGAAGGGGATGACAGAGGACGAGATGGTGGGACAGTGTTCTCGAAGTTACCAACATGAGTTTGACCAAGCTGCGGGAGGCAGTGGAAGACAGGAGGGCCTGGCGTGCTCTGGTCCATGGGGTCACGAAGAGTCGGACACAACTAAACAACAACAAAGAACCTGAGCATCTGAGACTTAATACTTCTCGGTGTATACAAATTAATGGAGTGGGTGGGGGAGGGGTGGGGAAGAGTAGGGATATAATCATTTGATTTCCTCACAAGTCAATCTGTTGACAACATACTAACTGTCCTGTCGCTGTATACATTGTGTTGGTTTGGGCCCAGTTCTCCAATCTGTTAAGGTCATTTTGAATCCCGATTCTGTCTTCCGTGGCATTAGCTATGCCCTCCCAGTTTGGTGTCAACTGCAGATTTGATGGGCACCCCCTCAATTGCTCTGTCCAAGTCGTTTATAAAGACATTGAACAACAACGGGCCCAGGACAGACCCCTGTGGCACCCTACCAATGTAACCTTACTGTACAAAGTACCGTATTTTTCGCTCTATAACACACACCGGACCATAACACGCACGTAGTTTTTAGAGGAGGAAAACAAGAAAAAAAATATTCTAAATGAAACAGTGGGTGTATGATTTTTTGTGGTTCATGCTGTGGCCACAGACATGTGATCTGACAGTGTGTTTGGAGTAGCTCAATGCAAAAATGCTGAGGATGCATGTGGATCCATGCTTTGTAACCACGTTTTTGCACCACTGCGACCCCAGGCAACAGTGGGTGCGTGATTTTTTTGGTGCAAGATGTAGCCATGGACATGCTATGTGATCTGATGGTGAATTTGGGGTGACCCAGTGCAAAAATCCTGAGGATCCATGTGGATCCGTGCTTTGTAACCACGTTTTAAGTGGGGAGGGAAGGAAAAGCACTCAAGGGACAAGGAGCATGCGTGGGGTGTGTGGAGAAGGATGCTGCTAATCATGCTATTTAGCAAGCTGAGTGAGGAGGAGAGAGGGACAGAGAGCCTGCTTGCTTTAAAGGAGCCAACCGGACAGGAGCCGGTTACACTTACACTTACACTTACTCGTGTAAGCGGCTCCTCTCCTCTCCCGCTTTGCTCCTTTAAAGCAAGCAGGCTCTCTGTCCCTCTCTCCTCCCCACTCAGTGGCTCTTCTCCCGCTTTGCTGTTTCAAAGCGAGCCACGGAGGAGGGAAGGAAGGGGAACCATGGATCCTCTGCTCACGACTGCAGCAGATCCCCCCCCCGCCACCCGTAGGCATTCGCTCCATAACACGCACAGACATTTCCCCTTACTTTCTAGGAGGAAAAAAGTGAGTGTTATGGTGCAAAAAATACGGTAAGTCTTCTTTTACTCCATTCTCTTTTGCATCTGGCCCCACCCACCACTGGCTTGCAGCTCGCAGAAGGATATTTTACGTTACACATTCCAGATGCTGGCCACAGATTTTTTTTAAAGGTTATTAAAGCAGAAGGGATGTTCTGGAGAACGGGGATTGCACCAGGGGAGCATTGACTGTAAAGGATGTTGCCCCCTTTGACTGGGGGACCTTGGCTTTCAGCACGCTTTAGTCAGCTCCTGCTTCCTTGCAGTGGCTTTCCAAAATGCACAGCTTATGTCTACACACAGTGCACACAAATGGCAAAGGAGAATGGTGGAATCGAAACATTAAGGGCTAGGGGGACCATAATGGTTTGGATCAGTCTCTGGTTTGGATTTTACTCGAAACTGCATACACAGGTTTCTACCTATGTTTGGGAGCAAGTTTATCTGCAACAGAAATAATAGCATTTGGGTTCAGACTTTAGTGACTGTTTCAAAAGCGTGGTCAGTCATGGAGTAAATTTGCACCAACACTTCGCCTAATTCAAGGGTCATCAACATGGTGCCCTTCAAACATTGTTCGACCAACTCTCACCATGTGTGTGCTCACCAAATAACTTGTGCCTCACAGCTTCTGCAAAGCACTTTGGTATGCCTTTTATCTGTACAGATAAATTCAGCAACTGTTCTTGGTGAAGATGAAAGTGGCTGCGTGACTAAGGTGTGTGTTCTTGTAAAGGATGTTCTGTCTCTTCAGGTGTTGAAACATAATCTTATTGTGTATCATTGGTATTTTGAATGGGTGGCAGTGAAACAAAGCTAGGCAGTGAGGTAGAAATCATCTCCCAAAGTTGCTATGCACTAGCCTATATGTATGATTGGTGTATGTTCCCCCCCCCTTTTTTTTCCAGGGAGAGGGTCTCAATCAGGACAGAATGTCCTCTGGCATTCAGAAATGCTATTTAAAATTTCCACCCCTATGACTGCCAATAAAATTCTATAAAGAGCTGCTTGGTGCTTCCAGTTGCACATGTTAGGTGACAACTGGCTACATCTTGATAGGCATAAAAAAGCAAGCCTGGGAGGAACAAAAACTCTGCAGAATGGCATAATGCCTGAGCTTTTATATGTGCTGTTAAGTAAAGGGAGGTAATATGAAACTGACTAGGAGATAATTTGAAACAGATATTGTTTCTGCAAAAATCTTTTCAGATTTGGAATATTTTAAAGTAAGGGCGAAGAAGGAGAAAGGTGGGGTTTGCCTGTAAAGTCTACAACATTCATAAACTCTCAACTTCTGACTTGGCTATAGAACAGTTTCTGCTGCCTGTGTAGCCAGGTTTTAACTGCCAGTTATTTTGAAATATTGGTAAGTGCAGTGCTGTTGAACAGAACAGTTAGATTGCTTGCAAATTGATAGTCCCTCTGTGAGGCTCAACCCCCATTAACTGTCAGGGGTTGTGTATGGCCAGCATGACATTTAAACTGGATCACTGGTCTGCTACATTGCAGTACTGGCCAGGACATAGCCAAAAGTTCCCTTAAAGTGAAAACAATTCTATTGGCAGCCATGTCCTGTTCCTGTCTGCTTCCTGGAGACAAAAGCGTAATTATCTGTTGCCTTTGTTTTAAAACCTTTGCAGATCAGATTAAAGTATCCATTGCAAAGTGGAAAAGATTTGGACAGGGCATGAGTGTAGTTGGTTGCATACTCGTATCGTTACTAGTGAGGACTAAGTGTATCTCTCATTAGTCATGGCTATTAATAAGGATATAGGTGCATTGGTCCCAGAAAAAATAACCTGATATCTATCAGATTAGATGGAATAACTTGTAGCAGCAGCACCTGCTTTATTCTTCTGGCCTGGACAGTACTATATCACCTATTCTCCAAGATCTGATGGGAGGAAATTTTCCGGGGAGGGCATTCTCCCAATACAGCCAGAAACTTGAGTCCTCGATTGTCATGTCTCTTAGATTGTAAGCCATTTTGGGAACCTTTTTGGCTTAGAGAGCAGGGAATCAATGCTTTAAATAAAGTGAGAAGGAGATGGCCTTCATCTGAAAATAACACCTTGAAAGTGTCCTAATGGAATGTTTAAAGAGAGTCCCCTTGTAGCCTAGTATTCAGTCTTCCCAAAGTTGTGTTGCAAAGCTCAATTCTAGCTCCAAAATCTGGAGGCTTTTAAATTATGAGAATGAGTTCTCATCATCTTTTAGTAGGCTTCTGGATAAAGAGAAATATGAAACCTGTGGCTAATTGTTGTTAAGGCCTCAGACTTACAGAGGATCCCAGTGGGATTTTCCTGGCAAGTAATCCACACACCTTTCTGTTCCCTGTAGCTCCCCCCCCTCTTTACTTTAGCATGTCTTTTGCTGTGTTCCTCAGATAAAAACTTCAAACAGAGGAAAGATAAATCAGCAGCCAGTATGGGAAGGAAGTAAAGTTTTATGATATGTCAGTTGGCCTAACTTGCTACTGAAACATACCTCCAATGATCCTTCGAATGGTTTGGCATTTGCAACTGGAAAGAGTAGGTAATGGAGACTGTTGCCTGCAATTAGCCTTCTGAAGAGGTAGTTCAAGGTGGAGGTGTGTAAATGTGCACTACTTTGGAAGTACAGGAAGGTTAAAACACCTCCATTGGCATCCTACTTGGGAATGAATGACACAAGCATGTATTTCAAACCACTTTTTGTGAGAGAGGCAGGAGTAGATGCAGCTCTCTAGCAAAGTGTGTCTTTGCTGGAAAATCTGTATTTGCTGTTAATGTGTAATGTGTGAAATGGCCTTCAGATCCCCAGGATTTTTCGGTATGTCAAAGGCAAAGTATGTCGTTGTTGGCATCCATCTGTCTCAAGAGACAGTGGAGCAGTGCACCTTTGGAGATGAAGTCAAACCATCAGAGAGTTACAGTGCCTGCTGTGGCTGAAGAGACCAATACGGGAGAGACCTGTTTTGTTGTGGCTGGGGCAGATAAAGACAAAAATGAAGGCACTGAAAGTAATAAAACATACTAATTTTAGCATGTATAACAGAGCCCTGTGTAGAAATGTACTTTCTACGGATAGTCATCTGAAAAAAGTTAATTACAGCTTTGATTTAAGATTTCACTGGTACTAGTATCCACTCCACTTGCCCAAATTGACTTGTGTTAATCCACAGTGTTAATTCTTTCTTTCTTTCTTCCATCTGTTTTGTTTTCTCTTTTCTTCTTTATTTTTATTTATATTAGTTTGATTTTTAGTGTATTGTATGGTGAAAAGTTTCAATAAAAATATACCAAGAATTGGAATGTTTCCCATTAAAAATCATTAATTTTAGAACATTTTCCAGCCTCCACATATTGAAAGTAACCTTTTTGTCAACGAAAACCTACATCTGATAGTTATACAGTACATTGCCATTCTTTTGTGACTCATAAGCTTTTTCTTAATCTGATTCCGCCCCCCATGTGTTTCAATTGTTTTAAAATCCATGTAGAAAATTCCTAAAATGTAGCGAGAGCCTTCTCATGTAGATGATCGGGGAGATTATTTTGGCAGGAAACAATTCCACTGCTTGCAAGTCTCTCTTCCCTCTTTTCTCTCTCTCTTACTGTTTTATATTTTTATGTCTTCAGTATGTTGGGACACTTCCAATTAGCCTTGCTTCCCGAAAGCTCATTGGCACTGCAACAGACCCTCCCCTGAAAAAGAGCATTCACAAAGTGCTGTTTCAGCTTTGGAGAGAATGGAAACGCTTGACCTTCATTCAAGTGAATATTTTAAGCATAGGCCAAATGCATAAATCGCCAATAAAACATCCCAAACATGCTTTCTTTATATATACAGTATATAATGATCTTGGTAAAACTGATGAAGGACAAATTAACTTCCAGTTCTGATCCAGTTGCTCTCTTCACATTATGTGTAGTCTTCATTTGTGTGCAAATCCTTTTGCATTTGTTAGCCAACTCCCACCCCACTATTCATTTCTCACGTGTATCTTAACAAATCCCCCAAATAATTACTAAGCAGTAGTTCATTGGCAAAAGACTGAACTATGGTCCATGAAGATCCCACTTAAAATCTCACTTCTGATATAAACTCTGTTAATGTCCATAGCTTCTGTCTCCAAGTTGGACTCAAGATTTAAAGTCCAAGAAGACCAGGTCAGTGCAGTGGGGTGAGGCCCTATTACTGAATATCTGATAATAGTTAAAATTATCCAGATCTTAAGAGTAGAATTATCCATGCATTCAGTTGAGTAGAATACATGGATAATTCAGTGAAATGTTACCCTTGCTTTTGTGGTAATGTTTGGTATGTGGCTTGTTTGAAATCACCTCTCTCCCTTCAAAGACAGCCTTATTATTGTTAGTTAAATTGCATAAAACTCTAACTCTGGTGGAAGATCATCTCTCAGATTCCCATAGCAATAAAAATCTAGTGGCAAGTCCTGTCTGAGGTTTCTTTGTTCTTAATGTCGATGTGTGACATCAATATCATTAATGATTCACTGGAGCCAGACAGTGCAGAGAAATATCCCCACATTCAGTTGCATTTCCTTTTTTAAGGGAATTTCTCCAGCCCTAAAGTGGATTTTCCCAACTTTTCAGCTTACATGCTGTCTCTTTCCACCCCCTTTTCATTTCTCTGAAACCACAGGCTTTAGTGTACTGACATGTCACAAAAGTTTTAAACACTGAAACACTTGGGGGGGGGGTTGTTTGTTTTTTAAAGAAGTGTTCCATCTTAGAGAATTGTATTTTGTCCTTTGTGTAGCTTCATCTGTAATCACTTGGGTTTGATAAATCTAAATAGTCATAATTTGGATGGTCATGCAGTTTGTCTCTTGTGCTCTTCATTTCTCCATGTCCTGATGTAACTTATTAAGCATGTTAAAAATGTGCCAAGAAAATCTTTAAATCACTTGGGTTGTGCTTTTGTGTATGTATGTTTTTGCTTATGCTCGGGCAGGAGTCATGATCACAAAGCCTTGTTCTTTAAAAAAACTTAGGAACCATCCTTTGTTCACAAGATCAGTAGCACAATATTTACCGTAGGTTGTGAGTTTCTTTAGCGAAAGACTTATTTCTCTCTCTCCAGGAAAGTGCCACATAACTTTAGGTATGAATAGATTCAGATCAACAAAGCATGGTTTCCTGGGAGCTGTTGTACCTTATGTCCTGTAGACTGCCTGGTCTTCCCCATATAGGGTAAACCAGAGTCCATTGTCAAGATAGCTGCATGAGTTTGAATCACACATCTTTTTGCAGTCTTGAAATGCACATACAGTGGTACCTCAGGTTAAGTACTTAATTTGTTCCGGAGGTCCGTACTTAACCTGAAACTGTTCTTAACCTGAAGCACCACTTTAGCTAATGGGGCCTCCTGCTGCTGCCGCACCGCCGGAGCACAATTTCTGTTCTCATCCTGAAGCAAAATTCTTAACCTGAAGCACTTTTTCTGGGTTAGCAGAGTCTGTAACCTGAAGCGTATGTAACCTGAAGTACCACTGTCTAGTGACTTCAGTAGGACATCTGTGCCCATTTCAACAGAGTTCCCTCCCCTCCTTGCAAGGAGGTAGGAGAGACCCAGAACAATGGTGTGCAGAAATTTGGGAGTGTTGCTTCTCTCCTGTCTGCCAGGATACTTGATAATGCCTTGCTTGAGTGCATTTTCTGGGTAGCCTGGCTATTCCTTTGAAATGTGTTAGTTCCCGAATCTCTTACACATATTGAAAGTTTGCTCAGCTTAACAGATACTTGCCAGACTGTATTTGCAGGGAGGTGTAAGCCCCTACAGTCCAAAGACAATTGGAAAGCTTTCCCAGTTTCCTTCTTCCTTGCAGAGAAATATGAAGTCCATTTGGGAGAGTCAAAATGGCTTCAGGATTGCTCTCCTGTACTATTTCAGATACATGGTTTATATACTTATGCCTTTATGTTTATGAACATTTATTCTATATTTGAGACCTTAGAATTCTTATAACAGTATGTTTCTGTGAAAATTGGCACAGCATTTTCTTAGCTGTGTGTTCTGCAACGAGAATCAATGAAACACGACCATACCCCTTAATGATCAAGCACAGCAGTCGTTTGACCAACCCTGAGGCTTTGAGCTTACTTTATTCTGTTCCATTTTTTAAAAGAACATTTAAGTAGAAGGGGTTTACTTTCCCCTCCAGGGGAAAAACTAGTGAAAACTGAGATAATATCAATGAAGAAAAACTCTCTAGGAATCGCTCGGCCTGCCCTGCTTTGGTTGTTTTCAACTTTAGGTGGCTTTCTGGAACATACATAGTTATTGAGGCATACAACCATGGGGGAAAAGGTTTCAGAAATTGTTTTCTATCAAAATGAACTCCTTTCCTTTCTGTGTCATTTCAGAATAATTGGAAAGAAGGATAAACTTTTTTTAAAGCTGGGAAAAATGGGGCAGGAAGGAACAGGAAGAAAGGAACTCTGGTGGGATAGAAGAATAAGGCAGTTTCAGAGGGTGTCAGGGCCATGTAAATCAAGATCAAGGTCAGCAGGTTTCCCACCTGTGTGTTACGTGTTCATTTTGCATCCAAACACAGGCCAGGGTAAAGGGGAAAGCAGAGTGACAATCGTGTTGCGTGAGCATCGGACATGTAAGGTTCCTCTGTTACTAGACGGTACCACATCAGCCTGCCGGGTGGGGCAGGAGTTGTGTATTTAACTCCTTTGTCCCATATTAAGGGTTTGCATGTATGTTGTGGATAAAACTAGAACTCATCTCTCTGAAATCCATGCTGACCTTGTCATACTAGTTTCATAGGTGCAGGGATGGCTTACCTGTGGGAACAGCCAGTCTTTCCCTTACAGTTGAGCATCAGCCATGCAAGACAGTTGCTTGCATGTTCCAGCTCTTAACTAGGGTCATTTCCACATTTACTGTGTTTTCTCTGTTGGCTGAGAGAAGGGTTTGTGGGGAAAACTTGTAGAGGGAGGAGAGAGATGGAGAAAAGTGGGGGAGTAGCTTGATGACTAGAGAAAGGGAAACTATTTAAAGGCCTTGAGAAGAGCGCTTGGGAAGAACCCTCCATTGCACACAATGTTAAGAAATACAATGGTACCTCGGGTTACGTACACTTCAGGTTACAGACTCCGCTAACCTAGAAATAGTGCTTCAGGTTAAGAACTTTGCTTCAGGATGAGAACAGAAATCGTGCTCCGGCGGAAGCAGGAGGCCCCATTAGCTAAAGTGGTGCTTCAGGTTAAGAACAGACCTCTGGAACGAATTAAGTACTTAACCCGAGGTACCACTGCAATAGATTTTTTAAAAAGTAGAAAAGCCGTCTTTATATTGCATAGTCTTATGATGTTGGCAGTGGATAGTTGGTATTTGGTACTGTGCTAGGAGGAGGAGCTCATTGTAACAGTGAAGTTCTTGATTGGTGCAGCAAATGGGGCTGGTCCTAGCATCATCCAAGCAGAGGGAAATTCCCTTCAGAAGCTTGTCCTAAGTCTGAAAGCTCTGGCCGTCTGATTAAAGGGCAAGAAACAATAAATGGCATTCATACAAGGGAATGCAGTACACAAGTGAATTCCACCGCACCAACTCCCACCGAAATGATTTTTTCCTACTATCATGCAATGGCTGTCTGTGTGTGAGAGATGGAATTGACAGATTTAGTTAATTTACACTGACATAGAAAGTCAGTTGCCTTCTCTGAAGTACGGAAAGTTTCTGGAGTATTACACCAAGTTAATCCTCAGTAAAATAAGTACAATGTAATAGTGTTCTTTGACAGCGGGAAGTTGCAGGAGGAAACTTAAAAGTTAATGTTTCTCTCCTCCCCCCCCCCCCCACTTTTTTTTGTTACTGCTCTTCAGTTGCAGAGAACAAACTGGGAAAGCTGTCAGTTTCGAAGCAGTGTTTTGCTTCTGGCAAAATGTGCTTTCTCAGTTATATTCAGCAAGGCTAATTTTGCAAATTCCCTTAAGACCTCAGCTATTTACTTTTATGCACCCAGGTGTAGTTGCTGGAAGATCATTCCAGCATACCAGACAACAAAGGTTTTTAGTCTAGAGATTTTGTGAGTTGATTAAAACGGCAAACCCTATCTTCAGGCTTTCTTTTTCCCCCCCTTTTCTTTTTACTGTTGCATATGATTCTGAATGTAACCTGTATACCTTTGCGCTCTGCCTTTGCAATCCAGCTTCTGCAGTAATTGGAAAACGGGACAAACGTTGCCATCTGGTAGTCCTTAAGCCCATGGAATTTCTTTGCTTCAGCTACAGAAACTAAACAGCACAATTGCCAAGACCATCTCTTTATTCAAAACATGTTTTAAAACCCTTTTTTTTGGAAAGCTTTCATTTCATTCTGTGAAGGAAAGGTGGGGTTAGACTCCTCACGATACACTTAGTGGGTGATTAAAAAGGGCTCTAGTAAAACACCCAAAATGGCGGCTTCTTCATCCCCATGCATCCACTTCATGTGTGTACCATTAGGAAGCTGAACTCTTACCAGGGAATTCAGGCCTTGAACTGAGAACTTGTCCAGTGTTGGGACCTAACCTATTACAGTGGTACCTCGGGTTACAGATGCTTCAGGTTACAGACACTTCAGGTTACAGACTCCGCTAATAGTACCGCTAATAGACTCCCAGAAATAGTACCTTGGGTTAAGAACTTTGCTTCAGGATGAGAACAGAAATCACGCACTGGTGGGGCAGCGGGAGGCCCCATTAGCTAAAGTGATGCTTCAGGTTAAGAAAGGACCTCCGGAACGAATTAAGTACTTAACCCGAGGTACCACTGTAGTGTGCGTTCAACCCCCAGAGCCCTCTTCCAGCACACAAGGAATAGAGAGGACACACCACCAGCCCAGGCAGTTTGAGGCCTCTGTGTTATTCTGGTTCGAAATAAATACTGGAGCCAGGCTTTGTGCCCTTCTGACCAAGCAGAACCAACATGGATGGGAAACTGCACAGACTCAAGGTCCGGGTCCTGGTTTTAGCCCCCTCTCATTGTTTGACTCTTCTACTCTGCCTGAAGCATGCTCTCGGTAGTTGGGTTCATACCCAGTGGTCAAACCATACCTCACTCAGCCTCACACCTTCCTTCCTCAGCTCCTGCCAGTGCACTGGATGTAGCCTAAAGAGGCTTCCCCCGGCATACAAGTTGTCTTGTTCCAGTTATCCTACACTTCCGTTGGTCTACCAAGAAGTACTTAGGGTTGTTTTCACTCTGTACTGAATGTTTTTGATAATGAGCAGCAGGGCATAGTATGGGAAAAGAGCTGCATGTTGGTTCACATGATCTATTTTCTCAAATCCTGGGAGCTCAGACCTGCTAGCACTTTCCTGATCAAGCCTAACTTGGGATACAGATCATTCAAATGTAACCAGTCACACACACACACCCCGCCCATAAATTTGCATCCTGTCATTTTGGCCTGAATTGGGTGGCAGGCCCTTAAGGGGGTTTGCAATAACAACATACAGAAAGTGGTTTTAAAGCACTCAGTGTTCCAGTTTAAAAAAAACAAACAGTAACATTTCAAGAACTTCAGCAATAGCACTGCAGAATTTAAATACAGATCTAAACAAAGCTAGTTGGCTAATTATTCTTTTGCAACAGAAAAACTTTAGCCTTGTTGACAGCCATGCATAAGCTGGCTTGTTCAGATAACCTAAAGTAGGTATCGCGACTGGGAATGAGGATATTTGGCAAATGTGTGGAACCCCCCAGTGGTTGCTGTAACCTTCCAACAATTTAACTCCACCCCCAAAGGTGCATTCCTCCATTGTATCCTGAGACAGACGGGTGCCAACAAAAGTGGCCAACCAGATGTCCTTAGAACTCTTGCAAGCAAGATTTGAAGGCACCACCTGTCCTTTGTTTTGCCCCAGCTCTTGGTATTTAGAGGTGTATCCTAAAAGTTCCATTAAGCTAAGATGACAAATAATTAAGCATATTCACAGGATACTACTATGCAACTGAAAATAGTTCATTAAATATATGTAACACCTTAAGACCTCTTGGAAGCATAGAAGACTCTAAGAATGGTTATTACACTGAGACAAATATTGTTGAAAGAAAATGAGAACATTTGTTTTTATTTGTGGAGGGAGTTCAATCTCCTGATAACCATGTTGGGATTCTTCACATTTTCTTTTTCTTAGGCAAGTGAAGGAGTTGATTGATTTTTCCAAGAAGCTGTCCTTTCAGAAGCCTGATTTGGCTTCTAGCCCACAACTTGGAAACCTCATTCTGTCACTTTAATCATAATTGAATGCCTTACTGCCCTAGAAATAAGCACTGTCTGCCCCATAGTAACAGCTACTGACTGCTGATGAACTATAAATAAAATCTACCCCATGAGTATGGCAAGCCAAAAGGCAAGGTAATGGCAGTATATGTATCATTGTCTCAACCGAAAGACCTTGAATGCTTTACTTCTTGTGGTACTTAAACATAATAAGTGGTTGGCTGGCATCTCTCTATCTTGGGAGACAATGTGCCTTTGAGAGTGAAATCAAACAGTTGGAAGGTTACGACGCCTGCTGCAACTGTAGAGACCGATATGGAAGAGACAGGTTTTGTTGTAATTGCGACAGGTGAAGGCACTAGGTTTTGCTGTTCCAGATGCACCATGGCATTTCTTCTCTTTCCTGGCACGGCCCCCTGCCAGCTTTTAAAGTTGAGATTCGGCTTGCTCATTTCCAAGACACTCTACAAGACTTGTTTACTTGGAGGCATGGGCTTCCCTGAGGGAACATGGGTCTTTCCCATTTGTGGCAGTGCTGCTGCTGTGTTCTTTGTGATAAGATGGAGATCAGCCCCATGGGCTTCTCCAGCTGTTTAGCCTTGACTCCTGGCTGGTTGACAACATACCCTGCTGCTAGGGAATCTCTCCACTCTGTGTATGGGGCAGGACAGGGAACCAGCAGAACTGCCTCCCCTTCCCTGATCTCTGCAGACAAAGGGTTGGTGGCCTCCCATCGATTGACTTGGGCTGCTCCCTGCCAAAGGCGTCCTCCATACCCTGCCAGCTCTTCCTCCTCGGACAGTTCATCCCTTAGCAACAGCCACCCCAGACCCAAGTCAATCAGTATCACGAGGCCCATACCACCACCACCCCTCCCAGGGTAGCCTCACACCCTAGTCCTTGGGTGCTGGCTTTTAAGATAGTACAGTATATGTGCAAGCAATTATGGAGCATGCACGTTGGTAGTGGCTCCCCATCTCTCTCTCTCTCTCTCTCTCTCTCTCTCTCTCACACACACACACACACACACACAATATTACAGATCAGATCCAGAAGGTGCTGCTTTCTAACTTCCAGCTTCACTGGTTGTTGGTTGTTTAGTCGTTTAGTCGTGTCCGACTCTTCATGACCTCCTGGACCAGAGCACGCCAGGCACTCCTGTCTTCCACTGCCTCCCGCAGTTTGGTCAAACTCATGCTGGTAGCTTCGAGAACACTGTCCAACCATCTCGTCCTCTGCCGTCCCCTTCTCCTTGTGCCCTCAATCTTTCCCAACATCAGGGTCTTTTCCATGAGTCTTCTCTTCTCATGAGGTGGCCAAAGTATTGGAGCCTCAGCTTCAGGATCTGTCCTTCCAGTGAGCACTCAGGGCTGATTTCCTTAAGAATGGAGAGGTTGGATCTTCTTGCAGTCCATGGGACTCTCAAGAGTCTCCTCCAGCACCAGAATTCAAAAGCATCAATTCTTCGGTGATCAGCCTTCTTTATGGTCCAGCTCTCACTTCCATACATCACTACTGGGAAAACCATAGCTTTAACTATACGGACCTTTGTTGGCAAGGTGCTGTCTCTGCTTTTTAAGATGCTGTCTAGGTTTCACTGGTAGAGATCCCTACCAAGCAGAAATCTGTTTCTAAGTCAAGGGACATCTTAGCATAACCAAGCACTAACACGTTTTATCACAGCATTATAAGGGAACACCGTGTGACTATGGAGGGGATTAATCCACATCGTCTTTGCTTGGGTTGAGATGACATAGCAAATGGAACTAATGTTTAAAGGGCATTAAAGTAAGAAGAACGGATGAATGAACAAGCTCAGTGAACATCAGAGGACAAAATGTCTTTAAGGAAGTTTAAAGACTAAAAATGCATTTAACACTACTAAAACAACTCTCTAATAATGCCTGAGCCATTTGTGCTTCTTTACATAGGGGTTACAGTGACCTAAAATATGCTGTTTGAAAAACGGCTATCTGGTGCCACCTGTGGACCTGCCTAAATTGACCTCTGAATAGTAATAACCATTAAGCATATAGATTCAGGTAGGTAGCCGTGTTGGCCTGACACAGTCGAAATATATAAAAAAATTGTTCAGTAGCACCTTAGAGACCAACTAAGTTTGTTCTTGGTATAAGCTTTTGTGTGCATGCACACTTCTTCAGATACCATATAATTTGTAAAGAAAGGCTGTGGCTTACTGCAGAAGGAAGGAGGGGTTCCCCCATAAGGAAGCAGGATATAAATGTAAATCATTGTGGGCCTGCCTTTGTAGTGTAGAAGACTGAGTAAGAGCTATTGTTGTGTTATCAGATAAGCAATCCAAGTGCTGTTAATCCTTTAAGACTGATACTTGGCTCCCCCCCTCCCCACACCACACCACCTTGTTCCATTGTACTGGCACCCAGTTCAAAGGTATGGGCACCAAGCTTCAGAAGGTCAAGCAAATAAAGCTGTTGATACGGCACTCTTGACAGAGAGAGAGAGCTTAGAATTGTGTGGAAAAGCTTTTAGGCTGTTCCTCTGCTAGTGTCATCTGATACCGTAAAAGATTTTGTGCACTTGTCTAATCTTTATGTAAAATAGCACAGACATAACTTGGCTACAGTTAAAGATATGACCTACACATATTACAAGTACATATTACTTGTGACTGCTAGATCACAGTAAGAGTGTAGGATTGGGAAACGGTGGACAATTGCTCCTTCCACAGGTTCCAATAGAGCCACCTGAGCATGCCCTCTGCACATCAGGAACAGCAAGAGAAACATGGTGCTCTGTGATCACTCCTGCTTCTCTAGAAATCCCTCCTCTTGAGGGTTGCCAAAAGCACAGCTGCTGTAGACCCTAAAGGCTGGGAGTAGGATCTACTCCATATAATTAACTGACTGGAGGAGCACTTGCCTACCCTTAAAGCCTGTTTATTGTAATGATGAGAGCTATAGTAGCAAGTTGGAACACACCAGTTTCCCCAAGTAGGTTAAATCTCTTTGCCAATTAACTCTCATCATAGCAGCATTTTCTTACATCATGAATTTGGTCTAGACCTGCGGTTCTCAACCTGTGGGTCCCCAGATGTTGTTGGACTACAGCTCCCATCACCCCTGACCTCTGGCTTTGCTAGCTAGGGGTGATGGGAGTTGTAGTTTAACAACATCTGGGGACCCACAAGTTGAGAAAGGCTGGTCTAGACCATGGGTAGGCAAACTAAGGCCTGGGGGCCGGATCTGGCACAATCTTCTAAATCTGGCCCGCAGACAGTCTGGGAATCAGCGTTTTTTACATGAGTAGAATGTGTCCTTTTATTTAAAATGCATCTCTGTGTTATTTGTAGGGCCTGCCTGGTGTTTTTACATGAGTAGAATGCGTGCTTTTATTTCAAATGCCTACCTCTGGGTTGTTGGTGGGGCATAGGAATTTGTCATTTTTCCTCCAAAAATATAGTCCAGCCCCCCACAAGGTCTGAGGGACAGTGGACCAGCCCCCTGCTGAAAAAGTTTGCTGTCCCTGGTCTAGACTTGCGTGACCCTACTGGTACAGGCCAGGGAACATTTTGTAAATGTGTGGATTCAAATCTCCCTGTCAGCACCACCTCCACTTTGAGGTCTCACCACCACTAACTTCATACAGCTGTTTCCTCAAAACGCTGGAGTAAAACCTGACGTTTTCACGCAGCCTTGCCTTTCTTAAATGTTTCTAATTAGCGTGCAACAGCAAGTAGAATAGATCCTACTCCCACCCTTTAGAAACTAAAGCAGTCTTCCCTAGTCTGGTGCCTTCCAGATCTTTTGGACTACAACTCACATCAGCTCCTATCCAGCATGGCAACTGTCCCAAACATTAAGTGGACACTAGGTTGGAGAAGGTTGGTCTAGAGCAGTGGTTTCCAACCTGTTTGTTTGTTTGTTTGTTTGTTTGTTTTTGGGCCATGCCCCGCCTAAAGGTAAAGGGACCCCTGACCATTAGGTCCAGTCGTGATCGACTCTGGTGTTGCGGCACTCATTTCGCTTTATTGGCTGGCATGCAGCTTCTGGGCCATGTGGCCAGCATGACTAAGCCGCTTCTGGAGAACCAGAGCAGCGCACGGAAATGCCGTTTACCTTCCCACCGGAGCGGCACCTATTTATCTACTTGCACTTTGACGTGCTTTTGAACTGCTAGGTTGGCAGGAGGAGGGACCGAGCAATGGGAGCTCACCCCGTCGCGGGGGATTCAAACCACTGAACTTCTGATCAGGAAGTCCTAGGCTCTGTGGTTTAACCCACAGCGCCACCCGCGTCCCATGCCCCACCTAAGCATCTCTAAAATCCTGGTGTCCCCCCCCCCCGTGACATATAATTCTTATTATTCAAAAAGTGAACTCCTATATACGTGGAGGAAGCCTAAAAGGCCATTCACTGTTAATAACCCATTCTCAAATTGCCCCCCTTAAAAATCAAATTTTCCCCCTGTGGGGCGTGTGCCCCACGTTGGGAGCCCATGGGTCTAGAGCCTTGCTGGAGAGGATGAAAAGTTCATTTTTCACTTGATATTTACTGCACTAAGTGAGCAAATCTACCCCTCTCGCACAGCCAAGTGACCAAGGTTTCTGCAGGCCTTTTAGAAGCGCTGAGCGATAATGATACATAAGATTATGTGGTGGTGTAAAGAAAGTAGATAGAGAGAGGTTTCCCCTCGTCCCTCATAAACCTAGGGCCATGCAGTGAAGCTGAATGTTGGGAGATTCAGGACCAACAGAAGGAACAAAGTGTAGTTAAGCTGTGGAATTCAGTCCATAAGAGACAGTGATGGCCACCAACTTGGATGGCTTTAAAAGATGATTTAAACGTATTCATGGAGGGTAAGGCTATCTGTGGCTGCTAGTCACAAGGGCTGTGTTTCTTTCTCCATTCTCAAAATAAATTATTTTTAAAAAATGCCCAGTAGCACCTTAGAGACCAACTTAAGTTTGTTCTGGGTATAAGCTTTCGTGTGCATGCGCACTTCTTCAGATACCTTTCCATTCTCAAAGGTAGCGTTCCTCTGTATGCCAGTTGCCGAAACTCACAAGTGGTAGAAGATGCAAGCCCTGCTTGCAGCTTTCCCATAGGTATCTGGTTGGCCACTGTGTGAATAGGGCCATGATCCAAATTCCCATGTTCCTAAGAAGCGAAGAACTTAGTTCACTACCCAAAATGCTGATGACTCCAGAAAATGTTCTTGTGTGCATATGCTGTATATCTAACTGTACCATGTGTGAGAGGCTGCATATTTACAAGAGATAAAGGTAAAGGGACCCCTGACCATTAGGTCCAGTCGTGGCCGACTCTGGGGTTGTGGCGCTCGTCTCGCTTTGCTGGCCGAGGGAGCCGGCGTAACAGCTTCCGGGTCATGGTAGATGAAGGGAACGCAGTGGATGTAGCCTACCTTGATTTCAGCAAGGCATTTGACAAGGTGCCCCATGATATTCTTGTAAAGAAGCTGGTAAAATGCGGTCTTGACTATGCTACCACTCAGTGGATTTGTAACTGGCTGACTGACCGAACCCAAAGGGTGCTCATCAATGGTTCCTCTTCATCCTGGAGAAGAGTGACTAGTGGGGTGCCACAGGGTTCTGTCTTGGGCCCGGTCTTATTCAACATCTTTATCAACAACTTGGATGATGGACTCAAGGGCATCCTGATCAAATTTGCAGATGACACCAAATTGGGAGGGGTGGCTAACACCCCAGAGGACAGGATCACACTTCAAAATGACCTTGACAGATTAGAGAACTGGGCCAAAACAAACAAGATGAATTTTAACAGGGAGAAATGTAAAGTATTTCACTTGGGCAAAAAAATGAGAGGCACAAATACAAGATGGGTGACACCTGGCTTGAGAGCAGTACATGTGAAAAGGATCTAGGAGTCTTGGTTGACCACAAACTTGACATGAGCCAACAGTGTGACACGGCAGCTAAAAAGCCAATGCAATTCTGGGCTGCATCAATAGGAGTATAGCATCTAGATCAAGGGAAGTAATAGTGCCACTGTATTCTGCTCTGGTCAGACCTCACCTGGAGTACTGTGTCCAGTTCTAGGCACCACAGTTCAAGAAGGACACTGACAAACTGGAACGTGTCCAGAGGAGGGCAACCAAAATGGTCAAAGGCCTGGAAACGATGCCTTATGAGGAACGGCTAAGGGAGCTGGACATGTTTAGCCTGGAGAAGAGGAGGTTAAGGGGTGATATGATAGCCATGTTCAAATATATAAAAGGATGTCACATAGAGGAGGGAGAAAGGTTGTTTTCTGCTCCTCCAGAGAAGCGGACACGGAGCAATGGATCCAAACTACAAGAAAGAAGATTCCACCTAAACATTAGGAAGAACTTCCTGACAGTAAGAGCTGTTTGACAGTGGAATTTGCTGCCAAGGAGTGTGGTGGAGTCTCCTTCTTTGGAGGTCTTTAAGCAGAGGCTTGACAACCATATGTCAGGAGTGCTCTGATGGTGTTTCCTGCTTGGCAGGGGGTTGGACTCGATGGCCCTTGTGGTCTCTTCCAACTCTATGATTCTATGATTCAATGTGGCCAGCATGACTAAGCCGCTTCGGGTGAACCAAAGCAGCGCACAGAAACACCGTTTTCCTTTCCGCCGGAGCGGTACCTATTTATCTACTTGCACTTTGACTTGCTTTCAAACTGCTAGGTGGGCAGGAGCAGGGACCGAGCAACAGGAGTTCACCCCGTCACGGGGATTCGAACCGCGACCTTCTGATCGGCAAGTCCTAGGCTCTGTGGTTTAACCCACAGCGCCACCCGCGTCCCACAAGAGATACTCTCTTCCTAATAATAATAATAAATAATTTATTTATACCCCACCCATCTGACTGGGTTTCCCCAGCCACCCTAGGTGGCTTGCAACAGAATAATATTAATAAGAATAAGAATAAGCAGCAATAAAACATCAAACATTAAAAACTTCTCTAAACAGGGCTGCCTTCAGATGTCTTCTAAAAGTCATAATACTTTCACTTGTGGTGCATTTGCACAAAGGCTGGTTTTGCGCAATGTGAGATTTGCATTTCCAGGGTGGGGGAGGTGCAAGATTGGCGCTGCCCTCAAAACCTTGTGTAATGGAACATCCTTTTTTAAAATTTGTGGAAAAGTTCCACTGTTGGGAACATAATTTGCTATGAGATGTAACTACACTGAAAATCAAGCAGATTTAATTACTTCTGCAGATGCCATAAGAATGCATCCCTGGTATTATCTCACCCCAACTCCCTCAAGGTTTGAGCAAGCTTATTAACAGTTGGGTGACTCTGTTTGCTACAACGTTCAGTTTTTTGTTTCTGGTTCTTTTTAATAAGTAACCCCTGCAGGTGTAAAATAAATAAAAACTCTAGTTACGAACCTCGAGAAATAATACTAATTGCTGGAGGATTCTGCTAAAAGTGTGGGCTTTGTTTTTGTTACAAAACACTTGACACTTGGAGTAAGTGAATCATAAAATACTTGACCAGATGTATTTAATAACATTTGTATTATAGGTCCTAGGAGAAAGTATAAACTCTGTTTCCATTTTCCCACACCAAAACAAGGTGTAGTAGCAAGCATGTGGAACATATTATTACTATTCAACAATTATTTAATGCCATTAATATATGATATGTGTGTGTATGTGTATGTGTGTGTAATTATCTATCTATTTTTCTTCATTCATAGAAGTGACTAGTTGTTCTGGGGCTGGAGGGAAGGAGACCAATAGAATGAAGGTCATGTAGCTTAGTAATTAATGAAAGGGACAATAATAGAGTTGCAAAGGACTTTAAAGTTCAGTGGAAAATTAGGCTATCTTGTTCATAAAACACTTGTGTTGAAGAAGTGGAGTTGGGGAGGGAGACTCGGAGGTGGAGTTAAAAAAAATGTCTTGACAGAAAGCTCAGGTGAAACTGTTCCAGATGGACATATTCCAAATTAATTGTGCCTCTGGCAGGTAGCTGGCACTTCTATCAAAACAAAAAACAGAATAAGTAGAAAGCCAAACAGCTCTTCTCCTTTCTCTCCTGTTGTCAGTGGGATGCTGGATTCCTTTTTCAAATCCCTTCTGAGATGCATTAAAACTAGCAAAAACAAAGTGTCACGGCATACTTAAGCCTAACAGATTTATTGTGGCAAAAGCTTCTGTGGAGTAGTTCTTATTTATTTACAATATTTGCATGCCATCCAATGACAAAGTTCTTCGGGTGGCTTACAGTATCAATAAAACAATAAATCACGACTGTAAACAACATAGGAGGGGATTAGAGCTCTTGTCATCCATGAAAGCTTATGCTGTAATAAATCCATTAGGACTATTTAGTTTTGCTGCAACAAACACTACTGCCTGTCTAGAATGTAAAAGCATTCTAGACTTACCATTGAATGGAAAACTAGAAGCTCAGTGTACATCATTTAATTCAGGGGTTCTTACCCTGTGATCCATGGACCCCTTTAGGGTCCTTGGATGGGCTTCAGGGGGTTTGTGAACTGGGTGCAGAAAATGCTATTTACAATTCTTTGATTCTATGAAAGGGGCCAGTGACTCAAAAAAGGTTAAGAACCCCTGGTTTAACTGGTGTTACAGTTTTTATCTGATTCAACAAAAAACTCAAAACAAATATTGCATAAGATTAAAATAAACAAGGGTGTTATACAAATTGCCTTGTTTGGTAATAAAGAGGGAGGGTAGGCTAAGCTAACCTAACCAGTGTTGTACTCAAAGATTTTGGAGCATGGCTCCCTGTGTAAATATATCTGAAAGATGCTATAATACTGCAACTAAGAGAACCAAATCAAATCAACTCCCCACTGTTCGTGGTGGGTCAGAATTCCTCTGGGGGCAGATGTCATTTCAGCTGAGGTTCTGGAATTGCCTGGTGAGAATGTTCTCAAAATCATATGCAGTTTGTATGACCTGTTGGCATGTAGATGTTGGCTATGTATTGAAGTGGCATAACAACACACACACACACACACACACACACACACACACACACAGTGCTAGATTGTTTTCCCTACCCAATTTTGTGTGAGTACGAAGTGGTTCAGTTTTACTTTAAAGTTTTTACAAATGTTTCAAACAGCTGCTGAGGTCCACAACAATCCTGTTCGCTTGCAAGGATTAAACTATCATCTCCTATTCTTCTTTCCTAGACATCAGACATCCAGAGGAACTCTCCCTTTTGAGGAAGCCCAGAGATCCCACAAAGAAGAAAAAGAAAAAACTGGATGACCAGTATGAAGATGAGACACTTGAGCTGGAAGGACCATTAATCACCCCTGGATCAGGTGGAGCCTATATTTTGCTTTAGAGGAACAAGAGGAATAATAAGAGGTTGGGGAAGGAGAGAAGTATGGCGAGCGATGTAAACATGTCACTGGGTGGGTGGGAATGTTAAGGAAGAGAAAGTTTAGAACTGAAACTGGAGCAGGTGCTAAATGGAAAGATGCACAGTCACACCTAATCTCTTGATGGCCTTGCAGGAAAGCGCCTTGCAGCTAAAATCTACAGAATTCATTGGGGAGCTGTATGCTGCTTGGTAATGAGACTCACCCTGTTCCACAATTAAGACAGTGGCACTGTGACAACTGCTAATCTGAGTATTGTGCCTGACTCACTGAGCCATTTGGCCTTGCGCATGGGTAACAGTCCAGTAGGTGCAGCGTCAAATCTGGGGACATGTCTTTGTATGTTCCCAGATTTCCCCCCCCCCCACACCTGCTCATCCTTTCTGCACCCAATACGGTGGATAATAACTTAGCTTTGTGTCAAAAGAAGTGCTAACTGTTTTCTGTAATAAGAAGCAGTAGTAGTTCTCCTTTCACCTGCCAGTGGATAATGGGAAGCTTAAAAACTTTTGTTTTTATCTGTATTTGTTGGTTTAATAGCACAGCCTGCAGATATATTAAAAAGTAGCCCTGTGTTCTTTGCTGGCTGTCTAATAATGGATTCTTCCTACATACAAGCTATGACTTGGCTTGTTTATAGAGTTGGATAGGGTGCTTCTGAATGGAAGTTGTGAATTTGAAGACGATGGGACGTTTCCAGGCATTGCAGATATTTTGAGAATAGCCCTGGATTGAACAGCCCTGTTGTATGGATGTGACATTCTGAACACCCACGTAGTGTGGGTGATGGTGATACTGACAAAAAATAGTAGTGATGTTTGCCTATATCCCAGCCACCAAATGGAGCCCTGGGTGTTTAGCATTAAAATGCAAAACTGCAATAACAAAACATGTTTGAAATATTTTTAAAGGGGGACAATAGTTATTTTATCATTAAAATTGTATAGTACTCTGCTTTTAAAAATAAATTTCCAAACCAGATACGTGGGAAAAGGAAAGAATGCCCTAATGAGAAACATGCAGTGGATTCTCTGCAGTCTTCCTCATGTTTGAAAGGCCTCTGACAAAACACTGACATCTGGAAGGAACAAATTCCGCATTGAAAATTGCTCTGTTCTAAAAAGCTTTCAGATGCAACGCTGGGATCCGTCAACGTGGGGGTGGGGTTTGGTCAGATTGAGATTCTTGGAGGAAGTCTGAATTGTAGCTAGGACATGTACCTTTCAGGGCCTTGAATACCAACACTAAACTTCAAATTTAACACTAGGTTAAGTTTAATATACTGCTTTATAGGCAGCCAGTGTCACAGGGGTGTGTTGGTGCAGTAATTGTGTCTTACCAGTTTCCAGCAGAGTGACTGCTAGGGTCATGGGTGCACCTGCTATAAGCAACCCCATGAGGAATTGGTTCTTTGCATATCTCTAGCTTCTAGAGCCTTCTGTCCTGCCAAAAGCTACCATCTAATTTTAATTGTGAGGCAGTGTGTGCTGGCTTGAGGACCAGCACCCCCTTCTTAGTTGGCAGCAGGAAGTACTGACATCAGACACTCGGAGGTGTGAAGAGGGCATGCTGGGGCCAGTCCCAAGGAACCCCTGTGGAGAAATGTCTAACAGATCATTTTACTGATGCAAACACAAGTAGTAACTTAATGCCTGAAACATCTTTCCTGTCTGGCTCCATTTAAAATGCCAGCCTCCTCATCTTAAGGGGCAGCTAGAGGTGTCATGTCCCTGTGAATGACTTCAAGTCAAACTTACTCTTGATTGCTGCTTTACTGCAGGATCATCTTCAAGTGAGTAAGGCTCCGCATGCTTGCTAGGAAGTCAGAAATCAATAGGACAGACTCCTGCCATTGTGTCACCAACCACAATTAGGTTTTTACATCTCGATATTCTTCCTTTGTCCCCATGCTTCTGAGCGTGCATACATAATTAAAGATAGCATCATAGAGCTTTCCAGCGTGCATTGATCCTTCCAAGAAATAATTAAAACTAAAAAAATTCTTAAAATTACAAGAGATCCAGTCCCTACATGCTGTTGTGAGAATTTAAAACATATGCCTTGCATAGTTTCCTGAAATTCACCCTATTTTGAGAGAATGGGAGTGCTTTGGAAGGGGAATTGCAAAACTAGTCTGTGTATTAGAACAGTGATTAGTTTGTTTTCTTTCTGAAAAGTTCTCCTTTCATGTCTTCCCCCTCTTGCTTCATTTTCCTCATGTTCCCCAGTGCACATTTTTACTATTAGACAAGTAAAAAAAACCAAACCAACCCTACCTGTTAATCTAGAATTGCTCTTACCTGCCTCAAGTCCATTGAGTAGGTTACCAGTGTAATTAAAACTGGCTATTGATTGTTTAGACATCATTGTTTAGAATGACTGGTTCTCTCCTTGGTTTTTAAAACCTATTTCTGTATATAGTATTCTCCATAGGGAAGGGCTGTACCTCAGCTGTAGAGCATGTGCTTTGCATTCAGAAGGTCCCAGGTACAATCCCCAGCAGGCTAGGAATGTCCCTGTCTGAAACCTTAGAGAGCCACTACCAGTCAGTGCAGTCAACCTGGAGGCTGAACTATTTTCTGTGTGCAAATCTTGTACCACGGAGCTGCAGCTCTGGGTAATCACCTCATCCATGATCTCCCATCACAGCTGTTCCAATTTCTGGATGGAAGATTGCCTGGCTGGAAACCTGGTGTTGAGCAGCAGTGGGTTTTGTTCTGTTTTTAAATTATTATTTTTTCAAGCATTAGGCAAATTCATGGAGGAAGCAAGCCATGTGAGTAAAACATGCTTGAGTCCCTCACTAACGCTGCATAGGTAAAGGTAAAGGGACCCCTGACCATTAGGTCCAGTCGTGGCCGACTCTGGGGTTGCGGCACTCATCTCACTTTATTGGCCGAGGGAGCCAGCGTACAGCTTCCGGGTCATGTGGCCAGCAGGACTAAGCCGCTTCTGGCGAACCAGAGCAGCGCACGGAAACGCTATTTACCTTCCCGCTGTAGCGGTACCTATTTATCTACTTGCACTTTGATGTGCTTTTGAACTGCTAGGTTGGCAGGAGCAGGGACCGAGCAACGGGAGCTCACCCCATTGCGGGGATTTGAACCGCCGACCTTCTGATCAGTCCTAGGCTGATTTTTCACCACCCCCACCTGTGGACAAGGGATGAGGAGGTGTTCTGCATGCAGTAATCATGCCAGGGTTGTGCGGAAGAGCAGGGGGTAAATGTGCAAGCGCAACACCTGCTCGCAGTTGCTATGCAGATAGGAGAATGTCAACTTGTTGCACACCCCAAGGCATTATGTAAGATTCAGTTCCTTTTGCAGCAGCGCACTGTGGATTACTTTTAAAAAATCTGCTCATGCCACATAATTTTGGTTCAGGGACATGATGTTTTGTTAAGTTGCCATGCCGTAGACAACGGTACATTCCACTCCACATACGTTACAGCAAGTCTTAGAATTGGATTCTGAGAAACATTAAAGATTTGGCCGGGGGATAATGAATGGTTTGCTACAACTTACCTTTGCAGCACTCCCTTCTTGCACACCTTGTTAGCCTGAGGATTTAATATACACTCGTATTCATACACAGTTCATTTAAAGATAGTAATTTGGCCCTTGGCATCAAGCCACAAGCCCGACAGTCACTCATTTCCAAAGAGCATTCTTCGCTGTTGCTTATTAGAATGAATAACAAATACATTCTTGCCAGTTACATACCTTCTTGCCGCCCACTGCAACCCAGTTTAAGGCCACGAACTTTTACCTGCCATGACTTCATTAAAATGAGTTGTTGATCTAAAATGAAATCCCACGCAGTCCCAATTCCCTACGTGCCACAGTTGGTAACAGAGAGGGAGCTACTTTTTCACGACTGGCTATCAGGTCAGAAATGCACTGTGACCAGGGGCATCCATGTATGTGCTGTGTATTCATTCGTACATTTGGGTTTCATGCAGCTTACTGAATTGCATAATTGTTTTGGTTTGAATTATTTAGTGGCTGGAGACTTTGCACTTAACCTTGGGATAGAGATGTTATGTAGACGACAACCCTCAACTGTGGGGGGTAGGATATGGGTCATTCCTGGGAGAGGGGGAAATCCTGATCATGGAAAGAAATCATTATTTTTGTAAGAGTTGAAAAAAATGATTTCAATTAATGGGAACTCTATAAAATTACTTAAACATCAGAATGAATCTTGGGTTCTGGCCATGTCTCTGCAGACCACACAAGAATTCTGGAGAATGTTGTCCATCCCTATCTTAAAATGTGAAAGTTCAGATGTTATGAATTTTGTTTTCTAAGTTGCGCTGTGTGTCTGTGTGTGTGTGTGTGTGTGTGTGTGTGTGTGTTTGTTTTCCTGCTTCTGCTGCTAATGGCTTGGATTCTTTGACCTGCTTAATGATAAGGGGTGTGTGTGTGTGTCAGGATTTCTCAACACTAGGTCTTCAGTCCTTGGGAGGATATTGCTCTCCAAGGATCACACCCTGGCTCACCTCCCCTCCCCTCTTCACCATTGTGGCTTTTTTGTTTTGTTTTATCACAGTGCTTCAAAGATCAGATAAACTGAAGGGAGCAATTTAGCAATCCTGCTTTGTAGTCTGTCCTCTCCTGCCCTTGGCATTCCTCCACAAAACCCAGAATTGTAAATAAATTGGTTAGTTGCTTTGTAAAGAGTGCTTTTGCTCAAAATATGAGAGAGAAGCAAGATTTTAAAAAACAAAAAACAAAATCCAGTAATAGGGAGGAGAGAACACACACACACACAGAGAGAGAGAGAGAGAGAGAGAGAGAGAGAGAGAGATTGTGGCACTTGGCTAAGTGTCATGACAAACACAGTTGAGTTCAGCATGAGACCTGCTATGCAAAGTGTCATTAAGGGCCAAACTAGATATCATACAGAAAACAAAGGAAAACAAGTCTCCCAGCATTGTTAAATGAAAGCATTGTGTGAGGCCACTGTCAGGACTGTAGGATACCTAACCAGAGGAGAGAAGGTTGTATTTCTGTCCGGAATTGCATACATGTAACCCCAGCTGCTTTTTTACTCAGGAGAAGAGAAAGGAGTAACTTTTCCCATGTTGGTGGAAAATAAGTTAGGTCTGTGGGGAGAAGCTTTTGAGTGAGGAAAATGGCTGGAGGAGGGAAGGTTTTTTAAGCAGCGAGTCTCTCCTTACTTCCCTCACTTCCTGATTGTAGCAGCTTCAGATTTAAGAGAGAGAGTTAAAACCACTGGGATATGGTAACATACCTCCAGTGCAATGTCTAGTTTTCCCCCCAAGAGAGAAAAATGGATGACTTTCCTATAGATCCAGACAAACCTGTAGAAGAAAAAGCCTTCCCCCTAAGTGTCAGTCTACTGAGTGATTCTAAATTCACTGGCTGTTGCTTTTCCACTGCAAAGCAGAGCATAGATAGAAGAACAGGGGAGTGTGATTTGCAAGCGAAGGGCAGCTGTGGTGGGGTTGGTGGCTCATTTGCTCTCCCCTGCAAATTCTCAGTATCCCTTCTTTGCAGTGAAGTGGAAGCCAAGATTCCGTGACCCGCTTTTGCTCAAATTGCAGGTCAGCCCTCTGTTCTGGAATGCTGTTGATTCTACAGTTTCACCAACTAAGAACCCCTAGGCCCTATACTTTTAAAGCAGAATCACAAATTTGTGTATGGAGAATCCATTTGCCTCTTAGAGCTACAGTTCTCAAGAGTGGGTTATTAATTCTTCTTCCAGAGGAACTCCAAGAATTGTAGCTCTCTGGTGGGAATAGGGGGGCTCCTAAGCACTCTCAGACCTGTAACAAGCTGCAGCTCCCAGGACTCTTTGTTTAAAGTTGTGTGACACAATTTTAGATGTACAGTGGATGCTCGGGTTGTGAAAGTGATCCGTGCGGGAGGCACGTTCGCAACCCGCAGCGTCGCGTCTGCACATGCATGGATCGCGATTCGGCACTTATGCGCAAAGCGTGATTTAGTATTTCTGCGCGAGTGCCAAAACCCAGAAGTAACCTGTCCCAGTACTTCTGGGTTCGGCGCGGTGCGCAAACTGAAAACGCGCAACCTGAAGCATTTGAAACCCAAGGTATGACTGTATTGTGCAGATGGGGGTCTAATTCTCCAACTAATAAAGGACATAGAATTGCCACCAAATGAAATGCGGTAGCAGCAAGGGCAAAGTGCTAAAGTGTTGAGGATATTGCTTTAAAAGCTGCAAGAGAAAAAGGATACGGAAGAACCTCTATCGGTTTCAAGTAGCGTGTGATTGCATTTGCTCTCATGTCTGTCTTAACTTGCCTGCTTTTGAAAGACTCGTTTTGACAAAGACTGTTCTATTTTGTTTTGTTTACCTTTTTTTTTACTCTAGAAAGTGTAGTGTACATTGATAGCATTGTGGTTTTTTTAGAAAAACAATTTGTCAAGGAGGAATGCCTCTTAATTTCCAAGTAGGAACATTTCTAAAGCAAAAATGGGAAGAAATGGAATACCTGGGAGGTGGGTTTTTGTGCATAGGCATCTCATTTTGCAGCCGCAAGCTATTAAGCACTGCTTCTTTACAGCCTTCCTTGAAATAAATGCAGATTGGAATAATCAGTTGCACAGTGAATTGACTCCTGTGTGAGCTGCAGAATGGTTGTGCAGAAGCAGCTGGCTTCCTTAGAATACCAGCAGCCTTTCTCAGTGGCGGTTGGATTCCAGTTGTCGTCATCCTTCAGGCTCCAGTGCTATAACACACCTGTTCCAGGCTACAGGCCTTTGCCTGGGTTTTTAGTTTAGAGGAAAGGCAAGTACGAGGCAACATGATAGAAGCTTATAAAAGAATGTGTGGCGTGGAGAAAAGGAATAGAGAAAAGATGTTCTCCTCTCATAACAGTAGAACTCGTGGACATTCAGAGAAGCTGTAAGTTACTGGAAGACTTAGGACAGATCAAAGAAAGGGCTTTTTCACGCAGCACATAGTCAAACTGCAGAACTCACTCGTCTAGGAGGCGGTGATGACCACCACCCTTTAAAAGAGGAGGGCACAAATTCATGGAGGAGAGGGATCTCAATGGCTACTAGCCAGGATAGCTATTCTCTGCCTCCACAGTTGGAGACAGCCTTGCTTCTGAATGCCCGTTACTGGAAACCACAGAAGGGGAGAGGGCTGCTGTGCTGGGAGCCTCCTTGTGAGTTCCCACAGGCATATGATTGGTTATTGTGAGAACCAGATGCTGGAATAAATGGGCCATTGGCCTGATCCAGCAGGCTATTCTTACGTACTTATGTGTTCTGCATAAAAACCCTTGCTGTAATAGAGCAATTTATGTTCCGATTTAAAATTCTTATACAGTTTCGTCCTAAGGCAGGGATGGCGCGCGTGTGTGTGTGTTCACTAAAATCCAAAGCTCTATAAAACACAGACAAGTGCCAAACATATGTAGAATTAAATAGCAGCCTGCCTCTGAGCCCATTCTAAGCCTAGGAATTTGTTTTCAGTAACGCAACGGAACTAAGCTCAAAGCCCTTTCATAGAATCCAACCAGGTAAAACACTCAGAGGGTGTGGACCAGTGATTCTAGGGGGAGAGTCCAGGATCTATCTAGAGAGGCTTGGAGGGCTGTATTCTGCGCCCAAGGCATGAGATTCCTCACCTCTGGTGTCTATAAGCTGAACAAGTCTCTCCCACTCCCAGCTTGTATTCTCCATCTGTAAAATAAAAGTAATGGCGACTTTCCTCACAGTATTGTTAGAAAAAATAGTTTGCAATCCTTATATGTTATTAGATTTACAGCAATGAATGAGAACTATGCTTCAGAGGAAACATTGTTGCAGGTGGGTGTGGGATTTTGGCTGTCCAGGTGTTGCTAAATTACAACTCCCAGCAACCCCAGCATACATGGCTAATAGCCAGGGGTGATGGGAGTTGTAGTTCAGCAAAGGCTTTCCACACACCTACACTAGTGTGTTCTTCTAGTGGTAGTTAAATTCAGTTTCAGCTTCTTAAAATCCACCCCTGCTGCTGCCTATTTACTCCACAGCTGAACAAATACTAAACTTAAGTCCTCAGCCACTGCTGCTCTCATATTCTAAATATATTTTGGGGTTCTTTTAGATCAAGCCAGAGGTGGCTTCGCAGTTTGCAGCTCTTTACAGAAACGTATATGTTACAAGGCCACCAGGTGTTGGGTGTGAAAGCGGGTGTTTCTGAGCCCCTTACACAACACAGAAGGGTTGTTAGAGGTCAAACTAAGCATGGCCATATTGGTAAGGTATGGTCCCTATATCTCAACTATGTCTATAGAAATTATGTTAATATAAGATCTCCAGCCACTCAAGTTTACTTATGGAGAAACCACATCACAGATAGCTGAGACTTCGAAGACGCTTCCAGTGATTCAGTATTAGACAGTGGCCCTGCTTGACTTTTCTTTTAATATGTGATTAATATAAGCATTCAATAATCTACAGGTTTTGTTGGAATTGATTGGTGTTATTTTACTACAAATTAGTAAAATATTCTGTTGAGAGAGAGAGAGAGAGAGAGAGAGAGAATATTTTCCCCTGCTGCTTCTGTACTATTAAATACTTTTGGCACAAAACTGGCTCTTTGGGGGCTAATCTTGACTCAAGTTCTGCTTGTTGAGAGTGTATAGTACAAGTTCCTTTAAAAAACAATAGACTGGAGTTGCAAAATTTCCAAATGATCAGAAGCTAATCTGGACACCCAGAAATTAAATAGATTTAAACTGATTGGAGCAGTGGCAGCACCATCTTAATGATGCACATGGGAAGCCAGCTCTTTGAATTTCTACTTCTGCTGTTAATAAGACCCTGGATCCTCTACTGCAAACAGAATCATTTTCTTTATTTAAGGAAGGTTTAATGTTAATGTTAGTGTTGGACTAGACTATCCAAGCAAACTCTAGCGAAAGTCTAGTGAAGCTTTCAGTTCTGTTGAGTGGAAGCAAAATGAACTTAGAGAATTCCAACCCTTAAGGGTCTCAAGAAGTAGAAGAAGTATCACAATCTACCTTCTGCCTACCCCTATCCTAAGGTGCATACCGTATTTTTCGCTCTATAGGACACACTTTTCCCCCCTCCAAAAATTAAGGGGAAATGTGTGTGCGTCTTATGGAGCGAATGCAGGCTCCATGGCTTCAGTGAAAGCAACGTGAAGCCTCCGACAGGAGAGCAAGAGGGATCGGTGCGCACCGATCCCTCTTGCTCTCTTGGCTTCGCTTCGCTGGAGAGGCGCTGCGCAGCTTTCCCTCTCCGCAGCGCCCCTTCAACGAAGCAGGAGGAGAAATGGAAGGGGCTCCGTTTCTCCTGCCGCTTCGCTGAAGGGGCGCTGCGCAGAGAGGGAGAGAATTTTTCTTGTTCTCCCCCTCTAAAACTAGGTGCGTCCTATGGTCGGATGCGTCCTATAGAGCGAAAAATGTGATACTTTTATTGATCTCCCTAATAGCAGGAGGTGGGTCGCTGCATAAAGGAGGCTTAAACCAGGCTTTTAAATTTAACACAGAATAATGGCAAATATTCTAAAACTCTGAAGAATGAGCTTTGCAACACATGTATAGCAAGCGGTTATAAGAAGCTCACCACAAAGAGATTGTGCAGCTTAGACACTCGAGAACTATTTTAAGAAGAGTTGGTTTTGAGCCTGGGGAGCCGCATGCTGAAATCCAGGCAGCCGTGTTTGTTTCTCAGAGTTCAGCCAAGGAAAGGGAAACTCTTTACTGCCTTCAGCGAGGGCTGCTTCAGATACTCATTTCTGAAGTGGTAAAGTCCTTATGCCGTGCCTTCATCATCTTCATTTCCCATGGAGAGTTTCTGTGCAATGTACAGCTTTTACGTGAAAAAGTGAAAACTCAGTCTGTTTTTCAAGAGTTCTGCTATCCTGTGTATTAACTCAGTTGGTTGTGTGTTAGGTGAAAACTAACTGCTCCCTGCACAAAGCTGTATTGACATATAAGGATTTTTATACATTTAGAAATAAGCATCTTACCATACTCTCCTTTCTCTCCCCCCCCCCAAACAAAAGATGCAGAGTCCTTTTCTTTGGTATTTATAAAGAGTAGCAGTCAGGCAGAATTCTTACCCAGTTGCTCAGTAAAAAAAGAAGAAGAAGGAAAGGCAAAACTATTTCCACTCTCCAGTGTTCTGGATAATGTTTGCAAAAGCACTGAGATAATTGCCAAGCAAGGGAAGTAATGAACAGACTACTTCATTTCCTTCCATTGCGTGTATAGGCAAAAGATGACGAAGCAGGAGTTTTGTATTTCCTCCCTTGTCAGATAGAAGTAATACTGCTCATCTTGGCCAAGTCCTCATTTTCCTGGAGGACTGGGTGGAAATGGACTTACCCAGCCTGACAACAGTCTGCTCTAATTTCACAGCACTGATTTTCCAACATGGGCGCTTGGTGCTAAAAACACTGTTACAGGCATATACTATTGATCTTTTAGATTTCTGCTGTTTTGCATTGTCACTTGATACACATTGCCATAATAAAATTACTGCCTGTAGGCTTTATTTTACTGTTTCACCTGCCATCAGGTGTACAGTTCAGACCTCTTCACATGTGTCATGTGCTCAGTTGCACCCTTGAACATCTCTGCCTGTTTTTCACCCCTGCCTGTTTTTCACCCCTGCTATTCTTATTTCTGCTTCTTTCTGCGTCTTCATCTTACCTTCTGACTTCCTTTCTTTCCTTCTCTATAGGCTCTGATGTTCTTTACATCGGCCCAGTGAAAGGTGAGCCCCATGTGGGTAGGACTTCATCTCCTGTGACTTTTCTTTTGACTGTTTTCCTACCTCTCATCTACACGAGTCTGAAAATCCTCACGCTGCAGGACGTTCTTAGTTTTTTGCTCTACTTACAAAGCATGGAAATGCAGTTCTGGGTCGTCTTTTCCCATTGAACAATTATTTAGGATATTGATATTGTTGGGGGATGCTTTGAGTTTGACCATGTTGTTGGAAAAGTGGCTTAGTAATATTAAATCAAAATATAGTTTTGATTTTAACATTATATCAGAAGCAGAGCCCTAGAAGCATCAGTTACTTACTCTCCTGCAAGCAGTATCTGCTTTATGACAATGTAAAGTACAGATTCACAGATCATGGGGAAATGTATGAACTCCAGTGAGCATCTTGAGATGCAAGTTCTTGCTTTTTGTGATATGATGGAAATGGGAGCCAAATTTGCCTGTCACTCAAACTCCTGTGCTCCCTGCTCCTTGCACACTTAAATTTCTTTGCGGAACGCTTCGCTTGTCTATTTGTTCTTCATTCAGTGAAACAAAATGCTATCTTTTATTCTAATGATAACTTTGTTCCAATTCTCTTCTCTCAAATTAGGAAGCATTTATTCAAGCCCAGGGCTTTATAGCAAAACCATGACGCCAACTTACGATTCACATGATGGGAGTCCTTTGTCGCCAACTTCAGCTTGGTTTGGAGATAGTGCTTTATCAGAAGGGAATCCAGGCATACTTGCCGTCAGCCAGCCCATCACCTCCCCAGAAATCTTAGCCAAAATGTATAAACCACAGGCGCTTCTGGATAAGGCCAAGATCAACCAGGGGTAGGTTTTAAAAGCTTATTTAAGCAGCTTATATTTTGAAGAAGAAGAGGGGAAAAACATCATTTGAAATGACTAAGCCAGCACTTTCTTTGTGTGTTGGCAGGTGGCTGGATTCTTCAAGGTCACTTATGGAGCAGGATGTGAAGGAGAATGAAGCCTTACTTCTTCGGTTTAAGTACTACAGCTTCTTTGATTTGAATCCTAAGGTATAATGCTATGTGTGCTGGGATATCTTCTGCAGGATTTTCAGTGTCTGTGATGGAGAGACAGAAAAGGGCATGCACGACACACGTGTACTGTAAGGAGGGGAAAGGAGCCAAAGTGTTCTAAACCCAGTAACACTGCACAGGCTTGACGGCTCTGCAATTCTTGCCTGCTTAGAAGCTGAATCCATACCAATAGCACGGTTGCACTTCATGTTCTAGAGAGGAAACGCTGATTCTGCATATGGATTTAATTAAGCTAGTGGAATAATTTGGTATGTGTCTTGTGAAAATTAAATGTTTATTTTTCCAATATTCAGGCTAGCAATGAATTTTGACCCTTTGGGGGGTATAACTGAAGTGACAGAAGGCAAGGCGGGGGGAAACAGAGAGTGCTTCTGAATTAGACAAACAAAAACTTGTGGCTTCCCGAAGACTAGGAAAGGTATTATCTGCTGGGCTCCCTCTCCTTATGGCAGTGGTGTCCAAACTTTTTTCAAAGAGGGCCAGATTTGATGAAGCGAAGGGCCGACCAATCCCTTTCTTTAGGATTGACGTTGTTGAGCTTTTTAAAAGGATTTTGCCCCGGGAAATAAACTGCCACAGGGGCCGGATTAAACCGACCGGCGGGCGAGGTTAGGCCCCAGAAACGGATTTTGGACATGCCTGCCTTTTGGGTTGGAAATTGGAACAGTCATAATCTGATGGGCAACCCAGCCCAAACTTTTGCAGAACTGTTAGGTAATGAATGACTGTTTGGTGACACTACTTCATCCTACTTATATCTAGAAGCACCACTAGTTAAGCAGTGTTGATAGAACAAAGACAAAAGGCTTAATTGCAAATGAGGCTGGAAAATGTGTAGGATTGGGCAAACAATTTGAGCAGATTTAGGATAGCTGGTTTCTTTGTGATGACTTTCCTTTATAGCAGTGAGAGTGACTAATGGCTGGATATATACTAGCTCCCTAGTGGGCTGGAAGTTTTCATCTGCCATATGCAAGCTCTGGTATTTCAGACTGACACAGCAAATAGAAACGAAGGCATTCAAAAGCCTTAATGATTTGACAGGATTTTATTACTTGACTACAAAAAGCTATGTGCTATAATCCTTAAGCAGGGTCCTGTACAAATGATATGGTCATGTCCCCATAGTATGATGCGATCAGAATCAACCAACTCTATGAGCAGTCGAAATGGGCTATTCTTTTGGAAGAAATAGAGTGCACAGAGGAGGAAATGATGATGTTTGCAGCATTGCAGGTGAGTGGAGATGCTGTAGGTCCAAATCTCTGAACTTTTAATTTTTGCCATCTTAACGATACCTTTCTCTAGAAAGTATTAGTGCCTCTGACATGCTGACTGAGCTTTGTGTCTTGCCCTATATTTTTTCAGTGGCTAGAATGGTTTGTTCTGACAGATCTTGGCTTCTTCCCCATTTTTTAGGGTTTACTTGAACCTTTTTAGGTGATTTCAAAATAATTTTCCTCCTTGTTATGTCTCAAGCAAAGGAATTTGGATTCTTTTTCTCAAACATGTTTGTATCCATTTTTCCTTTTTTTGTTGGCTTTTAAGGAAATAACAAGTACATTAGGTTACTGAACCACAGGGTTCTGGCACTGAACCTCTCAAACAGCTGGTGATAATCCCTGGGTTTCCCAAAAATACATTCTACCCTCCTTCTCTAGAATAGGACACAATTTGCCATTTTTGGCACACACAATGCAGCACATATAAACAGATTTAATGCCAACTCAAGTCCCCTTCATACTTTATTCCCTTGAAGGGGGCATCACATCATAATTATTTCAAGTGGGGGCATTCTCCTATAACTGTCCTTTGTATCTGATATGCTGCCTGACTCTTTCAAAGATATGTTTCCAGAGTGGTCTAACAATCCATCTCTTTCCCCAGGAAACTCTGGAAACTGTAGTTCTGTGTGGTAAATAGATCACAGCTATTGTGCAGGAAAAAACCTAAGGTTGTAAGGCTGAACATTTATGTTTGAGACCTTCAGGTAACTTGTTAAGAGATACCTATAATACTCACGGAGCTACAGTTCCCAGACATCCCTGGGAAATAGGGATTGCTAAACCACACTGAGATTCTTATCTCTTTGAGGGGGTCTCCTAACAACTCTCAGCTCCCTTAACAAACTACATTCCCCAGAACTCTTGGGGGTGGGGGAAGCCATTACTTTTTGTAGTGTTTTGATACTTGATCATATTTGTACTGCAGACGAGACCCTGGGCATGTCCATTAACTTCAGGGGGTTTACTCTGAGGAGGACTAGTGTTAAATACCTCTGTAAATTGGTAGTTGGAATTAACATGACTGTAAAGAGATGCACCACATTTGCCATCTTCTGGAAGTAGAATTGGTCTTTTAAATGACACACACTTATAAGATCACCAAGCTCTGAACAGGTCCACAAAGGTTTTGGTACCTTTTGGTCTTGCCAATATAAATTGGAGAACTTCAAGTGGAGAAGAAGTTCAGCACCACCCAGTAAGCTCCACACCCTTAATATACTACACAGTAGCTTCACAGGAAAATGCCAGGCATGAATGTTACCTTGCAGAAAAAGCTACTCCTCCCCACCCGCCCTGGGAGTTCTTTTGAGGATTTGGTTATGGTAATCTTCTCTTAGCCGAAGTGCGGTTTCATTTACAGTCGTCTTTATTTGGCTCTTTACTCCTTTCTTGCAGTACCACATCAATAAGCTGTCCATCATGTCATCTGAAAATCACTTGAACAACAGTGACAAAGAGGTTGATGAAGTTGACGCTGCCCTTTCTGACCTGGAGATTACTCTGGAAGGTGGGAAGACATCCACAATTCTGGTAAGGGCAGGAAGTGGGAGCTTCAATCTTGACCTAAAGAGCACATCTCTGCCAAAGCATTTGAGGTTGGCAATCTGGAAGAAAACGTGCAATTGAGTGGATAGACCTAAATGAACATTTTGAGAGCAGCTCTATCTGTAAATGAGAAGCAGACTTCCCACAGTGAAGAAACAGGCTAAAGACTATGCGGTTTTATAACTCTAATTCAGAGATGGGAACATGTGTTCCTCCAAATATTGCTGCATCATCCCTGACATCTGGAGGGCCACAGGCTCCATACCCCTGCTATAATGTCACTGATCATCTACAGTGGATGGGCTGACTCAACAGAGAGCAGGCCAGCAGCTCCCTCTAGCAAACTGTCAGAATGGAACAGGAAGCGAAACCCCTGGATCCCCTTGCAAGAGTCTCCATTGAAGCAGTCATCTCCTGCTATTTTCGTTCTCTTGCAGACCTGTTGTTGTGATGCAATAAGCCAGAAATGCATTCCATGCGAAATTTTCTCTGGCACAAGTGTTGTTGCAATGGGTGGGAGCTCTGCACCAGTCGTGCTTTTGCACAACTCCATTCGTTTCAGCGAAACTTGGGCAGGAGACTTTTGCACTTAGGAGTTATGTTGCTCACAGTAAACACTGCAGATCAGAAACTTGATGCAAGAGCACGAGTCTCTTTTGGGTTCATTTATACAGCCCAGCGTCATTAAAGAGTGCTTATTCTGAGAGACCCGGCACTGCCAAGGAATTCCAAGCACGTCGTTCTGCCAAGCACATCCCTTGTGGACCAACTTGGATTGCTCATAGGTTGCAGAGTCTCTGGAACTGCAGATTTCACCCTCCAGAGATAAGCATCCTGCTCTCATATATAATTTTTTACATGATTGCTTATGCTGGGATGCAACACAAGTCTTTGATGTTGCCTATCTTTCAACTTGGTTCAGTCTCTCATCTCAGCCTTTTAAAATGTGTAAATAAATCAGAGGAAGGATATCAAGATTACTGTGTAAAACAGGAGAATCTGCAGAAGTTTTAATGGAAGTTACCCATTTAGCCCTGCTGCCTGTGATGTAAGGATTTCATCCTCTTTAGATTATGGAGCATACCTGTTAAACTTTCCTGTCCTAGCACAGAGGTTCTTTCCTTTTCCCCATATCTTTCCAGCAAGCAACTTAAATGCCAACTGAGCAGTGTTAAGTGGGACTCATTCTTGTCTCGGGCATTGGGCTGGGGTCTCTTAGAGAGGCCCAGGCAAGGAGAAACAAGCAAAGGGCAGCGGAAATCAAGTCATTACCTATCGACTTGCAGCAGAGTTAATCAAAAGAAAAATAACAGAGAGCTGCAGAGACATCAACATAAACCTAAATAATGTGGGGTATGGAGAGCCCACCATATAGTGTTCCTCTCATTGAGTAATCTGAGGCACAAAAATTGGATGATGTGGCAAGATGATAAGGAATTCCAGGCATCCATGGGCAGACCTTGGTAATATAGCACCCTGAGCGAAGCCAAAATGTGATGCCCCCCCAAGCCCTTGCACTGTCTTCCCCAAGCTGGGTAAGCGAGCTTTGGGAAGAAAGCGCAAGGGCTCTGGCAGAATCCTAGAGCCCTCCCACCTCCTTCCCAAAGCAGGGCAAGCACTTACCAGGCTTTGAGAAGACGGGCACCCCTTTGACTTGGCACCCAGTGGGGGGAGGGACTAGTTGTGCTGCCCTAAATCAGGCACTGAATCATTCACCCAGTTCATCGGTTCGCTGCTGAGTTTCAATAGTTTGCTCTTTATCAGAGGATACAATTTAAATGCAGGCACATGCTTTCCTGAAGACTCATTCGAAATGATCCCTGCTCTTTCTGTTGCTGTAAAGTTACTGCCTCCACTGGGAAGACTCATCTCAGACACGGAGAACTCTTCCTACAGAAGCATGTGCATATTTGGACAGATGGGGAAAGGAAATTAGCTGTTGGCTAAGCAAAGCTCTGCATGCAACTCTGGAATGCCTTTGTCTTGAAATGCAAGAGCCATTGGAATCTGTGTCCATTCAGTTCTGCAAGTTTGAGGAATGCCCATTCCAGTAAAGGCAGGATTCTATTGGCCTGAGCTTCTGATTCCTCAGCAGCTGAAAGAGAAGGAGCTGTGTATGGTGCCCAAGGGCAGAGGAGTGGATTGGAAGTCATTTATAGCTTTGGAGGCACAGCTGCCATTCTCTGTTGCAAAGCAAGGTTCACTCTATTACAGACAGTCATCAGCTGTGGGGGGCTGACCTCAGTCTAGAATGGTCTACGTTTTTTTGCTAGATTCCCACATGAGTCCTTCTCAGGCGTTAATGCCTGAAGAGGAAATATCAGTGTGTTGGGGGCATGGAGTGGAACATGCTAGCCTCACCCCCAAGGTTTGCATCCCTGCCCACTTATCCCAGACATTTCCATGCTGAGCAGAGAAGTTCCAAAGGGGCTCCCAGTTGAGCAGAGACTTCTACAGCTGCAGGCAGAAGGCCCACTTCAAACCCTCCTTGCTCCAATAAAGAAGGACTGGGGCTAAATTAGTAGGCCTGGGCCACATGGGACCACCACATGCAACCCTAGACCTTCTACACAGAATGAGATTTTCCCCTTAGGCACATCACCTGAACAGGCCATGATCTTGTTTTAAAAGGCAAGAGAGAATATTTTAACATGGGCTTGGTATGGATAAATAAAATTATTCTGAGCCTATGCAGTTCCCCCGGGTCATGTGGCCAGCATGACTAAGCCACTTCTGGCGAAACCAGAGCAGCGCACGGAAACGCCGTTTACCTTCCCGCTGGAGTGGTACCGATTTATCTACTTGCACGTGCTTTCGAACTGATAGATTGGCAGGAGCTGGGACCAAACAGGAGCTCACCCCGTTGCGGGGATTTGAACCGCCGACCTTCTGATCGGCAAGCCCTAGGCTCAGTGGTATGAATATAATACTGTACTGCACTGGAAAGTTAAATAGGAGCCTGTCTTTCTTGTTTGAAAGCATCTGAAAAAAATTAGACCATTTAGCCTCTCCAAAGATCTAAAACAACACAGTTTTCTAGCTGGCCATCCATAGCCAGAAAGTCCTTGAAGTTTTGTTGCTATAATTGTTTTTTTAATTGAATCAGGTCTTTTCTTGTTCTTCCTACTCAAGCAAGGATGCTGTCTTTTTGAAGCAACCCTGCAAGCATTTTAATAAGCTGAATTGCTGTCCCCAAAGCATTTCCCCTCCCAGTACTGATTCTTGTTTCTGGCACATGAAACACACAATGGCTGATGTCTTGTTTTCAGGGTGACATCACTTCGATCCCGGAGCTTGCCGACTTCATTAAAGTCTTCAAGTAAGTATTGGCTGGAAATCCTAGGAGTGCAGCAAAGATCAGCGAACCTTAATGATAAAAGTTGCAATGCTTCTTTCCTAGAATCTCTAGGGGCTCCCTCTGCTTGGCTTTGAAACCTGAAGCATCCTCTACCACATATACTTAGGAAGTAGATTTTTTTTAATGTTACAGATGGCTTAAACATCTTATGCACTCAGCCCCTGGATTTATTTTCACTGCCAGGGCTTGACAACTAAGAGTATCTTTGAGTATGTTTATTATCCATCTATGTGCTCATGAAGTCCAAGACAGGCACAGTGGTACCTTGGGTTACATACGCTTCAGGTTACATACGTTTCAGGTTACAGACTCCGCTAACCCAGAAATAGTGCTTCAAGTTAAGAACTTTGCTTCAGGATGAGGACAGAAATCATGCTCTGGCAGCGCAGTGGCAGCAGGAGGCCCCATTAGCTAAAGTGGTGCTTCAGGTTAAGAACAGTTTCAGGTTAAGAACGGACCTCCGGAACGAATTAAGAACTTAACCTGAGGTACCACTGTACTGGAGTAATATTTCAAGCTATGCAATTATAACTGCAGCTAATCTCTGCACACTGATCAGGTTCATATACTGTACTTGTGTGTGATTTGAAGTGTATGAAAACATCAGTTGTGGTGATTGATTTGGTACCTGCAATCCATCCCTCAGTGCTAAATAAATAATGCCAGAATTGTACATACGTCTGTGCATGAAGTGACCCATTGTTCAAATTTATGGGTTGGATCCAATGCTGGTCCTACTCAGAGTAGACCCATTTGAATTAATGACCCTCAATGAGTCATTTCCATTCATTTCAGTGGTCCTGCTCTAAATTGGGAATAGCACTGGATGCAGCAAATGGCTTCCGTCTTGGAGGATAAGAACTGCAGAATGGTTTGAGACCCAGCATCTTACGTTTTAGATATTAAAACTGGTTCAGGTCCTTTACTACTCCTTAGATCAGTAGCTGGTGCTGAAATGTTTTCTGTGATGGAGTTCACTCTGGCAGCCATCCCAGCTGTCCTAAAATTAGGGACTGTTGCGTAGCTTGAAATATCACTCCAGTACCTTCCTTGGACTTCATGAGCACATAGATGGATAATAAACAAGCTTGATTCCGGCCAGTTTGCTCTATTTAAGCTGCCAGAAAACATCAGCTTTAGGCTAGCTGTGCTATTCTTTAGTCAGATTTATTTTGATTTTTAAATAAGGCTTTTTATTTGGAGGGGGGGGAGGAAGAGTATTATCTTGGATCAGGGCATGTGGAAACTGGAAACAGTTGTGTCTGGACTTTGACTAATGTCTTGGCAGCCTTAGTCGTCTATTGCAAGCTAATACCCACCATACTCTGGACATGACAGGAATTCAGGAATTGGTTGTATGTATAATATAGTGAGGTATGTAGAGGAAGTGGAGAACAGTTGTTTGCAAGGCGACACATTAAAACGTGGGTTGCTTTCTGGGCTATCGGTGGTCCCTAGGAAGTCCTAGTCATCCTTGCAGTGGGTTATAGGTAGCTGCTTCTCCATCCCCACCCCGATTCTTTTCATGTTGTGGGGTGGGGAGACGCTGAACTGCCTTTCCCTTTCGTTTCCTGGGCATTTCCTTTCGTTGTAAACACCATCAGGCAACCTGAAACGTATCAGAGAGCTGCAGTTTTAAAGTGGAAGCCAGCGTGGTGCTGGCAGAATGTTGGATTTAGATGACGAGGGGAACCCGGCTTTAAACGGCCCCTTCTCTGTGAAACTTGCTGGGTGATGTGGCAAGTTGCATGCTGTCTGCTAAACTTAGCCCTCAGGGTTGTTGCAAGGATATAACAGGCTATACACTTTTGAGTACAATGCCCTAGAAAAAGAGTGCGCTTAAAATCTGGCTTTTTGTTGTTGTTTTTTTAAGTGAGCAGCAAGATTCAGAAGAAAAAATATCAGGCTGGGCCCACTGTAGATTTCTCCAAAGACCAGGAAGTGTGTATTTGGGGCATGTGGAATGGGTAATCCTTCTTGCAAATGGCCAAAAGGCCAGCATGGGGATGAAGTAGGACCTTGTTTGGTGCTAAAACGAAAAGCTGCACTGGAGAGCAGGAACTGGAGGCAAATGCCTAGGCCTCTGTTGAATCACAAGCGCAATAAGAATAAACAGCAGCAACAGCAGCTGGCAAACATCCTGCCTTCCAAGAAACCTATCCACGTTGATTTATTACTCAAGCAGTTTCTGCACAACTGCAGCAGGGTTCTGGAATCTGCTGCTACTTTGCCTCGAGTGCTCTGGCTTGTGAGGGGCCTAGTCATTGCCAGCCCATGCGGATTACAAAAAACCCACAGCTGAGTTGCACCACATATTACAGGGTAGGATTCATCAACCTGGTGCTCCTCTGCTCTTTTTGGACTACAACTCCCATTTGCCCCAGCCAGCATGGCTGTTGGGATTTGCAGTCCAAAATAGCTGAGGGGTATCCGGTTGATGGAGCCTGGAAAATGCAGTTCAACACCTGACTATAGCTATGTGTTGCAGGGGAAGTTCAGTAACTGCAGATATAGAGGTATTTGCTTGCTTGCTTGCCCCAGTCACTCTGGGCAGCTGCCAACAAAAAATAGTAAAAACACAACACAACATCTCACACTATGACTTAGAATCGCAGAGACTTAGAATTGTAGAGTTGGAAGCGACCCCAATGGTCATCTCGTCGTCTTCTGTGTGAGCTGGTACTTTCACACATGCACACTGAGGCTTATGCTGATGCGTTCCCCTCCAAAAAATAAAATAAAGAAGGTGGGTAGAAAAGAATATCAAGTCAATGGGGCAGCTGCATGGTTGACCATTCATATGGAAGCCCCAGTTGGCATGGGATGGTTATCTGTATGTAAGCAGGCAAGCTCATACCATTCCTCTATCACATAATTCAGCATTGGTTCCTGATGAAAATATGAGCCATGGCAATGTGTCCCTTTTGTATACATTAAGCCTGCAACTTAGCCAGTGGTTCCATTCTGGGGATTGCGCCTAAAACCAAAAATTGCTCATACTCAAAATATATTGGGTTCAGTGGTGGGTGGCCAAGGTTGTTTTTTTCTGAGACCCTCCTCCATTTTTTGTTCTTGTTTTTTGCTGTGTGCATAAAGCTGAATAAAGCACATAAAGTGAAATGCGGGCTTTCTGTAATCTTCACAGGAACGGTGGGAGCCATCATACACAGTTAGGCGGAGGTTATCATTCTGCCACCATTTCAGATTTAGTTTCTGGAGATCGCTCTTGAACTTGAGTTGCATGTGATACATGCTGGGTGCAAACATGGTTTTTCCTCATATTCATATTAATTGCTAACAGGCCAAAGAAGCTGACGCTGAAGGGTTACAAGCAGTACTGGTGCACCTTCAAAGACACATCTATTTCCTGTTACAAGAGCAAGGAAGAATCCAATGGGACTCCGGCTCACCAGATGAATTTGAGAGGTAAGAAAAGGCAAGCAGGGTTTTTCTAAAATAGTTTTTCGATTGGGTTTTTTCAGAGAATTGAGGAATATAGTCAAACAAAACAGAAAACACCATAATAAAACAAAGCAATACTTTCTGTGTGTACATTTATAGCGGGGTGGGGCGGAGATGGGGGGAATGTGGCTGGCAGTCAGGGAATACATGCAATTTTGGTATACCTCTTCCCATTTCACCTCTAGTGCTGCATTTGTGGTTCGTTTGTTTGTTTTTAAATTCTGCAGCACTTAAATAAAAGTGATCAAGGTGTCTTTGCTTGCTACCTAGATGGGCAGAAGAACCCTGGTCCGAGCAAGGGCATAAACATTCCTTTTTGCTTGTCATGCAATATCATCCCACTGGGAGATCCGTTCAGCAGCTACTTCACCCCTCTGTCATGTCATACTGTTTTGTTGGAGGCAGGGAAGAGGCCGTCCTGAAGGCTGTCAGAATTGATGAAAGCTACGTTGGCCATTGTGCCACATTAATAACTTTTAGAGGGTTTAGTTGGCTCATGGGGTAGAATAGCATGGCTGTGTCCCCATTTCCCAAGCATGCTTGCTACTGCTTTATCTGCCACAAACAAACCCTTGTATGTCTGGCTGTAACAAGCAGAGTCCCTACAGAATGTTCTGCTGCTGGTCTGAAAGCAAGACTTCATTCTGCATAAGTAAATTAGAGAGAGAGAGAGACTTTATCTGTTCTTATTTCTATCTCTGTCAGGAAAAGGGGGAATCATAATCATAATCATAATGCAATATGTATGCTCCCAAATTAACTACGTAAAGGGTAAAGCAAATTGCAATGAGGAGCTTTTAGAAGAGATGAGAAAAAACAAATTTTTGAGAAACAAAATCAGTGCTACTTTGTCTAATCAGAACTAAGCTATTTTATTATCTAATAGCATTTCCTGGTTTTAAGCACCCCCCCATCCCTTTAAGTATGCAGAGACATTTATTCAGATACCATTTGCAAGGAATTTCTGCTGCATCTGACATTCCTAAGACTACCAGCTCTGCTTGTATTCAGCAGTAAAGTATTCCAGCTTGGAGGGTTGTGAAACAGGCATGGCTGACATCCTTTTAAAAAAAAAAGCCTTTGAGGCAGAAATGGAGAGAGGCTGCCAAATGACCTCAGACTATAGCTACGAGGATGTGTTCTGGGGAAGGGAAGCCTGGAATACCTTTTTGGGAGCTTTTGAACAAAGCTGCTGCTGCTGACTGAATTTTAAAAGAATTCTTTAGGAGGAGCTGAAAAAGGACTAAAATTGCATTCACTGCTTCCAAGAAAAGCGATTCCTTTTAAGAATCACACTGCTTCCATCTCTAGAGGAGGGTTGTGTTAAAAGCTGCAGCCCTGAAGGTGGTGCCCACATTCATCAAGATCCACCTGCACATTGGGGTATTCTCACCATTTCAGATAAGGGACACGGGTGGCGCTGTGGGTTAAACCACAGAGCCTAGGACTTGCCGATCAGAAGGTCGGCGGTTCAGAACCCCGTGACAGGGTGGGCTCCCGTTGCTCGGTCCCTGCTCCTGCCAACCTAGCAGTTTGAAAGCACGTCAAAGTGCTAGTAGATAAATAGGTACCGCTCCAGTGGGAAGGTAAACAGTGTTTCCGTGCACTGCTCTGGTTTGCCAGAAGTGGCTTAGTCATGCTGGCCACATGACCCGGAAGCTGTATGCCGGCTCCCTTGGCCAATAAAGCAAGATGAGCGCTGCAACTCCAGAGTCAGCCACGACTGGACCTAATGGTCAGGGGTACCTTTACCTTTACCTTTACACCATTTCAGTAGTGTTCGCCCCACCCCCCCAGCACTGATTAAAACAGTGTTTTAAGTTCTCAAATTTGAACATTAGCAATAGCAGAGAAAATTGCACATAAAATCCAGGGTATGCAAGAAAAACTACAAGCATTTTACGCCACCTGGCAGAACTTTATTCCATATGCATCCAGCAAAGACTTACGAAAAGGACACAACAGCTGTGGACATTTGGCAATTTTAATGTATGCAGCTGGAACTTTTTGTGGCTTGAAGAAGTCATGCTGTACCTTGTATATATATTGCATTGGTCCTTTTGCTGTATTTCTCCCCTTCCCTTTCCTGTGTTTTTGTACTGCATTCTTTTTCTTTTGGATAAATAAAATTAAAAATAAGCAAACCTCACTTTTGAGATCAAAAGGTGGGGGTAGGGCATCCACGTCAGAGACTGGAGTGTCTAAGCAGGCTCACCTGCCCGCCCCCCTTTTCCTTCACAAGTGGTCGAATAATAGTCCATTCTTACGAATATTAGGCCATTATTATGAATAAAGGTTAAAGGTACTCCTGACCATTAAGTCCAGTCGCGGACGACTCTAGGGTTGCGGTGCTCATCTCGCTTTACTGGCTGAGGGAGCCGGCGTTTGTCCGCAGACAGTTTTTCCGAGTCATGTGGCTAGCATGACTAAACTGCTTCTGGCAAAACCAGAGCAGCACGCAGAAACGCCGTTTACTTTCCCGCTGGAGCGGTACCTATTTATCTACTTGCACTTTGACGTGCTTTCGAACTGCTGGGTGTGCAGGAGCTGGGACCGAACAACAGGAACTCACCCCATCACAGGGATTTGAACCACCGGCCTTCTCATCGGCAAGCCCTAGGCTCTGTGGTTTAGACCACAACGCCACCCGCGTCCCATACTATTATGAACAGTAGGCCATTATTATTTTGCTCTGTGCTTTCCACCCTGCCTCAGTTTCATTCACAGCTGCCTCTGTGTCCAAATGGGAATCCAGGAACGAGTCGTTCCATCCCTTCCCATGATCGTTATCTGCTAATAGCGAACCCAAAACCAGACTTCTTCCTGCGTCGTGTAGTGTAACACATTTTATCTACCCCCACATCCTTATGCAGAGTATAAAACCTTGCTCTTTTTTATTGTAGGGTGTGAGGTGACTCCTGATGTCAACATCTCTGGCCAGAAGTTCAACATCAAACTTCTGATCCCCGTGGCTGAAGGCATGAATGAAATTTGGCTCCGTTGTGATAACGTAAGTTTGCATCATGGGGATTTGTCACAAGGTAGCTACTGCACGTGCTTATTTGTGAAGAGTGAGTAGGGGGTGAGCGCTGCAGGGCTCTCCTGGGAACCACAAAATTATGGGACTGGCTGGCCCTGCATATGGAGCCTTATGGACTTGGAGGCAGTGTTACCAAGGGTACTGTAGCACCCACTTTATTTTATGTGCGGTTTGCTTGCAGGTGCATTTGTTTCTTTGAACCAACTGAAAACAGGCAGCTGAAACACCAAAACAACAGTGCCCTTGAGAGTCAGTATCCAAGGCCTATCTGAACAGAGTGGTTTTGTCTGTAGGCCTTTGAGGGAAGGGGTTAAGCAGGCCTCCTCAAGAGAGGGAATTCCAGAACCTGGACACCACCAACAGTGAGGCCTTGTCCTCAGTGGCAGGCCACAAGATCAGAGCCTCCCACAGAAGTTTTTAACAGGTGGGAAGAATCATAGGGAACAGGCGGTCCTTTAGATAGCCTGGGTCCAAGCCCTGTAAGGTGTTTAAGGTGACAAATGTTCACTGTGTGGCTGCCAGCAAAAACCTGAGGACATTTCTCAGTGCTGACCCCATCCCTGGCAGCAAGAGCCAGTGAAGTGAAACAGTGGCAAAAGCATTTTTTTCGCAATTTAGCAGAAGGAAGGGAAGTAACTAAAGGTGGCTTATTTTCAGCTGCACATTTAGTGGGTCTCTTTATTCCATATCCCGTAGTAGTTTGCCAATCGTGTACTAAAGGATTCATATTTAACTATATACCTCAGGATAGTTGCACCAGCCCCCAGTTACAATTTCACCTCAGCCGTGAACTGTGCTGGGTGGCCATAAACAAGCCCCCAATTTTATATATGTTTCTCTCCCACCCACAACCCACAATATGGAGGTGAAAATAAAGGGTTGCAAAGGTGCACAGATGCGGTGTTCGAATTCAGCATTCATTGGGACTTAATTCCAGCACAACTTTACGAAACAGAATGCCACAATATTTCTGCAAGATGAGCCCTTTTGTCTCCTTTCTTATGGTTGGTTATCCTGCAAATGCATTTGGTGTTAAGTTTGGCTTACCGTGAATGTACCGAGAATTTCGGGCCTGGAATTGTCAGAACCAGAATGAAATGAAGCGAAGGCTGCAGCCTAATGGGCACCTCCTTTTCCTTTCAAACTGCAGGAGAAGCAGTATGCACACTGGATGGCAGCTTGCCGGCTAGCCTCCAAGGGCAAAACCATGGCCGACAGTTCATACAACTTGGAAGTTCAGAACATCCTGTCTTTTCTGAAAATGCAGCATCTGAACCCAGACCCACAGATAATTGCTGAGCAGGTCACCACGGACATCAACCCTGAATGCCTGGTTTCCCCTCGATACCTGAAGAAGTATAAAAACAAGCAGGTACTTAACTTTGGAGTCTTATTTTGCTGGAGCCTTTGTCCAGAAAACAAGGTGGGTGGAGTTCCAAATACACCCAAAGGATCGTTTCCTCCACTTTGGACCCGCTTCCTTATGCTGGCCATCTCAATATTGGACATAAGATTGTAAGGTCATTGGGGGAAAGACACTCTCCTTCGCTGTGTTATGGTGAAGCCAAGCATTGTGTGCACTGATGACACTGAAAAATCTAGGTGGTTTTAAAAAAAATGGTATAAAAAGACTGTGTTTCCTATCTGCTGTTTCCTTAATGCACCTTTGAAGATGGAGTGGGGAGTCTGCTTTGTGTTCATAATTACAGTACTGGTGATCATTCCAGATTCATTAGCATGGTGTACAGAGGTGTGTGATCTGTTTGTCAACTTCCCTGTGCTTTGGAGAGAGGTCGTGCCTGTTTCCACTAGTGGGAATTGTTCAGTTGCTTGAGAAGTGGTGGGTGGTGAGCATGTAACTTCACACGTTCAGTTCAGGCTGTCTGCCTCTGATGTGTTTTTCTCTTGTTCCTGCCCACTCCAAACCAGAATTTAAGAAATCTCTCTCCACCTGTAGTCTCTATCCTACCAGTTTCAGGTCTGACGCTGTCGAAATAAAAATTAAAAAATGCCAGTAGCACCTTAGAGACCAACTAAGTTTGTTCTACAGTGGTGCCTCGCAAGACGAAATTAATCCGTTCCGCGAGTCTCTTCGTCTTGCGGTTTTTTCGTCTTGCGAAGCACGGCTATTAGCGGCTTAGCGGCTATTAGCGGCTTAGCGGCTTTAAGAAAAAGGAAACAAACTTGCAAGAACTTGCAAGACGTTTCGTCTTGCGAAGCAAGCCCATAGGGAAATTCGTCTTGCGGAACGACTAAAAAAATGGAAAACTCTTTCGTCTTGCGCGTTTTTCGTCTTGCGAGGCATTCGTCTTGCGAGGTACCACTGTATGTATAGAAATGTGCATGCACATGAAAGCTTATACCCAGAACAAATTTAGTTGGTCTCTAAGGTGCTACTGGACAATCTTATTTTTTAAAAAATTGCCCTACCAGTGGAAAAAGAAGTATTGTTTGCATTTCCCTTTAAGGAGGCTCTTTGAACACTCCCCTCCCCCTGCCCCAGAAAGAGCAGTTCACCCTCCCTCTTTCTACTCCCACTCCCTCCTGACTTTTTACAGAGTACCTCTTAATTATTTTATGGCTTTTTTATTGGTTTTCTACAAAATATGAACAGAACATTAAGTTTACCCCATTTCCCCCACTCCCCCCAGAACAGAAGATTTAGTGTGCCTGATTTTGCCATAAACCTATGTGCGTAGTTGGTGGGCGCCAGTTCATTCAAATGTTTTATATTATAAATGGGCGCTGTATTTCAGGGGAATCATCGGATGAGGTGTTCAAGGCACGAACTCTTCTCGTCCGTTTTTCAGATAAGGCCAAACATTCTGTCCCCATCTTGTGATATGCAATAGGTGTTCAAGTCCTCTCCAGTTCTGTGCTAGGAGTAGTCGTGCTGCCACCAGGAAAAGAAAGTGATGAGCTCCTTATAACGTAAATTGAGCTGATCTTCCTTAAATATTCTTAGTAAACCCAGACTTGGATTCTATTGCGCATTCTGATTTGTATGGAATTGTCCTACCAACTGCCTTGCATCCTCTCCAACACCGTGGTGAAGATGTTTTGTCTATGTAACTGATTCTTAAAGCAGTTAATTGCCATCTATAAATTTACTTAAAAGCTACCTCTTAATATTTGATGGCTTTAAAAACAATTAGGATGTTTCATTAATGCTGCTTAATTGTGCCTTTGATCTGGGATTAATCATTTAAATCTGCAAAGCAAACAATCTTAATTTGTTTTGTTCAGGCTGTTGTTAAAAAGTGACCAAACTTTGGAATTTGCTGAATGAAGGATTTGGTTATCTTGAGCAGCGCTACCTGGAAATTTTATTCAGCCAGCATAGCAAAACAAAACAAAAAATAATTTTTGGCCAATATATTTCCGCTTAAACAAGTTTGACCCCATGGATGTTGATAGAATCAAGTGATCTGAAGTGGAAATAAGTAGATCATAACTGGCATAGTCAGGTCTAGAATGAAAGCTATGGCTGGCAGAATAAATCAGCACTAGGATTTGATTTAGCTCAGTTTACAAAGTCTCCTTCTGAACATGCTTGGGCTGCCTTACAAACTCTGTTTTTCAAAGGCTTGGTGGGGAAAACACAGGAATTGAATGAATTCAACAAAACGTTTTTGTTGAATTCGTATATTCAATTCCTGTGTTTTCCGCAACAAAGCCAAACTGGCTTCGGAGTGTTTAGTAGCATTATAAGTTGTGTCCTGCAATAACTGAAACGAGCACCAAAACATGTGACTCAGTGCTGCTGCAGTCACGTGTAAGTTTTGGTGTAACTCCTTGATTGACACTTGTGACTGTTAATGTTTGTGTGCCACCACACAATTGCTCTTTGGTGCCCTAGCAAAACGGTTGAGCAGTGTATCCATTTACTCATTTATTTAGACCATTTCCATACCACTTAATACCTCTATAAGTGGTGCACAGAAAATTAAAACATGCTGTGGTCCTCGTACATCTTCCGTGGTGGGTTATTTCCCCATTTCAACTTTAAATGCTTGACATTCCTACCACTGGAAGGGAACACTTCCAAGAAGTGTGTTGTGCTTTTGGAGCTCTCAGCTATGCATGATTCAGAACAGGGTGTACAGGGCAGCTTCCCTTTCCCCAACCTGCTGCCCTCCAGATGTTTTCAACTGCAACTCCCATCAATCTTAGCTGGCACAGTTACGCTGATGGGAATTGTAGTACAAAACATCTGGAAGACACCAGGTTGGAGGTGGTTAGGATTAAGGTAACAGAAGGCATGGGGGTGGGTTGCAGACAGCCTGTTTATTACCTGGGCAGTGCAGCAGAAGTTTTTATAATGTTCACTTGGAGGATTTTTTTGAAATTTAATTACAGAGGAAAGTTGCTTACTGTTCTTGAATTGCAGGGCAGCCTCTGTGTGTCAAAGAGGGGAGATACCATCCAGAAAAACTGGGGGTGGGCAGATCCCTTCCTTTGGCACAGTGCTGACAACCTGTATAACTTTCATTTATTCTCTGAAAGAGCCATTATACCCAGCATGGCGAGAGCGCATGTAATGAAATTATGATTTATTTGTTTTTAAAAATGATCTTTGAAGCATGCAAGAGGGCACAGACCGGGGCGGGGGGGAGGAGAAACAACTCTTGCATTGATGTAGCTTGTGCATTAAGAAGTGATGTTGTGGGTAGCAGGAGAGGTGGGGGGCAGGATAAAGTGTACCCATTCTGACCATCAAAGGTTCCCTTGATGTGGAAATGGATCGAGTGGAGAAGCAGGAGGGGCTTTGGTTAAGGAAAACTGGCTAGAGGTGTGGACTTGTATTTTGTTAGCATTGCCTTCCTTGGATTGCTTAGATCTGGGAGGCTGCACAGGGATGTCGTGTGATGTGTTGTTGGTGGAACGAAGGAAATGCTGCCCTTGTGGAATTTGTAGAATGCAGGGAGTAAGTGGAGAGCAGGGAGAGCTGCTGCTTCTGAAGTAGCAATCTGTTGATCTATGAATCTACAGCAGCCGTGGACTCGTCACATGCCAGGTCTCTTTCCACTGCTCTGAGCAGGACTGGTTTCCACTACGGAGCTCCACGCTTTACAGTGCGAAGTTCAGCTGCCACACTTGAAATAGACAGCAAGCTCTAGGAATCAAATTCTTGACAGGAATGTAGGAATCTGCCTTATATTGATTCAGACCATTGATCCATCTCACACAGTATTGCTGTCTGCACTGACTGGCAGCAGCTCTCCAGCATTTTAGGCAGGAAATCTGCCCTGCCCTGCCCTGAGATGCTGGGGCCAAGGCTCTGCTACTGAACTGTGTCTCTTCTAGCATTGTGCTGTCTGCTCTGACTGGCAACAGTTCTCCACACAGGACTCTCCCTGCCTGCCTGACTCTACCTGAGATTGCATTTCAACTGGAGATGCCGCCAGGTGTTGGGCCTCGGAAAGGGAGCCTTTTTCCCACGAGCCCTTTTGCAAAATGGAGGTAAGGTAAAGGTAAAGGGACCCCTGACCATTAGGTCCAGTCGTGGCCGACTCTGGGGTTGCGGCGCTCATCTCGCTTTATTGGCCAAGGCAACCTGCGTACAGCTTCCGGGTCATGTGGCCAGCATGACTAAGCCGCTTCTGGCAAACCAGAGCAGCGCACGGAAACGCCGTTTGCCTTCCTGCATTACCTATTTATCTACTTGCACTTTGACGTGCTTTTGAACTGCTAGGTTGGCAGGAGCAGGGACCGAGCAACGGGAGCTCACCCCGTTGCAGGGATTTGAACCGCCGACCTTCTGATCGGCAAGTCCTAGGCTCTGTGGTTTAACCCACAGCGCCACCCGCTTCCCTACAAAATAGAGGTAGTTCTTGGCAAAAAGACATCTGGTGAAAAGTGCCAACGGGGGTGCAGAGTTTCCCCCATATTTAGTTGAAATAGGATCTCTTCCTCTTACCTATAGAAGTTGTTGTTGCCATTCAGAATTCATATTGTGTGCCAGCTCATTGCTTCTGAGTGCTCAGTCAGGTGCAGTCCTCTGCCCTGGCCAACCACAGCAGAATATATGGACAGACTTGGTTGGGGGAAATGGAAGGGCTCCTTTTTGTGTGTGATGTTAGATCTGTGGTGGTTCAGTGAAACATTCAAATCATTCCATGATGCTGCAGCAACCCAGTGGTTAGCACTTGATGTTCTGGTGGCACTGCACTGCTTAAGTACTTCTAGGTTTCTTGATAGTTTTGCAAGCAATTTTTCACTGTCTGCCAAATATAAGCTGTGCCTGAGTATTCCTGACTGCAGAAGAAGAGTGGAAACAGGAAACCCTCTTCCCATTTTACCTTTCCTTTCACATTTGCTAGAGGAGAGGAGCTGGTGCTCTCAAACTGCAGGTGGCCTCTTATTTCACTACAGCCGCCACGCCAGAAACATGCTGGAGATTGCTGCTTGTTTGCATGTGATTCGGGTAACTTGCATACATTCAGCAACTGAGCTGTACACACTCAAAGCAACAGTTCGTTATGCTGCAGTACTTGATTCTTTTTGCTCAGAAAACAAAAGTTCATTCCATGGATCTGGAGATCAGGAGCTGCAGAAAACACAGTTTAACTTGCGCTTCTTTTTTTCTCGCTCTCCAGTCTGAGATGATAATCCTGCATTTTTATTTTGGTTTGCTGACTTGTTTGCCATTCCATTTTTCATCAACTCGGTCAGCTAAAAGCTTGCCTTAGAAGACAGGGTGAAAATCTTCCAAGATTCTGTGGGCTGTGGAAGGTCGTCCCATGGCTGAGTCTCCATTCTCTAGGACAGCCTTCTGCAACCTGCCGCCCTCCAGGTGCTTTGGACTGTCATCTGCCCCAGCCAGCCCTGGGTTGCTGCAGTTCAAAGTACCTGGGGAACCCCTGGTCTCGCTGCACTCCTTTTTGCTCCCTTCTTCATGCTTGTGCTCATTTCCTGCTGCTTTTCACCCCAGGACAGTTGTTCGTGGTGAAAGGTTTTGAGTTTTTGTTTTGTTTTAATTGATTTGAACGACAATTGTTGATAATTTGCACATTTTCCTCCCTTTGCTTTGTTGCCATATTTCTGATTTGCCTCTTTTTTTTCTGCTTCCTTTTCTTTTCTTCGCATTTGCCTTCTGCAGCCAGGCTATATAAGAGACTTGGTAAGTGACAGTAAACATAAAATAAATAAGCACTTAAAAGACTTTGCTGTGTTGTGAATATATGCTTAAAAGCAGGGAAGGGGCTCTCAGAGATGCGCTATAAGAAACGTAGCGTGTGTTGACTTGCAAGCGCTTCCGTGTGGTGTTATGCTATGTCACGGCATACGAGTAAACGAGAAGCAACAGGCGGAGATTCCCCACCCTTCCATCTCTCCTTCTGCCTGCTTTCCTCTGGGACAAGGGTGTGCTGTGTTTTGTACGTGGCTACTCTTGTGTCTCCTCCTTTGCTTTCTGGCACTAACACCAGGAAATGCACTAGTAATGGCAGATCAATAAAGGGCTTAGATACCAGCAATAATGAAATAGAGCCTCCACATTCAGAGAAAGTGTAGCCCTAAAATAAGCAGTCGACCGGAAGACAAAACAGGGAATGGTGGGCTTTCTGAAAGCATCTGGCTTTCCATCGTTGGAAACAGGGCACTGGGCTGGATAGAAATTCTGATCTGGCAAGGATGCTCTAATGGTCACGCATTCTAGCTTAGGGGTGAGCACCTGCCAAGTCAATGAGCCGTGGAAAAAAGGAGACCTCTTAATGCAGCTGCTCTCGCTGATCCCTCTCGTGACTTCTGGCTTCCAGGAGACAGGGAGAGAGTTACGGATAGGCAGCAACCCTGATGGTGCACTCTGTTCCCATAGCCCATTGCTTGCACAGTGCTCCTGCTGTCCCTTCTCTTCCTTAATAGTAGCAATAAATAAATCAAGTGTTTAAACAACTAGGTGCTGCACGGCCATTAAGAACAACGAAGCAGATGGCCAGGCCTACAGGCTTCTGGTCAAACACATAAAATAAGAAACAAGGAAAATGCGAGACCGCGGAGGTGATGGAAAGTTAGCACTTCCTGGCCAGACATTCATGCCGAGCAGCTACCCATGGCGTTGCCAAGTGCGGGGACTAAATGTGCATGTGCTCCCTTTTGGCTCTTGGCCCTTGCCAGCCCAGCTCTGAGCGAAGCCGTCAAGCACCTGTAATAGCTCTGCGGTGGCAGGCGGGTTGTATGCGGAGAAAGCACTTTGCCAGTTGCCGCTGGTCACTCGAAGGCCTTCTTTGCAAGTGAGCAGAAGATTTCACTGCTGCATTTAATGCCCCTCTGGATGAATGAAGAATGCATATTCTAGAATGGGGGAGGAAGAATGAGCAGCCTTGTTTCCTTCGCTCAGCATCCTCCCCCACCAGCTTCTTCGGCAGCGCATTTGTGACCTTTGCTTTTGCTAACATGCTTGGTTTTTAAAAACTGCAAATCCTTCCAACGAAGACTTAACCGGGGGCGGACAAGGAAGGGAAAAGGACCAAGAACCTCAGTGCGGGAGAGACAGAGCAGCTGAGAACTCTGGTTCCTGGAAGCGTTGCCTGTTTTTTTAAATCCAGAGACGTCTGCAGAGGCTGCCTACTTTTTCCTCACTCTTTTTCCACATTCAAAAGGATTAGAAAAAATGTTTAATCATAAAAAAATAAAAGGTAGCTGAGACAGCCAGGGTATACTTGTCATTTTTCACTAGCTAATTAATTTGGGGGCATTTTTTTCTTACTTGCATGTAACTGATATTGCCCATCACCCATTTGCGGGTATGTATCAGTGCACATGAAACCATCCCTGGCCCATTTCTTCCTTTTTGGGGGAGGAAGAGAATCTGGCCCTGCACAATCCCATGTGCCTTTGCGTCTCCCAAGGCGCGCTCCCTTTCCCACCACTTGATAAATGGGTGCACAGCTGTTTCTGTGAATGTTCAGGGTTGTTAAAAATAATGATAATCAGAGCAGCTCACATTTTCAAGATACACATCACGCAGAAAAACATCCTCAGAGATCAGTATTTACAAGATATTTGCAGGAGCACAGTTGCAAGTTTAAGCGCAGGCGAGAAACTGCAGGGGCATGTTGGGGTCATTTTAATAAACCTTCTCCTCTGTCCCCCCTCCCTTTGTACAGCTCTCTGCATTTTGTTCCCTTCTTGCCACTGTCAATGCGGAGTATCAACTCTCTGTGTTGCTGCCCTACAGATCACGGCCCGGATCTTGGAGGCCCATCAGAACGTCGCCCAGATGAGTCTCATTGAAGCCAAAATGAGATTTATACAAGCTTGGCAGTCCCTCCCAGAGTTCGGCATCACACACTTCATTGCAAGGTCTGTGCAGTTATCCACCAAAAACATCAATGTGCAGGTGTGAGAGATGGGGATGGCAAGTTGGGTATATGGGCTTCTTCAGTTACCGGGTTATGCCTACTCATTGCCCATAAGAACGTGGAACTGGGAGCATAACAATATAAACCTGCTCTTGAGTTGTCTCACTGGGATTTAGGCAGAGGGAAAGAGTGCTTTGCACAATCACGAGTAAAGGTTTTCCCTACCCTGAAACTTATTCTTCTACACTGCCTTTCCAAAGTAAGTCACCGAAACCCAATTCCTGGCAACGAAAACAGCTGAATAAAAAGCAATACAGAGCAGTAAAAAATCTGTTAGACTGAATGTAAACATAGGACAGTATTTCCAAAGTGCTGGCGGGGGGAGGGGGGATGTACTGAGCCACATGAAAACTGCTAGTGTACACAAGATCCAAATCTACAGATGAAACTGCTCCCAAAGTGCCCACTCCTTACAGGTATCCTTGCCTGCTGCATCTTGCCATTATTTTACTTCTCCAGATTTACCACCTTCGTGGCCTCTTGTGGGCCACCTGATTCCGCCCTGCTTCTGCATTGGCTATAACAGGGCCATTCAGTTGTTCCTCATACAGCGATGCTGAGTAGTGTCCACCTCTTGGAGGAGGCTACCCGTTGTGCTCATGCATGAGTCAGTGCAGAAGGCTTGCTTTGTTGCCTTCGGGAGCCATGCTTCATATAGTCGTAACTCATGGCACAGTAAGTGCAGCAAACAGCCCAAGGAGCGGGCTTCTCAAGGAGAAGCAGTTAGTACTTTATCACTGTTAGACACTTTTGGAAAGAATGAGATGTTGATGTAAAAGTGTTTATTTATACAACTTGGACCCCTCAGGTTCCAAGGGGGCAAGAAGGAAGAACTTATTGGGATCGCCTACAACCGGCTGATACGGATGGATGCAAGCACCAGCGACGCTATCAAGACATGGCGGTTCAGCAACATGAAACAGTGGAACGTGAACTGGGAAATAAAAATGGTAAGCAAGGCGTAGAGTTCTCTAGGCATGCGGAAGGTCAGCAAGAGACACTGTCTCCATTCAGTGACACATGGCAGTCAGGCCACAAAACCTGCGATCTGAAGCAGAACCAGTGAGGGATGTGGCCTTAGAACAGAGGGTGTGGGACCCGGGGAAAATTCTGAGGGCCAAAATATATCCTAAAGAACTTCAGATGGTTTACACACTTTGATTATACATTGAAGACGTTAAAAATGGTGGCATGTGACCAACTGAATTAGCAATCGATGATCTCAGCATTTGACTAGGTTGTCTTATTGAAGGATATGACATTCACTTGATAAGGAAACACTGGCTGGTGAAAGACTGTGGCTATCTAAGATCTTTCCATTCTGTCAGTCAGATGGGATATGTAGCCATATGAATAGCACTAACCATAGTTCCTTGATTCAGTCGTCAGGGCAAACTCTGGTTAGAGAAGTGGTGGCTAGCCTTTAGCTTCCTGCATGTTGTTTGGCTACAGATCCCATCATCCCTGGAAGCTAGTCGTGCCGCCTGGGGCTTCTGAGAAGTCCAGCAACATTGTCAGAGCCGCAAATTAAACCACCTGGTTTTGACAAAGCTGAGGAAGGAAATGACATGTAAGAGGGGAGGGATCACATGTATTTTTCCTGTATTTTTAGTCCTCTCAGCCTTGGTTGGGAGAATCATCTGGATTGTTCTGCAGCGGATAAAATATTGGACCTTGGACAGGGAGGCCGGGGTTCAAATTCCTGCTAGCCATGGAGCTGTGTGATTTTGAGTCAGTCAGTCTCTGCCTAGCCTACTTTATGGGGATGTTGTGGTGACAGAACGGAATAATTCCTGTGTACACTCAGGGGCGGAGGAAGGGGGGTGCAGTGGGCTGCCCCAGGTGTCACCACTGGGGGGGGGTGACAAAATGCCAGGCAGCACTCACCGCGGGGCCTGCAGCGCGTCCAAGCCACCACATCTGAGAGATATGGTGGCTTGGGTGTACACAGGCTCCACACTGCCTGCTGCCTCCCCACCAGCTGTAGGGCAGATGAGTGGGAGGAGGCAGGCAGACTCGTTGAAGGCCCCGCGGAACGCCCCGCCCCAGGTGCCTGAGCAGCTTCCTCCACTGTTGTATGCACTCCTCTGGGCTCTTCGGAGGAATTTGGATAGGTGTGAGTTAAGTGGCAGTGTTGTCATGAAGGGCCCTTGGGCACCACCATTTAGGCTGGCACAAAGTTTTGTGTTTGCCTTGCACTTTCAGGTAACAGTAGAATTTGCCGATGACGTCCGAGTGTCCTTCATCTGCACCGAAGTGGATTGCAAAGTGGTGCACGAGTTCATTGGCGGCTACATTTTCTTGTCAACGCGTGCGAAAGACCAGAACGAAAGCTTAGACGAAGAGATGTTCTACAAACTGACCAGTGGCTGGGTGTGAGTCGGATGAGACCTCCCGTTGTACTGACAGAAACTCAACGGCCATATTAATATTTAACTTCAACAGCTGTTATCTGAAATATGCTGCTTAATCAAGTTAAGCTTGAAGTGTATCTTTACTCTTTAATATCATGGAAACTTTTGCATTAGCAGACCAGTTTGTATGTGCACTAAACAGCACTTCCGTTAATCTGCTAGAGCAAGACAATAACACGAACCGTGTAACGCTGACGCTTGTGCCTCTCGCTCCCACGCCCCTCCCCTGCCCCACCTCAGCCAGACAGTGGGGCCTGGTCAGGTTAATTTCTGACAGATGTAAGCTAACCAAATCAATAAACACCTCTAAGCCATCTTAACTATAAAGATACCCAGGGCCTAATCTATATGAAGTCTATTTATCATGGTTAATGCATGTTTTGTGAGTTTTTAATAAATAAATATATATATATATATATTGTAAAAATTGACATCCATGTGTCAACACCCCTCCTACTTTTAGAAGTAGCATTTATTTTTTTTTGGTGTGCAATCCAGGAAGCCCTCTTTGCTGCCCCTCTTTCCCCATTCGTTTCGTTGGGGTTTTGCGCATGGGTGCCTCATGTGCAGCAGTGGTGCTTGGCGGACTCTGTCCTTTGGCCCCTTATTTTTCGCACTACGTAAATCAGGTCCATTGCAAGGATCTGGAGCTTTTTACAAAAACAATCATGCGTGGCCTTGAAAAATACTCCCTTCGTTAGGTTTTAAAGCGTATCTGTTATAACTTCGTTTCCTTTTGATAATCATTTATATATATATTGTGTGTGTGTGTCTCTTTCATCTTTCCCTTTATCTTTTTTTTTTTTTACACCGTATTGTATTACAAACACCTTTAGTATTCACCAGCATAGTCACTGTCTACCTAAGATGATAAGATGCAAAAAGGAAGACATCATTACAATATGAAGTAAAGGTCTATGAAGTATAAGGATTTGTGTGTGTGCGCGTGCGTGTAACTAATGTAAAAAGAAAAACACAAATTTTATAAAATTGTACAGGTTTTTCTTCCTTTTTCTTTTCTTTTTTTTTTTTAAACTAGTCTCACAAGCCAAAGTAGGAATCGCAATAGTACCAAGCGTATTGGCCTTATGGTATGTTTTTAATCTAAGTTAAAATCCTGACTTCCTTATAGCTATGCCACAAAGCCCTTAACAAGACTCAGTTGCCTTGGCTTGAGGGTCCCCGCTATGAAATTAACACTAACAGCCAGGGAGACCCCCAACTTGCCCTGCCTATGCCAAGGGGAGAAACCAGTATTGTGCTTATTAGTCCCGTGACATAAAACACTATGTACAAATGCCTTGTATTTTAAATAAAGGTCAAATCTTTTATTTAACCTCCAGTCTCTGTGCGTCCATTTAGTATGTGTGGTTGTATTTCTCTGGAAAACTAAAAATACATATTTTTTTTGTGGGGGGGGAGTCTAGTGCATCACAGAGGTAATTTCTTGACCTATAATAGTATTTCCCAGAGCTGCTCAGTCGTAAGTGTTCCAGAGTCAATGCTAATTACATTTGGGGGGAATAAATCATGAAGTTCTACAAGCCAGGCTGAATTTGTTTAGGGCTAAACATCGCCTCTGTACCCTTTCAATTGGTAGTATAATGTAATCTGAAGGCAATTTTATATAGACAGCGTGCAGAGGTTGCTTCTAGTGGAAAATAATCACAAAGTGGGCTTCCTTCCTGTTGGAGATGAAATGTAACTTCCAAAGCTAATAAAGGCAATCTGGCCAAACCCTCTTCATTAAACGCATCAGCTTTGCAAGCCTCAATAACGGAGACGACGTACAATGTCAAACTTGCTTCATGTTGCTCTTTCCGTCTCTGTGCAACTGGTTTTCTCGATGAAGCTTGAGCAGGAGAGTTGCATAACTTACTTTAGCTAAGCCATTTGTGTTAAGGATCTCTTGACCGCTGGATATGGGAGGGAACTGTGGGAGAAAGGGCAGGGTGTTTGATTGTCTGAGCCCCAGGGAGGGGGTCCATCCTCTCCACCCCATCCCAGCACATAAGCTTTCAGCTGAGCTTGGAGGCACGCATAGGTGGGTGAGGGCATGAGGGTGCTCTGCCAGAGGCACTTGGACGTTTGCCGTTAAACATTCTGGAAGAGTGGGTGCTCATCGAGGTGAGATGAGGAAATCTAAAAGACACAGGGATTTGGACGGAGATGCGAATGTTGCAGTGTCGCCAAACACCAAACAGACTGAATCGGAGAAACGTTTTTCTCGTCCAAAAATTAGTTCAGGTCTACATCTACGACTTCTCTGGTAGTAGTGACAGTTCCTCTTGTCAAAGTCACCTTCCAAAAAAGCCACAGGTTAAGCTTATTTATTTCCTTGTGTGGGAAAAGTTCAGTTCCTATGAGGCTAGAAGCTCTTCCTCAGACCGTTTTATGCCAGCTAAGAATTTACTGGAGGAGCTTAATCAACAAGTCAGCTGTGGCTGGAACAGGAAAGAGAAAGAGAGACACAGTCTGGCTTATAAGCAGGAGGCAGGAATGACCCTCTGCTGCACAACGCAGGTGTAGATTTGCATCTTGCTTCAAAGAATTGTAGGGCTGGAAGGGACCCCAACAGCCATCAGTGTCACCATCCTAAGATTTTCAAACACACCACACACACAATCAGGTTTCTAGCCCTCATGACGGTGAAGGGGTATTTTGAAACATGGTGAGAAGGCTTCATGAGTTTTCATTCGTCAGGGAGTGGGATTTTATTGCTCAGCAGATTTTCTTGCCTCTCCGTGACTGCTAAAAGCAGAGTAAGTTGAGCAAAATAAGCAAATACTTGCAAAATCTCTTAATTAGATGGCTGTTCGCAGCTGGATTCAGTTTCCCTTGGCACGGAAATTAGGTCACAAACTTGGCACAGACCTGCCCTTTGCCCTTTCCTCCCCTCCCATTTCCTCTTCACTTCTGGTCCACACTTTTCCCCCTGCCAAAACAATAATAATAATCAGCAATATGTTGCTTTGGTTCCAGTATTCTCTGGGAGGGGCTGGTGCTTGCATAGAAGACCTCTCCTCTATAAGCACATAGGCAGCAGTGGCTGGAGAGCTTCTTCTGTGACTGTCAAGCTACCTTGTAAGGGCTTCATTTCCTTCTCCCTCCTCTTCCCTCTTTCCTCTTCAAACCACACATAAAAATACAGATGTTTGCTCAGCGCTTGTTAACCCTTTTGGAGGGACCATGTGATCATGCTTCAATGAGGATGAGTGGGACAATTTTGGCAATACTGTCCAAATAAGACGCTTATTAACACTCAATTTCCAACTTGGAGAGGATTACAAGCCACGTGAGAAGCAGACCTTTTGTGAGATAAGAGCCTCCAAAATGCTAAGTAATGGATACTAGTTAATAAGTCAGTTAATAAGTCTTTTTGTGTTGTTAAAGCCCCTGAGCAGTAGGTCTGTTCTGTTCTGCTGTCTGCCTCAGAGTGTGAGTTTGTAAAAGTTTAGTGCTAAATCTATGTAACGCATTCATAACATAAGTAATACCTACCTGCTTTGTGCATGTATATTTAATCTAACAAGTGCAAGGACACCGTGAGTAAAAGCTATTGCTATTTAAAAGAGTAGTTTTTCTAGCAGACCTTCATGAGATACGAACATCCATCTCTTACATCTTATGAGCCATATGCAAGACGCTCAGTTTCCGACTTGGGGAAGGTTACAAGCCACTTGGGAGGCAGAGCTTAATATTCAGTTAACAGACTTGGAATGGCAAAGTATGTGGGCTGAGACTCATTTAAAACTACTTTTGCAAAAATCAGAGAAGCCAACCGAAAACGGTCACTGGACCATGCTAAGATTGAAATACACAAAGCCAAGTTGTTCACCTCTGCTGGAGGAGTTGTTCTTCCTTTGTGGTGGGTGTCATGATTTTTGTACCCATCAACTCTGTTGTCCAAAAATACATATTCCCTAATTCCACTATTGCACTCCATTTTCAAGTAGAGCAGAAATATGTAGACATTCAAGGATCCAATATTTAGTGCCCCCCCCCAAAGCTAGATATCTCCTATCCCTGGAAAGGTCCTGTCAGTTCACAGTTGGTATGTCGGGATCTGGCAATTGGCCCCTGATGAGAAATTGACTCAGCATTGCAAGAAAGCCTGAAGAGAATTTTGCACGTACAAATTCTCAGAAACGTTCCAATTTATTATCTCTGCAAAAGATAAAACGTTCCCGTTCTGGAGTGAGTCTTTAGTTCCTGTTTTGTAATCTCGTACAGCAGCATTTGAGGTTCTGTATCTTGAAGACCTTTTCTGTGTTCCTATCGCACTGGGACACACTTGCTATTTTGTAGGGTTTCGTGAGTTCTCCTGTTGTTTTACATAAGAGGAAGAAACCACAACCCGAACAGAGGGCAGCTTATCGACTCCCTCTAATCTGGTCATACGGTGACATGTCCCTTGTTGCCAGTGTGTGGACTGGGCAAGAGTGGGTCAGAAAGAGCATGTACCATGAATTCACAGTGAATTTTGCATGAATTTTGTGAAGGGAGTGTGTGTGTGTGTGTGTGTGTGTGTGAGAGAGAGAGAGAGAGAGAGAGAGAGAGAGAGAGAGAGAGAATGAAACAACACAGCCACATGCATTCCTTGCCGGCCACTGGAACAAAGATTATTATTTCTTCAAAGAGCTGTCCTCCTTCCCATGGCCCTTAGCTGACCCTCCTTCCTCTCTGGATCTCATTCCCAGCATTGACTTCAGCTCCTTCAGTCATCCTTTCGCTGCACTCGTGGGTCGTGTCAACCTTTTTGGTGCAGGCAGGCTGCCGAAATGGTTAGCCCACTGTTCCGCTGACCCAGGGCAGAGGAGACTTTATCTGTGTAGTCATTCTGCGAAGGGCTGAGAGCAGCATTCTGAATTTGGAACAGACCCCTGTGTGGAAGTTCATGTAAAGCCACTGTATACAGAGTCAGGCCATTGGTCTCTTGAGTGGCAGCTGTCCTTCGAAACCTGAGGAGGAAGAAGAGGCAGCACTTTCTGTTTTGCCTCAGGCACTAAAATGTCCTCAACCAGCCCTGGCCACGAAAGAGATTTAGGTTGCAGTGGAGAGAGCCTGTGGTCCTCTAGATATTGATGGACCCATTTCTCCTCTAAGCCACACATAGCTGTCAACTTACAGATTTGAAAATAAGGGATCAGCAGCCTCGAAAATAAGGGATCAGCAGCCAAAATAAGGGATTTTCAGAGCGCAGGTATGTTCAACTTCTGAGCCCCTCCGAGCCAAAGGCAGAAAGCCCAGCCAGCAGCCAAACGAAGCCTCAAGCGGTGGTTCCCACAGCGCAGCAACCCAGCAAAGGGGATGCGGCAAGGAAAACCACCGTCACCTCTCCGCTGGGAAGCGCTGAGCAAAGGCGAGTCCCCGATTTGATTGGCACAAGGCATGCAAGCTCCACCCCCCAGTCGTTCTTAGACTCCTTATTGGGTGAGCAGCTCAGCCAAGAAACACAGTTGGAGCCTCCCTCCTCCCTGGGAGGGAGGGAGAGGAGCTGCTTCCTTTGAAACCCAGGAAATTTAAGGGACATCATCAATAAGGGACAGCAGCGGGACAGCGCTGGGATAAGGGACTTTCCCACCAAATAAGGGACAGTTGACAGCTATGAAGCCACGGCCAGCATGACCAACATCCAGAGCTCATGCAAGTTGTAATCTGACCTGTTGGCAGACCAACTCTGCGTTATAAAGATGTCTGCAAACATTGTATGAAGACTGGCAACATCACCCCCGCTGTGTGGGAATCCTTTGCGGAAAGCTGCAATGCCAGGAGACAGACAGGTTCTGTATCCACAGTAGTGACCAGAGGAGGAATGACTGCTGGGAGGAGCAGAGACAGAAGAAATGCCAGGGCACATCTGCAGCAGCAAAGCCTTCATCTGCCCCAGCTGCAACAAAATATGTCTCTCCCATATTGGTTGTTAAAGACACAGCAGACGCTGTGTGATGGCCTGGGAATCCGATTCAGAGGCTGAACCGGAGGAATCCCAGCCTGCACAGGAGTCCCCGCCTCCAGGGCCGGCTGAGCTGGGGCAGGGCCTTGACTCTGAGGCACCTGCACCTGTGCTGGATCCTCAGGAGCAGGCACCAGGTGAATCCACTCTGGCTCCGGAGGTGGTTGAGGACTCAGTGCCTACAGGTGAGTCTCCCCCTGGGTCCAGTAACCCTTCAGCCTCTCCTGAACTGCAGAGGCTCAGGGCAGAGAGGCGAAGGGAACTGGTTTCTCCCAGGAGGAGTGCTCGCCTTAAGGCCAGGAGAGGCGGGTCTCCTGGGGGCTGGGACCGCCCCTGGCCTCAGAGAAGATAAAGGCCAGTCAGCCCGGTCCCAGGTTGTGGGAGCA